GAAAGGAGAGGTTGTTAAAGATAAGAGTACTTTTCACGGGAAGGAGGAAAGAGATTACCAGGGTAGGTCTTGGATTGCACCTCCTAAGGATGCAAAGGCCAGTAATGATCATTGTTATATTCCTAAAAGGCTTGTACATACATGGAGTGGGCACACCAAGGGAGTATCTGCTATACGTTTCTTCCCTAAGTATGGGCATTTGATTCTGTCGGCAAGTATGGATACAAAGGTGAAGATTTGGGACGTGTTCAATTCCGGTAAATGTATGAGAACTTATATGGGCCATTCCAAAGCAGTAAGGGACATTTGTTTTAGTAATGATGGGAGTAAGTTTTTGAGTGCTGGTTATGATAAAAATATTAAGTATTGGGATACGGAGACTGGTCAAGTGATATCCACCTTCTCAACTGGGAAAATCCCTTATGTGGTCAAGCTTAATCCTGATGAGGATAAGCAGAATGTTTTGTTGGCTGGTATGAGTGATAAAAAGATTGTCCAGTGGGATATGAATACTGGGCAAATAACGCAAGAGTACGATCAGCATTTGGGGCTGTGAATACCATCACATTTGTTGACAACAACAGGAGATTTGTTACTTCCAGTGATGACAAGTCTCTCCGAGTATGGGAATTTGGTATTCCTGTGGTTATTAAGTACATCAGCGAACCACACATGCACTCTATGCCATCCATTTCACTCCATCCCAACTCCAATTGGCTAGCTGCACAAAGCCTGGATAATCAATACTCATCTATAGCACTAGGGAGAAGTTCCAACTTAACAAGAAGAAGAGGTTTGCTGGACACATTGTTGCCGGATATGCATGTCAGGTGAATTTTTCCCCGGATGGGCGCTTTGTCATATCTGGAGACGGGGAGGGCAAGTGCTGGTTCTGGGATTGGAAGAGTTGCAAAGTATTCAGAACTCTCAAGTGTCATGAAGGTGTTTGCATTGGATGTGAGTGGCACCCGTTGGAACAAAGCAAGGTAGCAACGTGTGGCTGGGATGGGTTGATAAAATACTGGTAAGTAAAATTTCATGCCAAGTCATGTTTTGATTAAGGAGTCTTATCTGGTGCATTTCCATCTATGTCATCTTATGATAGTTCTCTGTATGTTGAACTGATGTGAGGATGTGCCAATTACTCTGGCCAACTTGTTAAATCTCTTCATTGATGCAATTACTATTTTTTTAATTGCATACGGTATTATAACTCTCTCCTAGCGAATTCATCACATCCGTCCTTATCACATCAGGTAGTATCTTATTATCAAGTTTGTATTATTTTCGATTTGTCATTTGAGGATAGGGTAAAAAGAAGTTCTGGGTGAGGCCTAGGATTAAAGTTCTACGACTGACTTTGGCTTAGTTTACTGAGGAAACTTTTACACACTCCATGCTCTTGACGGACAACAAAATGATATTGAAAGTTCACTAGAGTAGTAGAAGGCTCTATGTTGAAAAGATGTTAGCCTGAAGCCTTGTGAGTTCATTGAGAATCTTGTCCTTGCTAATTTATTATTGTTAAAGATAATTCTGTATGATAGCTTTTTGCATTCTGAGATGAATGAAGCGTAGAAATAGTTTTCCCACAAACATCCCAAAAACACGAGGTGCAATATCCCTGTTCCTCCGACCACTACTTCGCAGCAGCCTAAGTCCTGAAATCATGATAATTATATTGTAGAATGGACAACCATGGGCTTGTATTCAGTTTCACATCGTGGAGTATCCAAGCTTTCTTAGATTCTATTAGAGCTTTTATTTTATAACAATTCAGGGTGTTAGATTCCGAGGCTACTGGCAAGCAACAGTTGAGCATTGGTAGTAGCATTGCTGAGAATATGTATAGGTGTATCTACTTATGCACATAAGTTGAGATAGAATATGTACATTTGTAGCTCTGTTGTGTTCTGCTGTCAATGTGAATTGTTAGAAGCAGAGTCGAGATGGGTGTTAACTATAAAGCCATTAGATGAGGAGATTTCAACACCCTGATAAATTTACCTTTTTGGCCTACTGATCTTCATATACAGATGGTGTTGGTGACATGAGTATAGTACGATACATCTTGGAATCAATAGGTTTTGTATGTGTATTATTATATATATATGACCCATGAGTCTCTGCAAAAGAAACTAACCCAGAGCATCTGTTAGCTGTTGATTAGCGTGCAACAAAAGCAGGCTTTTGTGATGCACAAGAAATCACCTTCAAACCCCTTAGGTTTTATAGATATATAGATATCTGATGATTAAAGGCTGTCTCATTCAAGCATTCTTTGTCCCTTTGAAGCCTACCATCTCTAAAGCAAACATGAGAAAAGACTTCGAAAGTATATTATAGTAACTTGATGTCATTGGAGCTGAAATGTATGCTTTGTAACCAGCGCTATTTGGATGGCAAAGTGGAAAAACAAAAAAAGAAAAGAAAAGAAAAAGTAACAAATGCCATTTGGGGGTTTTTTACATATTTATATTTACGGTTTATTCACCAGTAATTCAATTACATCAGGCTTATTTGAATTTTAGTCATATTGAATTTATTTGGTTAGGTTGCTTGTAAATATACATGATCTTATCCTTTAATATTTAAATTTCTGCCAACGTCATACTTCATGATTATGTTTAGACAGCATTAGATAGATGAATGCGTATATTTTATGAACTCTCCTGGCTGTGATTATGGTTGTGTGTATTTATAAAGGTTAATGTGTTCTATTATGGTTTGTAGGGACTAGTTTCTTTTGGAATCAGTTTGCAGAAGCAGAGCAGCCAGAACCAGTTTGGAGGTGGGAGGGAAGAAACAACAACTTACATGGAATTCAAATGGTTGATTTGGGTTACCTCAGTTGAAACTGAAGCACTGTAACTGGATACTATCTTTTAGATTTCAGGTTATTGATGATCAGCTGGTTGTAAATTGCTCCCTAGCATTACTCCGTCCAAACTCTGGCTTTGTTACATTAGAGTGGTGAGTTTTCTAATTAATCTTAACCCTCTCCTTCAGTTCTATGATTGTGCAGCACACCAGAAATTTCCACTTGACAGATGGCTCAATGGGTCTTTTATGCATGGAGGGACTTTTAAGGTTTGGGTGGCATCTCCAAGGTATATGCAAGGCGGATGCACGTTCTGTGTTGCTGCCTGTGTCATTTGTTTTTGCAGGTCTCTTGTCTGTGTTTTGCATTGTGACTTTTGTTTCAGACAAAAAAGTTTTGACAAAACCATTGCGATGATGGATGCTCCTCCACTATCTCATGCAAGTTCGTTTTCGTTGTTCTTACGCTTGCATCAACTATCAAGAACAGCGAAGTCAATCTTCACAGGGTCGGCATGGTGGCCCGAATGGTCTCCGTAGGCTGATGGTTCTTAAATGTCTTGTTGTAGGACTTCACCGTATTGTTTTTGGACTGGATCTCATGTTAACTAATAAGATCCCATTAAGTGTGAAGCCTGTTGGCCACGTTTTAGATATTAATGTAAAACAAATAAAGAACGTGGATTGAAATAAATCATGTCCATTAAATTACATAATAATTATATTATCAAAATTAATTGATTATTAATGGGTCCGTTATGCTATACCAACTATTAAAAGACTTCAGTTTTGGTGACAAACAAATAAATTGTCCAAACCTATTTTTTTGACATTTGATATATTTTACACGAGACTTTTTTTTTTTGATTTCTCCATCCGGTATCCTAGGGCAATAGGTATCTTTCAGCTGTGACAGCGGTCCCAGACTAATTCGGATCGAAGGTTTGCAAGGAACCTTTCGGTCGGCGCCTTCTGGCCCCTAAGGGTGCTGTATTTCCACGGTTCGAACTTGAGACTCGTGGTTAAGCTAGGACAGCCCCAGCCAGCTGATCTAACCTCTCGAGATTTATTTTACACAAGACTTTAATCATAAGCAGGTGTTGCTTTTAGTGAAGGGGTTTTAGCCATTATAGTTGCTAACTCAAAATAAGTTGGTTATTATAATTCTCTTTTATTGAAAACAACTCAATTTTATAATTTTTATACCTATAAACAACAATTACAAGAACTATTTTCTATGTTAAAATCTAAGGACTAAACTGATAATTAGGAGAATTTAGGGATTAAAAGTTATATTTTTTTCATTACATCTCTATATCAATAATATGATCTCAAAATGTTTGAAATAATCTCCCACACAAAAATATACTATCTCCTAGAGGGATATTTAAAAAAATAGTTAACTTAGTTATTTATAACGGATATGTGGTAGTCTTTTAAACTATCTATTTAATCATATGAATAGAAATTACTTCTTAATTTTTAATTAATAGGAATATTTTGGATAACAAATTACTCCTTTTAGTTCAAAATATAAGTTAAACTTTGTTAGAGGGGTTTAGTTTTTTTTAATAAAATAAAATTTACTTTTGTCTTAGTATTTAATGAATTTTTTTTAATTTTACCTCACATATATTCTCTTTCCTCTTTGATTCATTTATTGAATCTTTTATTTATTTTCTTCATTAATAAGGGCATAATTGGAAAGAAAAATACATGCCTCGCATATTTATTGTTTTAAACTGATTTTAACTAATTTCTTAATAAACATAAATAGATAAAGTTTAGCTTATATTTTGAATCGAATGAAGTATAAATTTAAAAGGGAAGATGAATTAATATTTTATATATTTAGAATCAAAATAAATTTTTTATCTAGATTTAAAACAACAGTCATGATATTTTTATATTTTTGCAAAAATTTAAATTAAGCGTAAGATAAGCTAAAGAGTGCCGCGGGCGAGATCCATTTTCCTGTGGTGACCCGTTGATCACCAAGCGAATGAGAACCCGAACCTCCAACCCGCCCATTAACCCGCCCCATGAAAAACGCCAACTGGTTCCTCACGAAGGCTTATACCTGTACTATTTCATTCACGGGGCGAGGCCGACGAAGGGCGGGACCGCGGGAGCCAAATAGGCAAATACTAGTATAACAGAACAAAACAAACCCAAAGCGCGAAGAAGCAGATCGCGGAGATGGAATGCGTTTTTGGTCTTGTCGGCAACGACTTCGTGGTTGTGGCGGCCGATACCTCGGCAGTGCACAGCATCCTTGTACACAAGTCTAATGAGGACAAGATCATGGTCCTCGATTCTCACAAGCTCATTGCCGCTAGTGGTGAGCCGGGAGACAGGTCCCACCTTTACTCCTGTCTTTCTCAGTTCCTTTCTTTTTTGTTGGGATATTGGCGTTGAGTGAATTACGATTCGTTGTGATGTAGGGTTCAGTTCACGGAGTACATACAGAAGAATGTGGCGCTCTATCAGTTCCGTAATGGGATCCCTTTGACCACTTCTGCTGCTGCTAATTTCACTCGTGGTGAGCTCGCCACTGCTTTGCGCAAGGTATATATATATTCGTTCCCTTTCCCTCTTTCTAGCTAGTTGGGCATTGCACTCGGTTGACGGGATAAAAGTTAGGATTTGGGGTTTAAACTTGAGCCTTTAAGCCCCTCTGTTTGTGTATTTTAGTTTTCAAAATTTTGGAGCACTTGGTGTTGAGAAGTAAGGTTTCTTCTCAAGAAGCATACCTTGGACAGTTGGACTGGATGTTTATATTCCGAAAGAACTTATACGCAGTGGCTTATATTCTCACTTTCATTTCTCAATCAAAAGTGGACAATATCAATAGCATTATATGATTTTAACAGCTCAATGGAATATGAGAAAATGTATCTAATTATAGTGCTTTGTATCGGCGCTTATAAGAGGTGGTCGGATTAGCATGACACTTACCATTACCTAGTATCTACATGCTATGTATCTCCGATGGGAATTGCACTTCTGGATGTAGTTGATGAATATTTGTTCTGACAAATCCACAAAACATTTTGCTTAGTTGGCCCTACGTAGCAGATGGCTGATGCTATACAGTCATGGATAATTATATAACTTGCCTTTTACGGTCTCAGCATGTACTCTGGTGTGAGTTCCTGATTTTCTTGCATAAATCTTTTTATGAAATAATATATTCTGATTCAACTAGAAAGAATAGTAAAGGAGGACTTGCATAACTCAAATGTTACTTGCTGTTGTTAGCTGCTGCTAGGCTTATGTTGTCCTCTAGCCTGAAAACCTTCTGTTAATGAAAGTAATATTCTTTTCTCCAATATTCTTTTAGGATCTGAAAGAATCATAGAATCATAGCCACTTTAAGCATTGCTTATATTCTTTTCTCTAATGTTTTACCCAACTTCCTTGTACAAAATGTCTTCACTTGCTTAAAGAGCTATTTTCATTCTTGCTTGCCTGGGAATTCATTAGGGAAATTGTCTTTAGCTAGTTGTAATTTTATGCATATTTAGTTCACTTATTGTTGAAAAGTGTTGAAAAACAAGAGTTTGTGCAATAAGATACTCAAAGCCATTGTCTAGTGTTACTAGTTACCACTCCGAGCTGTTATGATATATTGACTTTTGGAATATGTTTAGCCTCTTTAAATATGCAAGAGATTTCTCCTCTTATGAACAATTGTGAATAGCTCCTTATTTGGCATGCAAGTACTTCAATTATCTTGTTATTTAATGTTGACAAGTTATGAATATGATTCATGAAGAATGCTTCTAGTTGCCAATAACCCTCATTCTTGTCCAATAAATGTTTTCATGAATGGCTTCCCAGTTTTAACTTATAAATATTATGCCAGTACATTATACCCACAAGTAACCATAATCTATGAGTCTGCATACCCCCCCTTCTTTCTCAAATTTACAAAGCCCTGTCAATCTTGTAAAATACTTATAACCTTTGCCTATAAATGCCAGAACTCTATCCTGCTTTATTCTGTGCTTCTCTGTTGCTTATAACAAATCATTAGCTCTATGCTATGCTTAGTTAAACTGTTGGATTTACATAGCTTCAGCAGGTACTTTTATAGATTTGCCACTCGAAACAAAGTAACGCATGCCCATGGGCACTCACTTCTATGTCTGAATCCTTTTGCATGCATTTGTATTTGTATTTCTGGGTTGAAACGAGATATGGACTGAAGTTTGATGCTTCCTTGGAGACCTACTCATCTCTACTTGTTTTACAAGTCTTGATTAAAGGTCTTTGAACATTTTCGTGCTGCCAAAAAAATGTTGTTTACGGAGGTCAACTTCCCTCCTCCTGCTTCCCTAAGTCCTGTACCAGCCTCTTTATGGAGGTCGTTGAATATTTGATTTGGAGACTCAATTTTGTAGCATTTTACGGCCATAATAAAGTTTTATCGCATTTGAGTAGGCCGAAAACAAGAACAGAACAAAACAAAAACACCAACCAACCTGTAACATCTAAAAGATCGCTTTTATTACTTTTTGGGCGAAAAAAGATTACCTTTAATGCATGTATCTAATTGGTGTTCATATGCTTGCGTGTATGTTGTATATAATTCATTAACATGTACACTGGACGATAAATTGATTTCTGTGAGACTTTGATTTTCTTCAGAACCCATACTTTGTGAACATCCTTCTGGCTGGTTATGACAAAGAAACAGGCCCATCCCTCTACTATATTGATTACATTGCTTCACTCCACAAGGTTGAGAAGGGAGCCTTTGGTTATGGCTCATATTTTTCGCTATCAATGATGGACAGACACTTCCATAGTGGGATGTCAGTGGAAGAAGCAATTGATTTGGTTGATAAATGCATTATGGAAATCAGATCCAGACTGGTTGTGGCTCCTCCTAACTTTGTCATAAAGATCGTTGACAAGGATGGAGCAAGAGAGTATGCATGGCGACAATCAGTGGAGGACACACAAGCCCCTCCAGCTTCTGTTCACTGATCAGTAGGTTTTTTTTTTTGTGGGGGCCCCTTGCACTTTCTTCTGCCCACTTAAGTTGTAATGTGTTTGTGGTATCCTGACAAATCTCGGCCTTTGAATACCTAAAAGGTGGATCTTTTGTTAATTCACGTCTAACCAGGACGATTTACGACTTGATGAGTGCATCAATTTCATTTGCATTGAGAAATTTAGATGAATTGGGGTTGGTATGTCCCGTTTGATATTGGATGAGTTCTTGAAGAAAGTGGGAGAAGTAGGCTTTTGAAAGTATGCTTGGTATGCTCATAAAAATGTGTATTTTGTATTATGACGAGACTCAAATATCGTCGTTAATTAGGATAAAAGTCTGTTTTCTTAAAGTCCTTTAAGTTTACAAAAATAGAATCCAAACATGCAGTAAATTGTAAGGAAATTCGCCTTTGAAAATGCTTAAATTGATTAATCAGGAGGTTCGCAATATTAATTTCTTGGTGGTTTTGAAATAACAATCATTTGAGGTTATGTAAATAGATTAGAGAATAGTCTAAGCAGAATAGATTATCCGGTACTAAAATAACTTTGCATTAAAATATTAAGATGAAAGGGGAGTTCAAAATCCAAGAAAAACAGTTGAACCAAATCCGATAGAAATGCAGCTGATCGATTTTCTGTACGGCTCAATTTGGTTTGGTCCATGTGAAAGAATTGATTCCAAAACTATCGTAGTACTGCTTGATTTGCATAAAATATCCGTAGCACATAATATAAGACCCTATTTGATTTTTATTTTGATTCTAAATATAAGATTCCAATTCATTTTATCTATCATAATTACACATTTTTTTCTAAAGTAACCCTTCTAACAATGATAGTTTTAGTCAATATACTTGATTAGCAAGGATATTTTAGGAAAAACAACACCTATTTAGGACAAATAACTAACTCAACTTACTTCTTTAATCTTCTCAAATTAGTCAATTGGGTCTTATAATTAGGACCGGAGGTAGTATAAGCGTAAATTGTCCTAGGGTGAGAATTGGATATATTAAATTAAAATTAATATATTTTAAATATTCTTTATAATTATTCATATGTCACGGCTCATGAGAGTCCAATATATTTTTTTAAAGTTAATTGTAGTGGGGACAGAATGGAGAGCAGTGATGAGGTTGTTTGAAATGGCTGATAAACAATTTTTTAATCATAATTTATAAAATATAAAGTAAATATATGAAATGAGTTTTGTATCACGTAAAATATTATCTCTGGTCTTTAATATAAGACCTGTTTGACTTTTATTTTGGTTCTAAATATAAGATCCCAGTCCATTTTGACTCTCATATTTATGTATTTTTTCCCAATGTAGTCCTTCTAATAATAATAATTTTAGTCATCACACTTGATTATCAAGGATATTTTAGGAAAGACAACACTTATTTATTACAAATAACTAACTTAATTTATTTTTTTAATCTTTTCAAATTAGCCAACTAGCTCTTATAATTTGGATTTGAGGTAGTATGTTCATGATAATAGTAAGTAGATGCAAACTATGCTTATGGCCTGTTTGGTATGAGCGTTAAAAATCACTTATAAACAATTTTACATGAGTCAAGACAAAAAATTTTTTATACATTTATTTTATTATTGATAAAGTTATTTGTAAGTTATCTTAAACAGCTCTGTTATTACTCCTTAGCTCGTACGCAGCCACTCGCCTTCAACCGTGCAGACCATTATGCCCTTGGAGAGTTTGCAAATGACTATCTTAGCCGATGCGTTCCTTTATATACTGATGATCCTAGTATCCTACAGTGTCATGCCTCTTCGGCCTTGAAGAACTCCGACCCTCATGGCTCTTCAGACCGAAGTAGGAGAATGAGAATGCGAGCGTGCTATAGAGAAGAAATTGACGAATTACTGCGGCGAAGACTTGAGCGATAAGGTTGTATCTCCTGCTTTCGTTTATATGAAATTCATTTTTGTGAAGGATTATTTACCTCTCGGGGGAACTAAAGAGTGTTTGATGCATTTGCTCAATGAGAAGAAGGAATCGAACGATAAAAGTAGTTCGATCACAAAAATATAATGTTAATTTTTTCATCAGTTAACTCCGCTCTTTGTTTTCCAGGCACTTCATTTTCAGTGGGTTATTTTGCCTAGGATGCTTGGGCTTCGATTGAAGACGGGTTCCGTTTACCTCTGTCGTTAGGAGCTTCTCATCATCGTTACACAGACAGTCATTTCTTCATTTGTGCCGTGTAGGTTCGTTGTTATGATACCGTAGAAGTCCTTCGTAGTGCACATTCTTTCGTTTTTACCTGCATATGTTTATTGAGGATAACTGTGTAATTCAGGAATTAAAAAAAAAAAATTCATACGTCAAATTTTATCTCCTCGGCTTCCTGAGATGGATAAAACCACTTTAGCGTATAAATTTCTTTCCACTCTCATCTTTCTCATCCCTCTAACCCTTCCCAGGGCTTCTGGGGTTTCTTTATTTCTTCTATTTTCCCCCGTTTTACGCCAACCTTTTGGGGTTTCTCACATTGATATGTGTTTGGTTAATCAAGTTTTGGAAAGGATCGGAGGTGGTTGAAATGTTCGTGGCTCTGTGATGTTAAGTATTTCTCTAATCAATTTTATTTATTGCTTTGCATTTGTTTTCTTCAGTGAAGCTTTTCTTCATTGATTGATGCCTTGTTTTTAGTAGTGTATAGCGTTGTGGACTTTTAGCTACTCTCCCTCCCTACCTTCCGTGTTTTATCCTTTGTTGTAAAGCTTACTCTACAATTTCTTATTTCTTATATATTTTTATGCAGAACTAAACTGAAGTTGTGTCCAGCAGATTTTTTTGGGTGAAAGTATACAGCAGATTTAAATGAGTACTTCAGATGAAGAACGCTCGGTTATAGGAAGCAAGGCAGATATAGGGTTTCTAGATTTTGAGGAAGAGAAATCTGTCTATAGTTATGCTCCAAACGAAGAGGATCCTATTGTCATATCTGTCCCATTCCCGTTAGTGAATGAGAAACCGCAATCCATATGTGTTGGCCATACTGCTGTGGATGTAATAACGATCAAGAACACCACAAATGAACCAGTGGAACTGTGGAGTGTTCATATTTTTGCTTCAAGTCCAGAGGACTGTTTCACACTTTCTCTGATGGAACCTCCATCAGCAAATTCAAATGCGGATATTATTCAAGGTTTTCTTGAGTCTTTCTCCTTGGAGGACAGGATGCTTCAACCTGGTGAGATTTTGAAAGTGTGGTTGTCTTGCAAAACAAAGGAACTGGGATTGCACACCACAATTGTATATGTTGACGCAGGGGATGCGAGAATAGAAAGGACGGTTTTTCTCTTAGCTGAAGATAAAATCTCCCAGTCTTTGGCTTCCAGAAAGCCTTATTCAAAAGGAAGAAAGAAAGAGAAATTCGTTGTAAATACTTATGTTTCTGGGTCACGCCCTAGGAGGAAGGGAAATCGTGAGTATAAGAACAAGCTTCCAACATATGACATTCCCAAGGAAATAAGAGAAACACTAGAGGGCAATCAGATCCCTGATGCTATTGAAAGAGGTCTTACAAGGAAGAACTATGCTTCTTATTTCAAAACATTAGTTATGATGGAAGAGCTACAGTTGGAGGTAATCTTATCTGCTTACAAAAATTCTAATAGCTGTTTTTATGACCAAAAAAATGGGTTAAAGGGCATTTTCACTGTTAAACTATTCTTGTAGGAGCACGAGATACCATAAACTATCAAGTAGTATTACCTTCAAACTAAAGGAAAAAAAAAACATTGCAATGTTGCCTCTGTCGTTAAGGGAGCAAATGTTCATTAACTGGATGGTATGGGGCCCTCACACATATCCAAGTAGCAAACAGTAGCATCTAGGCGGCAAACTGTGCAACCATCTTTTTTTATTTTTAAATCTCTTTTACTCTTCTTCTTTGATATCCTTCTTTATTGTCAGCTTTTTTACCTACCTGTACAATGCAAAACCAATTTGTCACTTGAAAAGGGCAATACCCATCCCTCTGGTGATTTTTGGATTGGTCCGGCATCAATGGCAAAACTTTCAGCTTATTTCATGTTCTTTCCTAATTTTTTAAAATGGAGTTCTCAGTTCCGAGTTTTTGGGGTTTTGTTTCTTTGGCCATTGGATTTTATTTCTGGGGTTATACTGTTGGATAGGAGAGGCTTTAGAATGAAACTTGGTGGTGGGCCTCTCAACTTTGAAGCAAAATTGTCCCCATTGTCTTGCTCGATCCAACTAGCGGCATTTGTTTTCTTGGATTTCTGTTGCTGCACGCCTATGCCACCTAGATGTTAGTTGTTTGCCGCCTTCCTTCCTTTTTAGGGTGGGGATGACATTGCAACTTTTTTATGAATTTGAGGGTAATATTGCACCACTTAATAGTTTAGGATACCCAGTGCTTTTGTGAGAATAGTTCAAGGGCAAAAATGTACTTTAACCCCAAAAAAAGGAAAAGAGAAGAAAAGAAAATAATCTGATCTTTGTTTCTATTATTTGCTTGACTAGTGACTTATGCTTTTAGGAAGACATGAGGACCTATGATATGGAATGCGTAACTATGAGGAAAAGGACGTATCAATTCTTGTCTTTGGAGGTTCCAGGGCTTGCTGAGAGAAGACCGTCACTGGTTCATGGGGACTTTATTTTTGCCAAGCTAGCCTCTGAACATGATAATGATAACACGCCTGCTTACCAGGTTTGTTCTTAGTGACAGATATGGCATGTCCTGTGTTCGCTTAATTTTAATTTAAAGCCTGGAAGTGCTGTTTCATGCTAGTTACCAGAATGTGGTTTTATGAGCTATTCATCATATGCTAACATTACAGGCTCCTAGTTAGTTACACATTGTCTAATTTGCTGTTGCAAATGATATCAATGGTTTTCTATCTGTATTTAATAAAAAAGGTGGAGGCCCCCGTGTCTTTGATGTATCAATATAATGACCCTGGAACGCAGAAAACTGCCTCACATCACTTTAGGTATTTATGCTGATAATGTTAGATAATATTTGGATTGATAGATATAATTGAGGGGTAACTATAGATTGATTTGGCTTCTCCAAAGTGCATACAATTTTGCCTTTAGATACAATTAAAAGTTGAGATGAATATATATATCAATATAACAGAAGTCTGTTACAACAAGAAATGATATCTTTCATGCAATTATCCACTTTCCAATTAAATCTGTGCGACAGTTATAATGCTATATACTTTTCATGGGGTCTTCATTTACTCTATAACATTCATTTATCAATTCAATCCCTTGAACTTTTCTACGACACTCCACTTTCATTTTCCTTCTCCAACTTTTACTAATGAATTGCTTTTTAATTCTCCTGTCAAAAGCGCTGGCAGAGTTTTAATTTAATATTGAATGTTTTGTTTTTAATTGACAACCTCCCAGGCTGAACTTACATAATTTTTTTTTTTTTGGGGCCAGACATAAAAACTGTGTTTAGTACCTTATAGGCATAATACATTTTGATTTTCTAGTAATCAATCTTCTTGGACTTTCCTAAACCATGTAGTTCTCTTAGGGTTTTACTTCTACCTCAGTTATCTTAAAACTACCTAAAATAAAGATGTATGATCTAATAGGAATCATAATCAAGATTTTTCATTCCAAAATTATTAAATTATCTTATTTAAGTAAGGATATCTAGAGTATTTTTAGATTTATTTTGAATTTGAATTTGAATTTGAATAAGGATTAATTAGGATTTAGTAGGACATATTCTTTTATCTTATCTTTTAGGATCAGAGAATTTATCTGGGACTAGGACTAGGGTTCTATTACTAGACCTAGGATTACTCACTTGTAGACCTTTTTCATGAATTGAATGATGTTGAGAATTGCATTCACTTTATCCCTTTCATTTCTCCTTCAATTCATCTTTATTTTCTCCCTCTTTCTTCCCAAATTCTCCCTCCTTAACCCCCCCTTCCCTCTACTGTTCCACACCAATATCTCTAAAAATAATTCCTAAGAAAGTGATAATAAATTTATTGCAAAGAAACAGCATACATGAATGAATTATTTTGCACTGCATCATTTATTACTTGCAAATATGCCTGTATTATTTATGCCAAGGATTTTCAGCCTATGATGCTCAATTGAAGTGGACTTTTGCAGGGTTTTGTCCACCGTGTTGAGGCTGATGAAGTACATTTGAAGTTTCACCCTCATTTTCATTCAGTCCACAAAGAAGAAGATCTCTACAACGTTCACTTCACGTATAATAGGCTCAATATGAGACGGTTATATCAGGCAATTGAGGCTGCAGAAAACCTGGGAAGTGAATTCCTATTTCCGCATGAGACATCTAGAAGGAGGCGCATTGAAACCTCTCATTTGGTGCCTATTTCTGGTAATATTAATGAGGAGCAGATGCTTGCTATCAAGAAGATTCTTCGATGCAAAGGTGCACCTCCTTATCTGATTCATGGTCCTCCAGGTACAGGAAAGACTAGTACAGTAGTCGAAGCGGTCCTCCAGCTCTACAAAAATCATAGGAAAGCTCGTATTCTCATCTGTGCACCGTCAAATAGTGCTGCGGACTACCTACTCGAGAAACTCCTTGGTCAAAAGGCTGTAAAATTTCGAGATGAGGAAATATTTAGGCTTAATGCATCTACGAGGGCTTATGATGATATCAAACCTGAGCTTATCCGGTTCTGCTGCTTTGATGAGTCTGTGTTCAAATGTCCTCCAGTCAGTGCTCTCATGCAATTTAAGATCATAGTATCAACTTATATGAGTGCCTGTCTTCTTTATGCTGAAGATGTCATTCGAGGTCACTTTTCACACATTTTCTTGGATGAGGCTGGCCAAGCTTCAGAACCAGAAACCATGATCCCTATATCTCATCTCTGCAAAAGGGAGACTGTTGTTGTTCTCGCTGGAGACCCAATGCAGTTGGGTCCAGTAATATACTCCAAGGAAGCAGAAACCAATGGATTGGGAAAATCATACTTGGAAAGACTGTTTGAATGTGAATTATATTCCTATGGAGATGATAATTATTTAACCAGATTGATTAGAAACTATAGATGTCACCCACAAATATTACATCTCCCTTCCAGAATGTTTTATGAAGGAGAATTGATTGCATGTAGGGATGATACTAGTTCTTTGTTGCTGAATGAGGACTTCCTCCCAAATAAGGAGTTCCCTGTTCTCTTCTTCGGCATCCAAGGATGTGATGAGAGAGAAGGGTGTAATCCATCATGGTTCAACCGAGTTGAAGTGAGTAAGGTCATAGAACTAGTCAAGAGGCTCACAGCCGGTGGAAATATGAAGGAAGAAGACATTGGGATTATAACACCATATAGGCAGCAAGTACTTAAGATAAAGCAGACACTTGAAAGTATAGATTTGCCGGAGATCAAAGTTGGAAGTGTTGAGCAGTTTCAGGGACAGGAGAGACGAGTTATTATAATATCAACTGTTCGCTCAACAATCAAACATAATGACTTCGACAGAGTGCACTGTTTAGGTTTCCTGAGCAATCATAGAAGATTTAACGTTGCTATAACTCGTGCCATATCACTGCTGATTATTATTGGGAACCCTCACATAATCTCTCGGGTATTTCCTTTTCTCTAACAATTTATGATCAGGGAAATGATTTAATTATTTTATGATCAATTTTATGCTGTGCTGATTATAAATAAGCATCCGCTGATAGTCTCTAGTATTGCTTTTTCACTAACAAGTCATGATTAACTAACTGAATTGACCTTTAAAAAAAAAAAAGAGAGAATTTAACCATTTTATGATCAACTTTATGTCACAAATGTGGAAACTTGACCTTATATAGCTGTTGCAATGTTGGATTACATCCAAATCAAGTATCTTATTTTATTGGTGTGTTCTCATATCTGCTTGACACACCACCATTGATCAGGACGCCACCAGAAAGGAAGGCATGTTAGCGAGAGACATTTCTGCTGCTTAAAATCATTTCTCTGGTAGTGACATGGCCAAGCATGATTTTGATAAATTATTTTTGCTTGTCATATGACAGGACTACTATTGGCACAAACTCTTGTGGCATTGTGTGGACAATTCATCTTATCTTGGTTGTTCTCTTCCTGAAAGACTGGAGGTTCAGGAGGACTCTGGCTTCAAAAATTTTCAAGAAAACTCATTGCCCTCTGAAGATGTGCCGTGGGGTCAAGATTCACCACAATCTGATTCCGAGTTGCCTAAACCAGCTGGCACTGATGAAGCTGAATGGTCTGATGGTTGGAAGTAGTCTATCTGTCTAGTGCTTAGAGTGGGAATCGGTATATTCGTTCAGGTTTACTAACTTACGCGCTTTTCGGCTTTTTGTGAGGCTTTCACACGATTTGACACTTGTATTAGATTGCATCGAATGAACACCTCTTCATCTTGCAATTTTCCTGTCTAATTTTGTGCTTTGGCATGCGTGTTATTCTCCATTGAAGCAGACTATTTGTCAGGCCAAAAAAAAAAAAAACCAAAGACTGATTGTCAGGGCGAAAAATATTAAGAATAAATATTGCAAAAATAATCATGCAAGTGAGCTAGGGCTGACATGGCCATGGTAACGGTCTAACAGACATGGAAGAAGCGATGTCGCTGCTTGTGTTGACATTGGGGGGATGGACTGGCTGGCTATGACTTCCGGCTTCGAAGGAAGGATTCGAGTCATAGAACTGCCCTTCAGACATTTCATAATTAATTACAAGAGCTGAATAATTAGGAATAAAAAAAAATTAAATTGGTAATTTATTACAAATATGTGTTAATTTATCCAAACTATCATTTATTTGGAACTATTTTTCAGTGAGAATTCTTTACAATCAATAAAAATGTTTTGAAAAAAAATGAGAAACAAAATAAATTGAGATTTTATATTTAGTATCAAATCTAATCTTAGTTCTCATATTAATGGCCGTATGTAATACTTTCCAATGGCTGTCTTTTTTTTTTGGGTTTTTTTTGGGGGGGACGCTTTATATGCACACTTTTTCCCCATATCTGGGTTGAGCCGCACTGCAAGAATGTGTGCGCGCACTGGCTGTTTGGGGATGAGCAGTTGTCTTGCTTCAGTGGCGAATAAATGATATTAATTCATTATTCAGAGTAAATTTTTCAACATCTCCAACTGTTAAGGGTGATTTCCTTTTCTTCTACAACTGATTGTGGAGTCCTGGAACAAAATTGAGGATTCTAAACGAATTGATTGTTCGATAGTCAATTCTCTTTTCTTCCAAATACTTTATTGCTCTTTTTATGTAACATCTGAAACGGAAATTATTATGAACCTAAAATAGTAAAATTTTATCTCATTAAAATGTGATTCGATCTATCAATTTCAAACGAGATATTCATTCCAAACATAATTGAACTTTGTGATAAAAGCTCAATGAATTCTAGATTTATTAGTTCAAAATAATCTAGCTTCAACTATTAAAAATAACCTGCTTTTGTGATTTGAATATCTGGGAACTAAATAAAGCCTCATGTTATTCCAATTCACTGGTATGCATCACAATATATGAGGAATACTTCCCGATGTGGACATGAAGTAATATGATAAAATTTCCAAGTGCAAGAGTGCGCACAAACACAGACGCATATTAGAACACATGCAAACAAAACCAGTACTTTAGAACAAGTCCAGAAGCAATCAGAAGAAAAGGAAAGAGAGTGTAAGATGGCATGGAAGATGATGGAGTGAGTGGAGAATGGCCTGCTGAAGCCATTGTAGAAGATGGAGTATTAGAAACGAGTGATGGAAAAGAAGGTGGCTTCACAAGTGGAGCTGCATCAGATAAAGGGGCCTCAGAAAAGGATGCGATTGTTGAAGGGATAACAGGGAGAAGCTGCTAGAAAGTAGAATATGATGTCGGTGTCAAATTTCAGATAAGCTTACTATTCAAATCTGATACATTCATGCCTCACAAAAATCATCTGTTGTTCTTTAATATCAAGAAGTAATCATATGATATGTCACAAGTTCAAATTCTAATGATGTCAATATCTCAAAAACTTGATGGTAGTAATTTCTCTGAGTCTCCTAGTCTTAACATAAATATCCTGGCTTTACAAGACAAATGAATTTATTGAGTTCACCAAGGGAAGGGGCATGTTAGCATTATTAATGAACATAAATAAACAGATTTCCAAAGGCAAAAAAAAAAAAATCAAAACTATAAGATTTAGAAGCTTGCTTACTTTTGCAGTGAAGAAAGAGGACCATTAGAAATGCTACAAACTTGAGAGGGATAGGTGGCCAAAATTCTTTTGATTGGAAAGATGAAGTGAGCAGTGCCATTGAGAAAAGGACAAAAGCAGTCCATGCCACCACCTTTAAGTGACCTGAAGGCTTCGCAACACTGGCTAGTTGGTAAGGATTCATTGGGATTGCTATTTATCATAAAACTCATGCAAGGAGTGAAACTGGTAAGCATTGAGGAAGCACAACGTGGAATCTTCGTCTGAGCAATGGATGGTTCAGCCATGGCTATATTGATAGCTAATATCAGAATCACTAAACCCTTCATCTCTAGATATTCCCTTTTCAGTTTTGGCTTGTGGGGCTTGATTAAGAACCTTAGGTCAAAATGGGGTTTTGGAAATTTGATGATTGGATTAGAGAAGGCAAGGGGATTTATAGACGAGATAAAGAAAGAAAAGCTTTTAGGAGTTGGATTTGAAGAACTAAACTGATATGACTAAATCTGTGAGATGTGAAAGAGTTGGGAGCATTAATTGTGTGACCTTCAAATAGCCCAATTTAGCTCAACATATTATGTTGATCAAGTGGCATCTGAAACTCCTTAACCTCAATTTGAGTGTCAAAATTTTTAATTGGTAACTTTGTTTGATCTTCTGTTGGATCAGTCATTCACCTAGTCCTTCTTAAATATTTAACATTAATTGTAATTAGGTCACTCTGAAATTGAATCTTGAATCTTGATGGAGAATGTTCGCGTCACTATGTGGTTATCAAAGCATAGTAGTTGATCAACTAGTCAATTCACGAGATTGGTGCAATTGTTGTCTTGTTAACTTGCTGCGTTTTATCAAAAGAAAGCAAAGAAAGTTAAACCTAAATAATTTCAACGAACATTTATTGCATTTATATGCGGAAAATTATGGAGCAGGTGAGATTTGTGACTAATTTTCATCAATAAAAACACAGGGTACCTAGAGCTCCAACTATCTCTATTGCGAGTGAGGTTGCGTCGAGTAATCAAATTAGTAATAATAGCTGAAGTTAATAAAGCAACATTTTGTGGATAAATATTATAAGGAGATTAAATCAACTAACTGAGAATTCTTTTAAAAACTTGTTTGTATTAATTTTAACATCCTACCAGTAGGCATGTTAAAATTTTCTATAGATTTATTTATTTTATTATTGATTTTTTTGAGTGTAGCTCAAAAACCTTCCCAACTTTAATCCCCCATCCTTCGGGCTTGGCGATTTTATAATCCAATTCCATTGTATGCAAATACTATAATGTATTATACCTCACTTTGGGCCCAAATTAAAAACAGTTTTTCAACCCAAAATCTTATGGTACAGACCCCATCAGAAGAGCCCATGATCATTAGCATTTAGCAGGATATACATGGGCTGAATCAAGCCCAACATTAGCCCAAGCCAGCTCAATGGTTCCATTTTTCTGATAAAAATACTCATATAAATATATCTGTAGAAGTTATAAAATGTCACGACTGATGAAAAATATGGTTTGGTTTGAACTTCATGTAAATTGCTCATAATCAACTCTAAATGGATTTCTGGTATTTAAAAAAAAAAACTCTAGCCGGATTGAATGCATCAAACAAATAAACAAATGAAGTTACTTTCAATTCTGTTACTAACAAAAATTAATCTAATTAGTAAGAAGTTGGCTCATAATTTATAAAGTCATAAATTTGAATTTCATTGCCAATGTAAAAACCTTCTTCGTAGCTATCTGTAAGTATCTCCATAAATATTTTTTGAGTTTGAAAACATATCATAACCTTAGTAAGTCATGGGACCCAATTGACCTGGATTTTTTTTTTTTTACATAAAAAAAATATTTTCAATTCTGTTGACCAATTCTACGTCTTCTTCCAAAAAAAATGCTAACCATTATCGTGCAAGTTAGGCAACTGTAACGAACTTTTCAGCGTGAACAGTTTTTCTAACTTTACTTTCTGAAATTTTGATACCTCATTTTCATGCTTTCTTAAATCACGCGGCACGACATGCTGCATGTCACCTCATGTTGTCCATTTCACCAAAGAAATTTTGACTTTCGTGGTCACTGGTTTCAGATTCGGAAATTAAAGACAGCTTCTATGCTTTAGTTGGTAGTTGAGTTCAAGTCTAAACATGAAACTTATTTTTCTTCTTGATTGACGCGTATGATTTAAAAACGTAGTTCAATTTTTTAAATTGACCAGTCTACACTTAAAATTTGCATGTCAAAAAATAAACCCACATTCCAAAAATAAATAAATAAAATTACCAACGGGGGCTAACTCATGGAAAGGTGCTCTATTTGATAAGAGTTTTTATAGTTATTCCGTTAACCAAGCTTCAATCTCAACAGTAAAGAAGTTGGATGTTTGACAAACATGTAAAACTGGAAAAAAAAAACCATTAATATTAAAATCATTATAGTCGTTTTCATTCGGTTAATTAGAAGAACAGAGAAGAGAAACACCAAGCGGCGGTTCATTCCATTCTGCTATTATTATTCCTGAGCTATGTTTCCCAGAAAAAGGCTGGCTTAGAAGAGCTTAAAGAGCACGTAATTATGAGACAAGTCAACAAGAAAAAGTTTGATGAGCTGCAAAAGCAAAGCCGGTGCAATGAAGCGACGTCGTATGGAAAAAATGTCAAAGTCTCCGAGTTTGAACGCACGCACCGAATACCAAAACAGTAGCTGTTAGAAGAAGTAGGAGAAGCAGTTCACCAACATAACTAAACTCCGCCCTCTTTCTCATTGTCGCTTTCTCTGCCTCCTTTTCCTACATAAACCTCTCTCACCCTCCCAAGCTAAACCAATCGAACACAGTCCTCTTCTTCCACAGCATTAAATTAATTAGTATTAGCTCAATCCAGATTAAGAGTTGCAGAAAGTAGCAGAAATGGCTCGCATGGGTGTGGTTGTGGGGGTGATGGTGGTGGCGATGTTGTGCGCAGGAGTTTCTGCGCAATCGAGCTGCACAAACGTGTTGGTGAGTCTAGCGCCATGCCTCAGTTACATACAAGGCAATTCTTCAACCCCATCATCATCATGCTGCTCACAGCTTAGCAGCGTGGTTCGATCACAACCACAGTGCTTGTGTCAAGTCCTCAACGCTGGTGGCTCCTCCATGGGCATCAACATCAACCAAACTCAGGCTCTGGCTTTGCCTTCTGCCTGCAAGGTTCAGACCCCACCAACCTCTCAGTGTAAAGGTATGACCTTTTCTTCACATTAACATCAAGTTTTGCTTCCAATTATGCTAGTCCCTCGCTGGGGATACCAACAACTATCAATTAGCTCAAGGGTAAATATATGGATTGATCAAATTTTAACTCTCTTAAGCCCATATTTTGAATGAGTTGCGTTGGATGATATAGTTGATAGATAAGATAAATCATGAATCCAATACGGCCATCGCTTCAATCACTGCTTCCTATTTTGATTCGTAACCTTAAGCTAATATGAACAATGATGGGTTGGACTGCAGCTGCTTCGCCGGCCGGCTCACCTGCTGCGGAGTCTCCGAACGCAGGTACTTTCATTATTAATATTCATCCCAATGGAAGATAATACAGTGAGTATATTTAGGCCTCATTTTCTGGATTGTTCATGCTATTTCAGGATCAGGATCTAATAATGTGCCCTCACCAGATAATGGCTCATCCCATGGCAATTCCATCAAGTTATCTATTCCTCTCGTGTTGATTGGTTTTGCCGCAGCTCACGCATCCATTTTCAGAACATACTGATTCTGATTCTTTCAGCCTCGTATATTCCATTTTTGACATGCTGTTATTCACTTGCTATTGATATGAGTGTTCTTGTGTGCATAATGTATTGATCTCCTCTAGGCCCAAGAGTTCAATAATTATCATTCGTTCTTGTGATTTTACGTAGTTCTGTATTGTGAACAGAGTCTTGTCTCTCTTCCCTTTATCAATAAAGATGGCTTATATCTTGCATTTGCCACTGTGATCGTATTATCAATTTAACATCACACATATTGTCCCTCTCTGCATCCCTTCGAAGAAAGTATCCCTTCACCCGACCACTCTGCGGCACTTGTACAATGCACCTTGTTTGCGAGAAAAGAAGGAATTGTTCAAAAGCGAGAAAATGTCAAACAGTTCAAATAAACAATCGACGAAAGTTCATAACATGAAATCCGAGAATTTGAAGTGTAGACAAACATCCAGTTCAAACTGCGTATTCTGCCGAACTTTCATTTTGCTATAATAATTGAAGACGACAAAGATTAAATGCCGAACTACTGCATAGAAGCTCTGTATACATATCCACTACTACCTCCGGTTCTTAATAAAAAGTTGTTTGATTTTTATTTTTAATTTGAGATATAACTCCTCCAACTTAATTGGTTTATTATATTTATCTATTTTTTTTCAGATAATTATTGTAATAATGATAATTTTAACCAATACACTTCATTAGTAATAATATTTTTTTAAAAATAATATATATTTATTACAAATAACTTATTTAACTAGTTTTCTTAATCCATTCAAATTAATAGTATTTAAACTAAGAAACTCCCAAACTTTGTGGCGAAACTCATTACAGCATTTTACGAACAAAGGTCCGCAGAATCATAGAGCTCAGTTTCTTTCGGAAGAATATAATCTTATGACAGATTCCGGTTCAGTCCTATCAAGCAAAAGGTTTTCCTACAGCCTTTGGTATGTTAAATAATTGGCAGAAAGTGACATTCAAGACTCCTTTAAAGAGCTATATTTCACTCCCTTTAGATCATAGATAAAGGAATTGGAAGCACTTCAGCACAGCACTTGAACAAGGTTCCGGATAAACCATAGCAGTAACATACTAGCAATGATAAAACTTCTTCCTCATCTTCTACTCTCATTAATTACTTCATGTACTTTTTTTTTCACCTTCTCCCTTTGATTTCGTAGGTAAGCATATAACTAGAAAGTAAAGCCCCCATTCTTACAAGCCTTGTTCTGGTAAACAGCATATAAGCATTCATCGCTTTCCCTAGAACAGCCATAACAGCACCAACAGATTTTCAGTCCTACATACAAAAGCCGGGAAAGAACGAACACACATATTCGGATCAGACTATTAAGGTTTTAGGACCTCACCGCAGACTGGAAGAGAAAAAATATAACCAAATTGTACAATCAATGTCCTCGGACTGCTGGGAGTGCATCGCAGAATTTCGGGGCAATGATCGCAATAAAAACTTGGATCCACAAATTTGTAACTTAGCTTCCATGATATCAAAAAGTAAAAGATAGGCACGATATACACCTTGTGTTGCGGTCAGCTAAATTAGCTTCCATAATATCAAAAAGTAAAAGATAGGCACAACATACACCTTGTGTTGCGGTCAGCTAGACATGATCCTAAAACTGCACGCTCACTGAGTAAAAAGATGGACATTTGATTTCTTGACACCTCGCTCAAATGTCCATCTCCAAAAATAAATAAATAAAGAATCACAAGGTAAACAAAAATATAAAACTCTGATTTTATTCTTTCTATGATATACATCCAAAAATACCTGAATAAAATCAAAGTTTTCTACAATTCTTAGCATATAAATTAGTTATACAGAACAAACATGACTATTTCTCCTTCTCTGTACAAAGCCATGAAATTCGTTAATGAATCAAATGCTATCAAAATTGAAGCAACTAAAAAATCATTTGAACTACTCATTTTATAGGAACAACACAAGGCATCAACAAAAATTTGCAATATTCAGCACAAGCAGCTAGATAACAAATGTTACATAATGTGATCCCTTAAGACGTTACACATCATGAATGTGTTCGTGACCGAACAAATTCTTCTAGTCTATCCCACACCTCCAATGCTGCAGCCCTGTCTTGGTGTCTTTTGTTCTTACTTATCTGCCAACAAATATGAAATGTATACTCAGAGTGAATGTTAGAGCTGAAAAGAGAGGGAGATAATAAATCAACACCGTGAAATAAAAATCATTGACCAACAGTAGTAAGGGATACAAAAAGCCCACCGAAATTATCTTTACATTCCATTGCTTTACATTCTTTGCCGACTCCAAACTGTCATCTTCAAAACGCATATAAAATCCAATAACTGCAAGAACATTAACAGATTACTACACCTAGCTCCAATTCAACCAAAAAGTACAGATAATAAACACAGTTATGCTCGCAAATTGCAGCAACGATTCGATATGCTGAATAAGAAAATTTAATGACAACACAAATTTCAACTCACTCTTGTTAAATATTTCAACGTGGTCTTTGAAAGGCCAGTCCTTAAACTGCCATTCTTTGCCCAATACGAAAACTGCCACTACCCGATCCCAGTCTTCCGCTTTGAGGGCAGATGGCTTATCCCTCACTTCATAAGCAGTAACCACCCTGTCCCTACTAAGCTTCTTCTGCACTGTCACGCAATCTGGCCGTGCACCCTTCATCTGCTTCACCTTGACGTCAGTCGGTATATAAACCCCATCCTCCAAAAATTCCTTCACATTGTAAATGGTAATCAGAGTCTGAAACGCACTGGGCACCAAAATTATCGGCACCCCTTCACCTATCTTACTGCCCTTCAAGTGCATTTTGGGTTTTGGAGTAGCATCGTACCCCATCTCATCTCCAAACCCTAAACCCCGCTCATCCGCCCCCATCAACCGACTCTTAGCAACAAGCCCATCTTTTCTCTGCTGCGACTCGATTCTCTGCCTCTCCTCTTCGCGCTTCGTTGCCGCAACCAGAACGCTGTAGAAATCCCTATTTTTGCATTCCAGCAACGCCTCGCGGTCCTTCAACGGTCTTTCGGCTGCCTTAATCATCGACATGAAATCCAATTTCTTATCATCCGGGACAGCGGCCAAGTCGGTGCTGACACGATTTGTAGCAAAAGCAGGCTCTTCGGGACGGTACTCGATGGAATCAGTAGAGGATATCTTACCCTGGAGGTATTCGAGGAGGGGTTTTCGGTCCGGGAAGGTAACGGCAGGGATTCCAAGGGAGACGGTGTTCTGAATGTAATCGGTGTGCTTAAGGTGGTGATTCTTGATGTAGTGAACTAGGGTTTCGAGGGTGTAACGGTTGCCCTTGGTTGAGCGGTAAGCAGTCTCAACGGAGCAAGGAAAAGAGTATTCATTACCGAATCGGAACTCGCCGCCGAACCGAACTATCTTCTCCAGCTCGCCTCGGATGGTGAAGTCCCTCAGAGCAGATAGGGGATCCATCGGAGAGCTCAAACCTGTGAGTTCACCGGAGTCGCTACTAAGCCAGAAGAGAGATTGCGAGACTGTTAATTCGGCCCCAAATCCATGTAAAATGCTCCAATTTTATTACCTGGCCATCTTACTACTTTTAATTACGTATTGACCTGTTTAACCAATGTGGTTAAAAATAGTTACATGTTTTTATTTTTTAATCTATGACTACTATTTTTGACCCAAAAAATGTCATGTGGTTAGCTACGGGCATACTCAAGGTCTATATCTTCGCTCTGTTCTGTGAAGATTGACTTATGATCAAGTTAGTGGGTGTTTTTGATGTTGAATCTTTTTTGTTTTTGCTTTTGCCGACGTTTTTGATGTTGGATCTGGTTGGTTGATAGCTCATCGCATTGATTAGGTTGTCCGCCTTCTAAGTTCTGCCACTGTCATAATCACCTTTTTTTTGTTGTTATAATTACTTAAGGCCATTCGTTTGGGCCTCAAAGAATGTGCAAAACTTGTACCTACAGTCCTACAGTTTTACCATCTTATTATTTTCTTTACGAGAGAAAGCTAGCAAGACGATTTAGGGTTGAAGAGTATTTGTAAGAAAAAATGGAATGTTTTAGACATTTTGCTTTATGGGTGTAAACTATACATATGGTTGAGGGTTCTTTATTTATTTCTAGACACGGCCACACTAGGGCCTTCAAGAGCCCACACCATTTAACACATATACAACGTAACCATACAGGAGCGCTGTTCTTCATTTTGAGCCTTGGGATTATGGGCTTACACTGTTGGGCTTACTCTAACACGGGCCCTCCCCCTAATGGGCCTTTCCCCCATCAATCCACAAGCCTCCTCCCGCCTTGCTTGACTGGTTGACTGAGCTTTCAACCTTTGAGAAGATATTATTACATACTGCCCGGACGATATTCGTTTTGTCGTGTCTGTTATTAAACCCGACCTGCAATTTGCAAAGGTCATTTACACATCTATATATGAATGCCTCAGGAATATCCGTGCGATCATTTAACCTCTCAGACGCGGAAGACGTGCTGAAATGGGCGGGTGACGATAGAGTGACCCAATACCTGCCATGGAGCTCCTTGAAAACTAAAGAAGAAGCCGTTTCCTTCATTGAGAAGGTTGCTGTACCCCATCCATGGCGTCGATCCATATGTCTGAACAATCGGTCCATTGGATATGTATCGGCGAAGCCGGGGGCCGGTGACGACCGGTGCAGGGGGCACGTTAGCTATGCTGTGGGTGCGGATCACTGGGGAAAAGGGAGGGTGGCGGAGGCTTTGAGGATGGCTATCCCTCTGGTCTTCAAACAATTCCCCCAGCTGTACAGGATTGAGGCTTTGGTGGACGTTGACAATAAAGGGTCCCAGAGGGTGCTTCAGAAACCAGGGTTTGCTGAGGAAGGGTTGCTCCGGAAATATGGCTTTTGTAAGGGTCAGGTGAGGGATTTCCTCATCTACAGCTTCTTGGCTACTGATAAGCTTCTGTGATCTTAATTGATTTTGCTTAGCCACGAGCCTTTACTTGTTTGTTTATATCACCAATCATTTCCAGAAGCAAGGGGATAGATTAATTACATTTTGTCCTAGCTTTATTTCTACTGGCGGATTTTTTGTTTTTGATTTTGCAGTATGGAGTATAATTTATTACTTTTACTATAGAACAATTTAATGCCCTGTATTAATGTGCTTATACTGTTATTTTATTACTAGGGGGGGGGGGGGTTCATTGATTTCATGAACAATTTAATGGACTTTATTAATGTCTGTATTTATCAGTTATACTACGTACGTGCATTCCTCTAATAATAAATAGCTCTAGAATTGAATCATCGGGCGTATTAAATGTTAGTTAATTATTAAAATATTGACGCGTGTCACCTGCCAAAACCAGGTTCATATGTGTTGCTTGGTTCATGAGGAATGTTCTTGTACAAATTAAAGTAATGAAATGTAGGAGAATATATGATCATGAGGGGGTTGGCTCAATGGGTGACTTGGCTTATGAACCTTTGTAATTATTGGGTTTTTTTATTTTTAACTAACAAAAAAAGTCACGCAAATATTCCTTTGATCCTGTATATAAGCTTTAAATAATCAAATTACATTTAACAAACTAGCAGTTAAATAGTTAAAAATGATAAATAGGTTAGAAATGGTTTTTTTTCAGAAATTTATCCTTATTTATTAAGAGAGTAAATGAGAGAGGCAATAAATAAAAAATGATAAAAGAAAATATGTAGAGGTAATATTAATAAGAGAGAGGAAGTACTAAATACAGCCAATTAAAAGCAAAATAGAAAAAAAAAAAGTAATAAATGTTCAGACAAACTTTAAAATAAAGCTTCTATTTTGGACTAGATCTTTTTTAAAAAAAAAAGAGAGTTTATATATAGGGCTGGAAGGAGTAAATTTACAACTTAACTCTTCAGAAACACACAAAGTGAGCTAATGATCGTGCCATGAGTCATATTCGATATTTTCCCCCCCTATATCTTAATGAACAGATTGCTATATATATGCATGCAATTTTTCGCTATAAATTTAAAGTTACATGCATGGTTTATTCTACATTTTATATCTCTAGATGAAAGCACACAAGTAATAACTCACAAGCACATATAAGAATACTGTGAATACTATGGTACGAGAGAAGAAGAAGACAGAAACAGAGAACAAGTACTCGTGAGTTTTATATATATATATATATATATATATATATATATATATATATATATAAGTAAGAGGCACCCAGTACCTCAATTTTTTTTTTCAAGAGTACCCAGCACCTCAATCTTTTTTTAGTGCAATTTTATTCACCATTTTTTTTTTGGTGTAATTTTACCCATTTGCAATGGTCCTCTAACATTTGTTAATACAAACATGTTTAAAAAAAAGTCTAGTTCTTGAATATGTATTCAAGAAAACCAGTTCTCGAATATATATTCAAGAAAAACAAATAATTCAGATAAAGGTAATTTTAATGTTGACCGTGAGTTGAAAGTTAGCTCGGGGCAACATTACTACGAAATGTACACTTTAAGGGTGACATTGAAACCCAAAAAATTTCTGGACACCCATATCTCTTGCATGAATACTTCCGGGGTAAAAATGCACCTTATCCCAATTATTTTTACCCCGGAAGTATTCATGCAAGAGCTATATGGGTGTACATTCGGAAGTTTTTTTGCGTCTTAATGTCACTCTAGAAGTGTAAATTTCGTAGTAATGTTGTCTTAAGCTAACTTTCAACTCACGGTCAACATTAAAATTACTTTTCTCTGAACTATTTTTCTTGAATATATATTAGAGAACTAGTCTTCTCGAATACATATTCGAGAACTAGACTTTTTTAAAAAAAAAATGTTTGTGTTAATAGATATTAGAGGACCGTTGCAAATAGGTAAAATTGCACACACAAAAAAGATGGGGAGTAAAGTTGCACAAAAAAAAAAAAAGATTGGGGTGTTGGGAGCTCCTGAAAAAAAAAAAAGGATTGAGGTGTTTGGTGCCTCTTTACCCTATAAAACATTTAGCCGCTCAACATACTATAAACACAAACACAAATCTCAAACTTACAATCCACGAAATCTAATAATACAATAAACAGAATAGATATGAAACATGAAGTATATTGGGTGAACTTTAATTTGACCCTGAGCCTCTACACAAGAGAGCATATAATTCTGCTCTAATTTAATTAAATTTGAAACATGAATATTTCATAATTACACACGCAATTTCTTCTTCTTCTTTTTTTTCCCTTGTTCCCTTTTGTACGAAGTCGGCAATGTTTGTAGCTATTAGGCAATTGGCACGTTGTGGTTGTGCCTTAGAAAATGATATCACCAACAATGGCATTTTCTCCTTTCTCGTGTCTTTTTTTTTTTTTAAAAAAAAATCTGATTCTTTCATAATGGATATTGTAATCTTCTAACCTAGTTTTTCATTCAATATAATCTTTTCATTTCATATTATAATTTTTTACTTACATCTTAGAGAAATCGTGACAAAAAAAAAATTCTCAAGATACTTGTTGCATATTGCAGATATTTGAGATTCTTTAATCATGGACGCGTTTAAATGTCGTCAAACACTCATAAAAAATTAGCCAAAAAATAACAAGTAATCGAATAATTAATCAAACTATATATACAAAGAAAAGTTCGCTATGTATAATGTCAATAAAAATATTGTCGTCGTGAGCTGGAAGCAAAAATTTACGGTCTTTTCTTCAAGAGCGTGAAATTCCAAATTATACTTGTCTTGTCCGAATTCATACGCGCACTCATTTTTAAATAGTTTCAATGGTCCAGTTAAACCTTAATAATAAAAAAGCAGCCTGGGTATGAGTTATTATTATTATTATTTAAAATGTACAAAACACTTTTGAATGAGTTACCTCCGAGGCTCCGATTGGGCTTGAGAATCTAAACTGATCTGGTTCTGGAATCCTATTCACGGAGGCACTGCGACGCAGAGATCGAAACTCCCGTTACTCTATAACGCCATGTTAGCTTCTTCTTGTGACTCAGAGATGACAGAGATAGCCCCACTGAATCAGAGAAACTCATTTTTCTCCTCCCCCATTTCCCCCTGTCACATGGAAATTACGCGGGAGATCGCCATGGCTGCTACCAATGTGGTTTTATCTATCGAATAAAAGCCTTTTATTTCATCACTCTTTTCTCTGTAATGAACCCGCCAACCGTTACCTACCTTGCAAACTCCTGCTTTCTCTCTCTAAAATGCCTCTCATTTTCTCTGTTGTCACTGTATGTTCGGGATTCCTCCATTAAAAAAATAAAGTTAAAAACATAAGCCGCATGGCCTCAATGCATGAAGAGAGAGAGAGGGAGAGAGAGAGAGAGAGACTTCTTCATCAATTACACTCAGATCCTTGCGTTCAAGCTGGGAAGTTGAGTGTCTTCCAAATTACACTTGCGAGTCTAGGCTGGTATTTGTCTGGATTCGGAAGCAGTTTCAGCTGAGGTAGTATTCCAAGACACGAGTTCGAGAAACTGAAAGGGAAATAATATCTATGCATATATATATATATATATATATATGTAGACACACACGTATGTAGTAGTATATACAAAATGTAGAATTAAAAGAAGGAACAAAACCACAAGCCCGCCTCTTGTACTTGGTGGTGCCTGATGATGCATGCAGGTCTGGTCATATGAGCATGACTAGTGTGAGCCTCGTTGCATGTCGTTTCTGAGCACCCTGTGATTCTATCCTCCTCAGAAACAGGCAAAGGAAGGCCCGGAAAGCCGGGGGAAAAGTTATCCTTTTTCCTCCTTTTTCTGCTTACTCATTTATGTTCTCTGTCTTGTTTAGAGACGGATGTTGCAGCGGTTCAGCTGTTTAATCAGATGTTCTGCTCTCTGAGTCTGTTCAGACTCGTGCGTCTGTCTTCAGTTTTCCTCTTTCCTTTTGAGGCGTGTCTTATAATCTCCCTCTCACACACTCATCCCGTCTCCTGAGAAAACCTTCATCTTTTTCTGAGACTTTCTGGTTTCAGTGTGTGGAGTATAAATGACTCCGGCAAGTGAACATTATTTGACAAATTTTACATTTTTCTTCGTTTCCCTCAGACTCCTCGGAAGACTTGCTTTCCGAATTTTCCATTACGAAAACGAAAGCACCGCCTCCCCGTCGTCACCGACACCAGAAACTGAGGGCAGACGCTTTCTGAGTCCAGTCGATTCGAAAGGCGTTGGTCTGGGAATTGTCGGAGCTCTTGTGGACGACAATTCTGTCGACTCCGAACAGAACCCTGAAAGCCCGAGGATTCTGTTCGGGTTCCAAATTAACACCGATTCACCTCCCTTACTTTTTCTATCTGATTCGCCTGTGACCTCATCGGATTCCGAAACAGAGGTCACCACCGAGTCCCGAGTCGGAACCTGGAACCCTCCTCGGATCATCCAAATCTGTCTTTCTGCCAGCGAGATGGAGATGTCTGAGGAGTACACTCGGGTAATTTTTCACGGCCCTAAGCCGAGAATCATGCATATATACAGCAACTGCATTGTTGACAACAGCTTGTTCGAAGCTGAATCGTCCTCGGTGTCGTCGCCGGCAGACGATCAAAGTGTGTATCCTTCGTCGAGGTTTCTGAGCTTCTGTGATTTCTGCAAGAAAAGGATGGGGCGCCAAGACATCTACATGTTGAGGTAAATGCTTGGTGACTTCTATCCGATTTATATCAAACTTCATACACAAATGTTGAATCGTGGTAAACAATTAATTATTACGAATCGAAGTGACGAAAATATCTGTGTTAATGGTTCAAACAAAGTTCCGATTGTATTTCAGGGATGAGAGAGCCTTCTGCAGTGCTCAGTGCAGGTACGCCGGAATACTGATGACTGAAGAAGAAGAGTTCTTGAAGGTAGCCCCGGTGAAGAAGGCGGAACTTTTGAGTGTAGCGGCTGTGTGAAAAAGTTAAGAGCCACCGCTTCAACAAAAAAGAAGGGAAAAAGTTAGTTTCAGGGGCACATATGGTTATTGATTACCCCGGGTCGATCATTGAATCTCCTCTGTTCCTTCTTTCTTTTTTAAGCAGGGATACTTTTTGTTTTAATTAGTAAGCTCAGGCCGAGTTAATCGTGGTGTTTCGATAGTTCATCGTGATTGGCTTGGTTTGATACTTTGCAAAGTGGATCCGCCTTAAATTCTGGTTCTTCGAGATAGGGAGATCGATGGGCGTGAGATATTGTAAAGGGTGATTTTTTTAAATTGCAGATGCTAGTCTTTTTTTAATTTGCAGATTACCAGGTTGGGGTGACAACGATGTTGCTCGAGATGAGCTTACGTCATTATCCTCGTTCATGGCTCATGAAAGACATATTCCACGATAAGAATAATATAATTAAATTAAACACTTAATACTAATGATTCCAACCGAACTGTATTCTTTTGAATATTTTCTTTTATTGGGTTTCCCGTTTTGGCAGATATACAGTACTTGATGATTAAAAAACTTAAAGACCATACTACAGATTAAGCACATTTTAGTAGATGATGATAATCCGAAGATTTGAAGAGCTTTCCGGGATCTCGGGCACATGAAGGATTCACGAAGAAGTATTTTTCTGAGTGATTCAGGTGGTTAGGTTAGTGTAATAAGATAGACTTGTATCTTTTTTCTTTTTTTTTTGTTGACCAGCAAGATAGATAGACTTATATCTACGGGTCTTTGGAAATAATCTTTAAATAATCTTCCAATTCAAACGTGCATATGAATTGAGAGCAGACAAAAATTGTATTGCAATGTGATCGGAGACAGGCTGTTCAAGTAGCTGTCATTTCTAGAGGGGTTGGAACAGATCAAACTTGGTTCACTTGCGGCTCAAGGCTGATTCTACAATTAACGAGAGATTAGATATTGGTGCAAAATTGTAAATTTTATATTTAATAAAATTCACTTATTTAAGAAAATTCACAGGGTTGAAGAATCTATCCATGAATATGCATAACTCCCTCATATTCACAATATATACTTCCAATAATTATCCAAAATTTAGAAATTACAATTAACTCATTAAATTCGTCAAAAAGAATTTTTAAAAAAATCAACCTTGCTAATTTCAAGGAGAAATTAAAATATAAAAAGTCACATCTATGTATTAATAAAACTAAAATTGATAAATAAACATTAATTATTCTGTAAAGCAACTTATTATAAAAATTATTTTTTTCAAAGTAACTTATATAGTAGGTAAATTGAAGGGAATATTTAGTCCCATAAATAAACGTAATTTTACGGGTTTCTCATGAATAATTATTACAGCCGGGAAAAAATTACAATAGTTTCCATTAATTATTCTCCTTCTGTTGCGGGCATTTATACTCCTGCTACGTGAAGCACACCGGTGTAGTGGTGTACGCGTCGCTGAGCATCCGCGTTCTCAGAGGCTCAAATTGCTGCTTCATAGGACAAGATATTTATTTATTTTCCCCTTTGAAAAAGGCATGACTTCTAAAATTATTTACAATAAAATGAATGATTTTTTTGCGCCAATAAAAAGAAAGTACTATTTTCGTTCATTAATATAAAAGATAGTCAACTAACGCGAGTAAATTAAAAAAATTTGTTGAGTTACCTATTTGTATAAATAGTTGTTATCTTTATTAAAATATCCATATTAATCATACACTACCTGAATCCTTAATATAAGAGCCAGTTAATTGATTTGAGTAGATTAAAAAATTAGTTAAGTTAATTACTACTATTTTAATAACTAGGCGCTTTCTTTTCTAAAATATCTTTGCTAATTAAGTGCATTGAATAGAATTATCATTATTATAAGAAATACTTTGAGAAAACATGGATATGAGAGACAAAATAAATTGGATTCTTATATTTAGAACCAAAATAAAAATCAAATGAGCTGTTATATTAAGGATTGGAGATAGTATCAGCTAAAACTATCATTTGATTGAAATTTCAACATGCGCAAGAGTAATTTGAAAAAAAATATAAATATGATAAAAAAATAAATTGGTATCTTATATTTAGAATCAAATTGAAAGTTAAATTAGCTTTTATATTAAAGATAGGAGGTAGTATAATTGAGATATCAAATAATTACCCAGTGGCATAGCGTGGACTGCAGGGCATTTCATCATAATATAATGAACATAAGACGTGCTTTATCACAAAATAGCTATACGAATACTCTACAAAATTGGTTTTTTTAAAAAAAAAAGTATATCAAATCATCAACTAACGGGCTAATTCAAATGGTTCAAATGTTTTCCTCGCCCAGGTTTTTAAAGGATGTGTTTTAGATAGAACTGTCTTCTGAAAAAACATCGTATGCAAATATTATATTTATTTAATCTTAAATATAAGATTTATTTTATAGTATAAATTACACTATAAAATAGGTCTTATATGTCAAATAGGAGGAGTAATAAATATTATACAGTAATTTTTAAAACTATGCGTAAATAGCTTTCTTAATTTTATTCTTTTTAAAAAATTACTGTATTCTAAATATTATATTTTCTAGATAGTCTTCTGTTTTTTTTTTCTTACCAGCATGTAGATAGTCTTCTGTTGTTTTATTGATTTAATTAACAGGCTACAATAACTTATACCCCGTGCATTTTAATTGTTGTTTAAGTAATTTTTTTTAAATTCTGAATTATGTGAATATATATTTTCAAAGTTTACATCCTATACAAATAAATTTTTTATTATAATAAAATAAAAAAGATGTTAAAAAAAAAGAAATATACTCCTATAAAAATATTAATTAATATCAAATAAAAAACTCACCTGAACAATTACAACAAATCCACATCCATACGTCAACTGCAAATTTATATATTTCATGTCTAATGCGACCCAAATATGTATGATTTATACATGTAACTCATTTAACACATGGATCGGTATTGTGAAAAAACTAGAACTAATGAAAAAATTAAATTTTTTGCAAGGAAAAAAAGAGAGGAGAAATCAAACTAGAAGATCTTTTTTTTTGGCATGAAAGGAAGATAGAAGAATAAATAAGATTCGATCAAAAAATTGAATGACTCCCGCCATTGATAAAATACAGTATTTTCAAGCCTGAGAAAAAATGAAAACGCATCATTGGACATTAATGCCTTGCACACTTCACGACGCGCTGCTAATATTTTCTCCAGATTTCTCCAACCAAGGACTCCAAGTTGTCTCGCGCATCAACTCACCTATAGCGGTTCATTTTCTGCACAGGGAACCGTGGTTTGATGGCGACTGAAGAAGGTGAGACTAATGGCACTGCAACTGAAGGGGGCTTAATTCTGCGGCCCGTGGCATCATCTGAGTACGGTGAAGGATTGCCTTATGCCCCCGAAAATTGGCCGAATCCCGGTGATATTTGGGGTTGGAAAGCCGGTAAAAGAATTCACCCCTCCGGTTACTTCAAGGACAGGTACCTTTATCTTCCGGATCATCTAAACCGCACCGATAATTCAGGCTCCAGCAGCAAGCGCAGACGTATTTTCGCCAGCAAGCAGTCCTTTGAACGCTACATTCAAGAATCTTTTCCTGACACTGATCTAAATGCGCTCTTCGCTTCTTTCAGCTGGAAAATTTATGCCACTGAGTCTGCCACCCTAAAGGGTTAGTGACTAGAGATTTCGTCCCCTAACTCTCGCATAGGCATATCTGTTTCTCCTTTCTTTTTCCCTCTCTCTGTTATTTTGGCGGCTTCTGTTGACTTTGATGCCCTGATGTGAGATTTTGTTGAAAGGTATGGTAGATATGTGTTCTGATATTAATTAGATTTGTTTATCTCACTGCGCATTTATACGGATGTAAACTATCACATTTCATCCTCACCAAGAGAGATGTCATGTTCGATGCAGCGACGCTGTCGTCTGACTTAAATGTTACTCACTACAGGAGTGTTAGAGTCGGACTATACTATAGTGTGTTTGTAATGAAAAGAGGAAGTATGGATGAAAATTTAACAGAATTTATGAAGGAACATTTTCTAACATAGGCTAAAAAAAAAAAAAAAGTCTCCGTGAGATTTTCAGCCTTTGGAGGAAATAATTGATGACGTTTTGTTATTTTTGCAGCACTTCTTTCTCTGGTTCTCTAGCCTATGATCTTCCGGTCTTCCCATCTACGATCATTTACGCTGATAATTTGATTCGAAGACAATTATCAGCGCATTGTTAACTCCTCAAAACAATTTTTTTTATTTCTTCTATTTCACCGCCACACCACCTGAATTTCAATCTTTGTTGGGCATCTAGCTTGCCTAGGTGTATTTCAATTTACGGTGCTTTATCGTTGATTACGGAATAGCTGGCTAAATAGTGGATATGGTCGGTCATGTTGATAATTTCTCTATATGAAGGACTTGTACGGGGAAGAAATCATATTCTTTTATGGCTGGTAATGGATGTTAGATTGATTAGGACTTCTTCCCTAAATTTGCTTCGGTTTCTTTTATCTTATTTTCAAAATCCATCCATCCTAAATTTGTCTCAAGGCCTATCATCTGTATATGCTTCTATTTGATTTTCCTTTTCAGGATGATTAGAAATTTAATTTTAAACTAAGAATATTGTTTATGCATGGTATTCAATACAGAGCAACATTCTATAGCTGCAGAAGATATAGAAGCAGAAGAAGATTCACATTCTGATTGCCAGTCTGACATTGCTGTATGTCAAGCTAGAAACAAGAATTGTGACAGCCTAACATCAGCAGTAGAAAAAGCAAAATATTTACCCGACCTGCCTTGTGATATTTTCTGTAATAAACCTGGTTTTTGCCATGATTGTTGCTGCATTCTTTGTTGCAAAACTGTTGATTCAACATATGGAGGCTATAGTTACATCAAGTGTCAAGTGAAGGTTGGTGACTACATATGTGGACACATTGCTCATGTATATTGTGCTATTCGATGTTACATGGCTGGAACAGTTGGAGGAAGTGTTGGGTTGGATGTGGAGTACCTTTGCCGGCACTGTGATGCAAGAACTGATCTAATTTCTCATGCCACTGAGCTTCTAGAAAAATGCAAAACTATTGATTCGAGAGATGACATTGAAAAGATCTTAAATCTTGGTGCAAGTATCTTGCGTGGTTCACAGAGAATGATTGCAAAGGAGCTGCTTAATCGCATTGACTTGGCCATTTCAAAGGTATAGTTAATTGATTCTTATGTGAAAGTTATCTAGCTGGGGGAAAAAGTTATCTAGCTTGCTTGCTTGCATATGTTCATGCATGCCCTCTCTTAAGCTCATAAAGGCAGCAATATGACTGATTTAATCGTTCACTTCAGCTTCAATGTGGGACTCTTCTCGAAGATATTTGGAAGGCGGATGATGACGATTCCTTACAAAATGCAGGTACAATATTCGCTTTGTGTTATACAATAGTCAAAACTTTGATGTGAGAATTGCTTAGCTAAATTTGCTCTAGTTCCTACAAATCAGTGAATACATGAGTTCCTGAAAACAACATTCCCATTGCTTATCGTCTTTAACCCACCTGATAGGATAAGGTGCAACAAAATTGTTATTCATACAAATCATTCATGTGTTCACAATCTTTTTTGGAGTTCAAGCAAATTAGACCTCGTGATTGAGGACCAAATTATTAGTGTACTATAGGACCAATAACTTCCAGCTAAGCTAGGCCTTGGCTCTAGCAGGGTGCTTACAAAAGTGTAAATCTAAGTTTTCGTCTATATCTTTCTCCATTACTAATGTTGAAAATGCATTTGTCTTGTGGCCTTATTCTCATTATTGAATATTTTCTGTTCATAAACAGCTTTCTTAGATGATGGCAATGAAATGAAAGTTGCAGCTAATGAAAGCCCTTCAGTAGTCACAACAGGGACAGAAAATAATGGTTATCCGCCTAAGCCTGACTTGTCGAAACTTGAAGATGAAATCCATCAAGTTCTCCAAGCGCTGCGAAAGTCACAGGCTTTAGAATACAGCATAGCAGAAGAAATACTCCATGGGAAGAAGCGTTATCTCCAAAACCTGTATCAGCAACTGGAGAGGGAGAAGTCTGAATCAGCATGTCAACTCTCATCTCATTCTAACGTCTTGTCGGATGCAGTTAGCAGGAGGATGGAACAGATAAGACAGGAAACGATGAAACTTGAAGACATGAAACAGGTAGCCAATGGTTTTGGTAGGACAAGCGAAGATGTTTTGAAGACATATTTTGGCGTAGAAATTTCAGAATAAAAATTGATAAATCTTTTAGTGAACGACTCTACTGAAACATGCCTTTGTTTTTCCAATTACAAACTGTGTCCAGTGTCGAAATAGGTCATGTCTTGTGCCCTGGCAAAGCGCACAGATGAGTAACAAGTATCCCCTTGAGTATATTTTGTCTTGAAGTCCCTTAAGTTATATTGTGTTTTATGCATTGTGGTGATAGTGCTGCAGGACATGAGACATTACACGGTGCAGGGGATAGAGGCTTCAAGGTTTGTGAAGGGAGGTAGTGGTGACTCGTGAATTGGTGATGTGACAGAGGATGCTAGAAGAAATAGTAGGGTAGAGAGAAAATGCATGAGGTATGTGAGCCATTGAGATATGAAGAGGGTGAGGGACGAAGCACGTGGCATTAAAAAATTGTGGATTTTTCCTCTTTGAGATCTTTTTTCCCGTTCTGTTCTCTGCTTTTTTTCCTCTCTAAAGTTGCTATAAAAACCCTGTGTTATTCATCTCCTTCTGCCATTATCTTCCGAGCTTCTGTTGTGTTCTGCTATTGTTTTTGCTGTGAATGGCCCCAAGTGTCACACACTTTCTTTTATATTCCAGTCTTGTGATTTTCGATATAATAACAAAATGTATGGCACTTTAAGCGTAATGTCCAATGGATGTATTATATTGAAATTCACAAGCTTGGATTATAAAGTATGTGTATAGCATTTTAGCGGCAATATCACAGCAAAAGGAACAAATCACTAAAAAAGAGAGGCACCCAAGAGAATAGCGGAAGAGTAAAGTGAACTGAAAGAATGGCTCAAGGAGGATTATCAGATTATTATATTGAAGAACAGATCATTATAACTTTGCTTTGTCATTCTATTTATTTATATCTCAACGGCTTCCACACCTCGTGCGCTTTGCCATTTTCACTCTCAGCCAACTATTTCTTTCTAGCATCTTCTGCCACGTGACCATCATCTCTCCACAAACCTTGAATTTTCTATTCGCTGCATCATGTGACTATAGCACCACCATCACACACGCAACGGTTTGTTGCCATAATTTGAAAAGAAACAAAAAGAAAAAGAAAAATTATATTTCATTAGAGACTGAGACAGTGAAATACTTCAGTGGATTTGAAGGTTTGGAACACTGCGCCTCAGATGATGTTCAAGGCCGATTCGAAAGCAATGGCGCTACAAATTTTTTTGAAAAAATTTCGAAGGGTTTGATGGCTGATGGATTTTTCTTTTATTCTCATCGGGGGTCACTTCTTTCCTTGGTTTTTTGACCAGCAGTCCAGCACTTCTTTCCTTGTTAATAGTATCTTGTGGTACAATTTCAATTCCCTATGTTCACTATTTATATCATCTCATGTTGCTTGCATTTATAAATTCAATTAGACAACCAAAACAATGCTTTTCAACATAAATAAACTATCTTTTGGCCAGAAATATATATATATATATATATATATATATATATATATAACTAGACCCTCTGAAGCACCCAAAAAAAAGTTTCGAGACTCTGATTCAGCACAATGCTCTAACAGTTATGCCTCAAACATTATGCAAGGTATATGCTATTTCACAAATCGATGCAATACAAACTTTCTATATTCCTTATTCATTCAGTTTGCCTTGACTCATGATCCAGACACGGCAAACATCAAGAGGCCATCAACCATTACATTCAGATGATGCCTTGAGAGACAGTATTCTCTTTTCCTTGGGGACTATACAGTATGCCGAGTTTTAATTTAAAGAACTAGATCATGACCATGAGAATGAGATGCCATTCTCATAGCAAACCTCTTTCCTACAATACTTCACGTGGATTGATGCTTTCCATAATAAGTTTGCTTGGAATTTATAATATATAGATATATTAGCCAAATATAGGGATAAATAAATGAAGAAAGGGGCAAACCAAATGTTCAGGACCTGCATGGATACCGAACATGATAGACACGATCTTGGAACACAATAAATTTTCCTAATTATATCAAACACCTATTTAATAGATCTAGATCTATACTTATTACAACCATATTTAACAGTCTGAAAGCAACACTCTCCTCTCTGTTTTCACTTTCGTTCTCAAGTTTAGTCCTTGCATCCAGCTCCACTGTACTCGAAATTACAATCCTTTCTAAATCTAACCATTATGCCGAAACCTGTGCAACTCAAATCGGAAAATGCCGAATCCCGGAATAATTAACTGTGACAACGATTAAAGAGGCACATTTGCTTATAATCAAAGAGAAACTCTCTCCCCGCACACTACCAATGGACAGAAATTTAACAAAGCAGATGCAACATAAAAGATAGAGATTGACATGGACATCATTCTTGCCAAGGGGATCAGTACAGGCCTGATTCATTCGACAGAAACTAGTTCCAACAGCAACTTGAAAAATTAAAACTAATTCGCATATTGAAGCCAAGTTCAACGGCAACAAGGTTGAATTTAAAAAGAGAGGAAAAAGAAGAGTATTACTGTACAAGCACGAGTCTCCCACCCATCCCATTACCATCACCCCACATTTCTCCACCGCCATTTCCATTTCCATCTTCTGGATTGTCCAATTCCTCTCCTTTCGGCACCGTCACTATGAGCTCCCCATCAACAAGAACTGCACTTGCGAGCTCCGGCCGCGTCGATTCTGGCAGCCGAAACCTCCACATATCGAGTTCTATCTCATCCAACGAGAACTCCACCGACCCACTTTCCCTCACCATAATCTTGATCACCCCAGGGTGGATTTCCACCGTATGCGCCTGCACATCGCCGATACCGTCGGTTTCCGCCTTAAATCGGAAGTAATCGGGTCCCTCCTCGATCGACACATCTGCATCGGACCGAAAGGGAAGCTCCAGGACCCGACTGAAAACATGAGGAAGCCTCCTTAGCTTCTTGTTAGAGAGACCAAGAAGCTCTTGAGCTTCCGACAGAGGGTTCCTCGCATTCATGTCATATTGGACGGTGATGTTGCGTTTCCTGGGCACGGGGTGAACCTTCATGGTATCGAGATCACTGTGAATAGCGGGCGATTGAAGCAAGATTAATAGCAGAATCAACTGGGTAAGAATCAAAATCTGGGTGAGATTACAAGGCCGAAAAGGAAAAATCATATATTTGTTGTCCTTTCTTGCGTTTTGTCTGGGAAGAAATGGTAATGAATAAGGTGACCCTAACCCTAAATATCTGCTCTCGATTGAGCAAGAGGATTTAAATTAGCGCTCTTTTCTGTTTGTCGAGAAAATTTGAGAGACTGGGAGAAAACCTCAAGGCAACGGAAAAAGTTTGTTAATGAAATCTTCCTTTTCGGTAAGTGCCGTGCGGAAGAGAGGGAATCAACGCACAGATAAAGAAAAGATGATCAGGACTCAGGAGGATGCCCCTAGAATTCTCAGAATTTACCAGTGGGTCCGTATTCAATTATGGAAAGGAAATTAAAGAATAGAAAAGAAAAGGCTCAACCCTTATCATTTTCAACATGGAATTCCATTTTTTTCAACCAAATTTGATTCATGTGTTTAAAAAAAGTACTTGGATAAAAACAAAATCATGATTTTAAAAATAACTTTACAATATATAAAATAAATATGTAAAAAAGTTTGTCTTGATCTATAAAAAAATATTTTTTAAAAACATTTTTATGATTTTCTATACACTCCCCTGAGTTGATGTTCTTGGGCATGATTATAATCTCCGTATAAGGCTCTAAAACGCCATGTTCTTCCCTTCAATTAATTAGCAACTGTCTAAGGTAAATATGCATACCATAGTCTAAGCCATATAATATACATCCCACATACTCACTAGGCCCAAAAAAAAAACCTCTATATTAACATGCGAGGTATTTAGAAATAGATTACAAAAAAACAAGGAGGAGTAATGAACCTCACGTAACTAATTATATGACGTGGTTTCGAAATACACATATATATTAAAAAAAAAAGAAAGAAATATTAAGGTAACATAATATCTTTGTCTTTTTTTTCAAAGTTGTGAGGGCAGGCTATAACTTGAGGTTAGGAACTAAACCAGAGACCTTTGATTTTCAAAGGAGCTCCATGTCATTATGTTGTGAGCAAACTGGTCTTGTTGTGAATTACAGAGAAAGGGATGAAAATATCACTAGGTGGTGGTGTTGGGAACCTACTGTGTGGAAAATGAAACGTGTGCTTAGAAATCAGTGCAGACATTGCATCACCAAGCTTACGATTTTGGATAAATAAGACAGTTTATGAAGAAACCACATACACTAATTTATAATTATTGTGGAAGCCGACCCAATTACAAAGGCTACGATCTCAGAAGTGGCTAATCAAATTTAAGATTTTTGGCGCATGTTAGTATCAAGCTTACATGCATACATATCCATATACACATTAGCTAACTAGATAATTAATTTGAAGAGATTAAAAATAATAATTAAATTAGTTAATTATAACTAATACTCCCTCCGTTCCTTATTATAAGAGACAAATAATCAAATTACGTTGATAAAAAAAAGTTAAAATTAGTTGAGGACAATTAATGTGTAAAAAGTATAATGTTTTTTCAACAATGCCCCCATTAATAAGGAGAGAGAATATGAGAGAGAACAATTAAATTATTAAAAAAAAGAGAAGTGGGAGGGAGAGAGAGTATAAGTTGGAGACAAAATAAATAGGGGTAAAATAGGAAATCAATACAAAAAAATAGAGAAAACTTTTAAGTGTCTCTTATATATGGGAACATGCCATAAGCATCAAATGTCTCTTATAATAAAGAACGGAGAGAGTATGTGTTAACTTCTTTAAACTATCCTTTTGAATAATGTATATTGAAGCTATCTCTCAGTAAAAACTTCTTATAATCCGTAAATATATTTTAGATAAAATATTCAGCACTTTCACCAGCTTTTATATTAAAAAAAATGTGTGTGTGTATGTATAATTCCAAAATCCAATTAAAAATACCAGCAAACCTCCTACGTATTCAGCGGCAACCCTCTATTAGACCCAACATAAAATGCCAAAACTCTTTATATTAGCTTTTAACTGCCAAGTATATATGCCCCACGCACGCATTCTCAAATTTCGTTACATCACGTAATCGAAATAGTGGTTATAATTTATGAAATGCTGATAATGTTTAATAATGTGCAATGAGCATGAACAACAAGTCACAAGTGTTGGTGGTTTACATGATGACTCAAACAAAAAGGGCTGGGTTCAAAGTTGGGAATTATTATTGCTAAAAGTCCACAACAACACGGTTTTACTTGTTCGAATCTTACGTTGTATTACGCGTAACACATGAAAGGGAAACTTACCCGTAAATGCGTTTGCATTATGAAACGCAAAAACAAAAGACGTAACAACTTCTGATATCATTCATTCTCACACTATATCGTGATAAGAATATAACATCTCAAACTACTATACTCATCTTTAGTATAAAAGCTAATTAATTAATTTAAATAGGTTAAAAAATAATTAAATTAATTATTTATAATAAATAGGTATTATTTTTCCTAAAATACTTTTATTAATAATGTGTATTAACTAGAACCATCATTTCATAAAATTTTTAACATGTACAACTATTTTAAGGATCATCTTGAGGGAAAAAAAAGAGAGACAAAGTGGATTGAATATCATATTTAAGACTAAATTAAATATCAAACTAGTTCTTATATTAATAACAGGAAATAGTATTACTCCTCCGATCCTTAATATAAGATCCACTTAACTAATTTGATTAAATTAAGGAAGTTAGGTAAGTTAGTTAATTATAAGAAAAGTGACACATTTTTCCTAAAACACCATAATCATCTTTCTTAATACCCTCTCTCTCTCTTTTACTTGATTATGGTTGAGGAAGTATCCATAGGGGTAATTTAGAGACAATTAATAAATACAAGAAATGAGTCTTATATTTAGGATCAAAATCAACTTAAAAATTGAGTCCTATATTAAGGATTGGAGGAGTATCATTTTTTGTCATCAATTACGTGATAAGAATAGTGTTATTATGTACAAGGGAGATCAGATTACAGATTGGATTTACGCCTACAGACATGGAGAATGAAGGCGCGGGGAAGCTTCATAAAAAAAGGGAAAATATGCTACCACGGCAAAGCTTCATAAAAAAAAAGAAGGGAAAATATGATACCAATTTTGCGAAAAAAATATGACGGACACTCTTAAATTAAATTAATCATTGTTATATCAAATTCTTTTAAAAAATCGGATTTCAGTTCATTTATTTGAAAATAATTTAAAATTTTAGTATAAGAATGATAAGATCCTCAAACTTTTTTTTTTTTTAAAAAACAAACAATATTTTCTGCATGTGATGAGGATAAGACGTTTGCCCCACTTTACGAATTAAAGACAAAACGGTACCGTCCATTAAAAAAAACACAAAATCATGCATCGTAATGCTAAATGAGATACTCCATGATTGAACCCGTTCATTTCATCCTCTTTATGTATATACTTAAAAAAAAAAAAAGGATTGCTGAAAATAATTATACCAATCAATACCATGTTATCCACACAATTGCTACACAAAACAACTTAGATCAAATCGCTTACATTCATTATATTAAGTTTTTTAATCATACACGATTATGTGTTTTTTTAATTTCATATGAATTTATAATTGGATGCTATTAAGTATTAATATTTTAAAAATAAAACATATGATTATAATTAGAAAACTTGACACAATAAGCATAAAAACTTAACATAAGGATTAGCCATTATTATATTATAGTACCTCAAATCCTAATTATAAAACATCATTTATAGTTTACAAATGGGATTTTATAATTAAGACTAAAGGTAGTATTTGCATAGATCCAAGAATGGGCAGCATCGTCCGCTACAATATCTTAATGAGTAGAATTGCATAAAACTTGTTTTTCAGAATTACGAAGTGTACTGGATAATTAGAGCTTGATTCTATAAAGTAAGGAGTGGAATTTTTTCAAATTGAAGAGGACAGCTTGAATTACAGGTAAGACTAAACTCAACTTTTTACTCATAAAACAAATTTCATGCCATTAAATTACAAGATGATCAGTAAAGAAGCACCTTTAGCTGAATTTAAATGAATATCTTGGACTTGCTACACTATTTTTAATTTGTTTGATATTTCTCTACATATTTTAATAGGTTTTAAATGTCAGAAAAATGAATATAATTTTAAAAAATAATTGTTTTTTTTTTCAATATTTGATTTCTGAAAATAATTTAGGGTAGTTGTCAAAACTAATTTGAGTGATTGTCCTAAAAAAATAACCCTTTTCTGCCTTTTCTTTTACATTAAAAAGGAAAGTCTAACTTCGCTTCTTCCCTTAAAGAAGAAAGAACTATCTAAATAACAACTTCATTTTATTAAACCAAGGATGCGTGGTTTTTCTTGCACGAACAACCCAAAGCAGCGACAAAAAAAGGGCAAAACTAATCCAAAGACTGATTCTAAGTTATCTCTAAATCATCTCCACCCTAACAAGATTATACAGTTCTGTAATCTTTTATATGTCAACTTACCCATTGTTAAGTTGTCATTCAGCAGTTAACCAGCTGTTGCAAGATTTACACTTCAGAGTTGGGAAGGTCTTGATGATGACGCATCCGACGCCTGCGGTGACCTCTTCTATGGCCACGATTGTGTATTCCTGGTGGTTTGTTTGGGGTACTAGAATGATGAAACTCTTCCACCGGACCACCAAAAGCAAAAAGATAGTCAAGAGGATCTGTCCCTTCCTCCCTCTCAAGAACAGGGTTTATCTGCAATGAAAGATTAATGAAAAGGAGATTTATTCAAATGCTCAAATGAAGAAATCCTAAAAAAGATTAGATCCGTTTAAATGAAATAATGATTGTGCAAAAGATGCATATGGGAATAACACATTTACTAGAAACTAATGGCGATCTTGTGTGTTGCAGGGGGTCTAAGAAATGAATAGCACCGTTTGTGGCTGACAAATAATGCAACTAGTTAGATTTATATATACATACATACATACATACATATATATATATATATATATATAAATAGCACCGTTTGTGGCTGACAAATAATGCAACTAGTTAGATTTATATATATATATATATATATATAATCTCTTTTATGAAGAAAAGAGTCAAGTGTCCAAAAATGTAATGTCAATCCGTCAATTTGATCTAATTATTTGCCAAGGGGATTCTCAATGAGGCTCAAGCACTGAACAGAACCTACGCTGCTGTTGTCACCCCTCCGGGTTCTGCCATTGTCCTAGTCATACTATCCTCAATTAAAAGTAGAACTCCATCAGAAGTATCAATACCATGTAATTCAAAAGCAACATAAAAGAAAACTCACAAAAATATGCTTGGTTTCAAGACTGGTTTTTGCGCCATCAGAGGCTTCTCTAGGGCTGCTTTGGGAACTATTTTTTGAGTCATCATAAGAGTCACTGAAGGAGCTATCAGAAAAGTCATAATCCAGTTTCCTCTGACCATTGACAAGATCATCGCTATAGGAATTCCGATATCGCCATCTCAATTTGGGGTGATTAGAGGTTGAATCATCATATACCCTCTCCGTATAAAAATACTTAGAGATAAGTCGCATTTTTGAAGGATCATTCTGAAACTGTGTCACCAATCTGTAATTCGAATATAATTCACAGGTAAAAATTGAATGCATACATATAAAAGAAAGCGCAATATATGAGGAAAACCAAAACTACCGGACCCAAAAAAAAAAAAAAAAATTCTTCTCCTGCTTACCTCCCACGGGTGAATTTCAGACTATCAGCGCAAGTCCTTATGTTCACTTTTCTTGTCACAAAATCAGCGCTCTTGATTGCCAACAAAAGAAAAATTCTGCTCTTGTTTTCTAATACTAAACGGATGTTGCACAGTTTATACAAATAGTTTTTATAGACACATTTCCTATATGGTAGAAAACCGGGATCAAATATAATAATAAGCTCGAAATAGATGACATTTTGATATCATGTTTACCACTCAGTCAATTTTTCTTCATATCACTGGAATTGCATTGCCCCGCCATCGATATTTTTATTGCACAGCCATTTTGTTTGGACTTGCCACTGTTGCATTTTCAACTTTAATGTGAACGAAGGGAAAATATTATGTGAAGAATGAACAGGCTCCGACTCACCTTACATGCTCTTCAACTCATAAGAATTAAACATTTCTCACTCTTAACAATTCTTTTAGTTTTTGGCTCCCAGCAACCAACTAGAGCATCATAATCTACTATGAACCACTTGCAATTGCGTTTATTAAGCTACTTCAACTCAGACGATTGTATACAGAAGATCTTGTAAATTTGATTCTCAGCTCACCAAGTGCTTAAAAACTAAAGCCAACCTGACTCAGGTGTCCCAGATAACTCATGACAGCAAGCATTCATTCAAAGGTCTATTCACGAATACTAGAGAACATGTCACTAATCCAGACTATTGCACAAACACGAAAAAGTGAGCTTTAAGAATTAACATGTCAGAACACTTACATATCTGCTAACTCCTTCTGCATTATACTCCCATCCTGTTGAAGAATATGATCAATGGAGGAATCCAAGGATCTAAGCAATCTCCTCAACCCAAAGACAGCAGCAGCCCCTGAAAAATTATAACTCAAAAAACAAGGTAAAGGGGGAAAGTCTCGGGCATAACGTTACCAGAAATGATCACAGGTTAACAAAAATATTAATCTTACCAGCAGTAAGGTTGACACGAAATGATCTCTTGAGTTTCCAAGTTGCTGCCATGAAGGATTTGAGGTAATCAGGATACGTGAAAGAATCATAAACAAAAAAGAACTAAAGCCATATTAGGAGTTAAGAATTAAGATAATCTGCAGTAAGTCGAAAGGATTCAGTAATGTTTTTGCAGATCAGAACTTGGAATAGGGGATCGCAAAATTAAAGAATAACAAATCTTGAGAAGATATTGCTCCTATTTAAATGTAATGTTATCACAAATAAGAAGCAGCATATATGTTGGGAGTCAAAAATTACGAAATTGACAATCCGCTATGTGTTTAGTGTTAACTATGATCAAGAGACAATGAAAAAAATACTGAAGTACAATAAATCTTGAGTAGATAATACTCCCGTATGAATGTAGTGCTGCTGCTGATAGGCACCAGTACAAATCTCAAGTCAATCTTCCACACAGAAGGTGGGAAACATTGAAGAGTTGGAGTCACTGACCTGACCATGCAACGATACCAGCAAGCGAAGCACTATCAATGAAGTCGTCGAGAGCTTTAGATTTGCATGAAGAAAGAATATCGGCTTCCTGAGGTGTCAATTTCTCCTGAAAAATAAAATAGACATAGTTGTTGGATGCTTGGATATACAAGTAACAGCAGCAACATCAGGACCAGCAACTTGGAATTTTCACGTCTTCTCCTTGGCATTTACAAGCACTGATAACTTTCAGCACACTTGTAAAATTATTTTGAAAGAATATATCTTCTATGATTACTGATCACCATTCACTTCCAATAAACGGGGAAACAGTCCAGTCAAATAAACCTAACTGAATCGACTATTTGCCAGGGAGTAAAACAAATACCCCTAAATTGCCAATGGTTGTAGTAATAGCAATAACAAATATAACTCTGAATAAGAATGGCAAAAAGCACAAAGAATCAATAATTTGGGGGGCCACAATTTGAAGCTGGATCTTAGCAAAATCTCGAGAAGAGAGCCCTAGAGCGAATGTACCCGTTTGGACATGAGAACTTGCTCCAGCTTCCACAGTGCGTCACCCATGTTAGTCCCCTTTGCCTGCAGATGCACAATGATATTCTCAATTCGCGTTTACGGTTTTCTTTTTCCTGAATCGCTCCACTGCTTGTTGGTAGGTTGCTGCTTCGGTTTGCCCGTACCTTTTCCCTTTTTTTTTTTTTTTAAAAACACTCGAATATCATGGACATCTGATAAATTTTGAGATATTAGTGATACAACTCCCACATTTTGTTTGTTTTCTTTTTATTTAAAAATTAATAATTTTTTAAGTAAATAATAATTTTTTACTTTTATTAAAAAATGGTATTGGCAAAAGGAAAAAAAATCTTCTATGCAAAAGAAAAATAACTTTCGTTACTTCTAAATTTAGAAGGTGTGCTATATCAATATGCATTAAAATTAATTATGAGTTATATTATTAAGTTTCGAATACTGAAGGTGAGCTAATAGCAAAAAAAAAAAAAAAAGAATACTGAAGGTGAGCAACAAATTCTTGGCCAACAATTATAACTTTTAGCTCACCTTTCATATTCAGAAAGTGAGCTACATCAGTATTTAATATTAGTTGAGTTTTTTTTTTAAAAAAAAAATCTTTCATCATAGGATTCGGTCGTCAGATTTGGGAGGGAACAGTCAAGTCCTTGTACCTTGGATAAACAACGTTTTGGATATTACATGTTAAAATTTGGAATATGAATGCTAAATTATATTTGAAAGGCAACTATTTAAACATATTGACTAAACAATTTTCTTAAAATATTTCATGTTGAAATTTAAAATAAGGGGTGCAAATCAAATTGTAAAAGGTACGTGTGTTATTCTTACCTCTAAACGGCTCAGTTTATCCGGTCACACAACAAATCAGGGTATCAAGCGTTGAAGGGCCCGAAATGCTAGTTTTTCACTCTCTCTGCTCTGACTCTGAACTGTCATTGAGATGCTTGTGGATATAGCCAGAGAAGAGCTCTTCATTCTGCTGCTTTCCCTCCATTTCTTGTTTGCTAACCAACAACCATGTCTAGCCTTACACCTGCCACTTTAGCTCTTCCTCCCAACCCAAAATCATACTCTGCTTGGCACAACTCTCTGTTAGCCGCGCTCGCTTCCTCCACAACTCTTACACATCTTAAACAAATTCATGCTCAAATCCTTAAGTCTGGATTTGATCGCCCAAACTCCCTCCTTCTCAAGCTTGTCCTTTCCTCTTGTGCCCTGTCCTCCTCCGGCCTCGACTATGCCCTCTCTGTCTTCTGCCAAATTCAAAACCCAGAGACCCGTTTCCGTAACAGAGTTTTGCGTGAATTTTCTCGCGGTTCCAAGCCTGAGAAGACCCTTTTGTTGTATGAGAAGATGAGGAGAGATGGGTCGAATTTAGACAGGTTTAGCTTTCCACCATTGTTGAAAGGGATTTCCAAAGCTTCTGCCTTGAATGAGGGATTAGAGATTCATGGGCTGGCGTCAAAGATGGGTTTTGATTCTGATCCCTTTATTCAGACAGGGTTAATTGGAATGTATGCTGCATGTGGGCGGATTACAGATGCACGTTTGCTGTTTGATAAAATGTCTCACCGGGATGTTGTTACGTGGAATATTATGATAGACGGGTACGGTTTAATACGTTTCGTTTTCATTGGCAAGGACTTTTCCCCCTTTTGGCATTTTATTAATTATTCGTAACCCTTTCAAGTTATTTACTTCTCACTTCTTGCTCTGTTTTTTCGTTCCTTTCATTTTCCCCTTGGTCTTTAATATTTTATGTTGTTTTCACTCCGCATTAAGCTTCACAACATGCCACTTCTCTCTCTACACCGTTCCAGCCATGGCGTGAATTAACCTATAGATCTTTGGTTGTAATAGGTATTGTCAGAGTGGTCTTTTTGATAATGTATTAGAGCTCTATGAAGACATGAAAAGCTCTGGTATGGAGCCAGATGAGATAATTCTTTGCAGTATACTCTCTGCTTGTGGTCATGCTGGAAATCTGAGCTATGGCAAAACAATCCATGAGTTCATAAGGGATAATCATCTTGTTGTTGACTCTTATTTACAGAGTGCACTTATCAGCATGTATGCAAATTGTCGTGCAATGGATTTGGCTCAGCAACTCTATGATAAACTCTCATCAAAACACTTGGTTGTTTCAACTGCAATGGTTTCGGGTTATGCAAAACATGGAATGGTTAAAGAGGCTCGCATGATATTTGACCAAATGATTGAAAAGGACTTGGTGTGTTGGAGTGCAATGATATCTGGTTATGCTGAGAGCGATCAGCCTCAAGAGGCTCTTAACTTGTTCAATGAAATGCAACAACGGGGAATCATACCTGATCAGATCACAATGCTGAGTGTCATTTCTGCATGTGCTCATCTTGGTGCGCTGGATCAAGCTAAATGGATTCACTTGTATGCAGGTAAGAATGGGTTTGGAAAAGCTCCATCAGTTAATAACGCATTGATTGATATGTATGCCAAATGTGGGAGCTTGCTTGGAGCAAGAGAGATATTCGAGAATATGCCGAGAAAAAATGTGATATCTTTTTCCACTATGATTAATGCTTTTGCCATGCATGGGGATGCTAATAATGCCTTAAACCTTTTCCACAGAATGAGCGAAGAAAATATTGAGCCCAACTGGGTTACATTCGTGGGCGTCCTCTATGCCTGCAGTCATGCAGGATTAGTTGAGGAGGGCCGGCAAATTTTTTCATCAATGATTAATGATTATGGCATCTCTCCCAAACATGAGCACTACGGTTGCATGGTTGATCTCTATTGTAGAGCCAATCTCCTGAGACAGGCTCTTGAGCTGGTTGAGACGATGCCTTTGGCACCCAATGTTATAATTTGGGGATCCCTTATGTCTGCTTGTCAAGTCCACGGTGAGTTTGAATTAGGAGAGTATGCTGCCAAACAACTTCTTGAGTTAGAGCCAGATCATGATGGGGCCCTTGTAGTTTTGTCAAATGTTTATGCCAAAGAAAGAAGGTGGGAAGATGTTGGACAGATCAGGAAACTAATGAGACATAAAGGTATTTCTAAGGAGAAGGGATGTAGTAGGATTGAACTGAATAATGAGGTGCATGAGTTCTTAATGGCGGATAGATATCATAAACAAGCAGATAAAATATATGAGAAGCTAGATGAGGTAGTGAGCCAACTAAAGGTGGCTGGCTACACACCAAGTGCATCAGGCATTTTAATGGACATAGAAGAGGAAGAAAAGAAAGAAGTAGTACTATGGCATAGTGAAAAGTTAGCACTTTGCTATGGGCTAATTAGTGGGAGAAAGGAGCCATGTATTCGTATAGTTAAGAATCTTAGAATATGCGAGGATTGCCATACCTTTATGAAGTTGGTTTCAAAGGTATATCAGATAGAGATTGTTGTGAGAGATAGGACTAGATTTCACCATTGTAAAGGGGGTGTTTGTTCCTGTAAAGATTATTGGTGACTTATTTCTAGTAGTAAACTGAATGAATTATACAGTTAGTTCTTAAATTTAATAGCAAATGGCGACTACCCATAATTTAACTTTGTGCTTTTAAATTCATTATGCATATGATGTTGCGGGCCCCCAAAAGTAAGCAGGCTTTCTCGGTTCAGTGCCTGGAGAAAACTTCCCTTATCGCAACTCATTTATTAGATCATTTCTTCATCAGTGATTCAAATGAACATTAGTTTTAGGCGCATATTCTCGTCACGAAGTAAGCAATTGGTGTATAAAGTAGAGTAACCAGGTTACAGAATTCATTACCAAAATATACCACTTGAATATCTGGAAGTGACAGGCAATTTGGAAAGAGGAAGGAGCAAAAAGAAATAAACGAAATGAACCACTGCAGAAAAATATAGACTTCTCACAAGCAATGAGAGGACAATATATGCCACTGTCCGTTGGTGGCTTCAGGTCGGCATTTTGGTGCCATAGTTTGCTGTTAATTCAGTATATTGATGGTCTCCAAAAGCAGCAAACAGCCAAAATTCCTTCTTCACTGTTCCAGCCATTCTTGAAATCCTGTGCTTGAAAAATTCCAACGCTGCTGAATACAACCTTGTGCTATCAAAAACAAATCTCCTTTTATACTCAAGAACCCATGTACTGGAGTCTAATTGCACTACTGAGGCGCCCCATTTTGGCTGTACCCAAGAAGCATTTGCTTTTCGAATCAAATAGCCGACTTGTCCAGCATTCCACTGTTGAACGAAGCAAAAATAGAGTCAGGCAACGATACCATACGTTATGTCTGGCCAATTCATTTATCAACTACGAAGCACATATAATGACATTGAATCTAGAAAAGGCACAGTATTGTGATTACCTCAGTAACTCTTCCAGATAAGATAGTGAATGTTCGAGAAGAAAATCCAGTTGTGAGCAATCCAGCTGTTTGCAGAGGCCATCCCCAGATTGCCACCTCCTCTGCTGCTGATTTGTACAATGTACAACGCGAGTTCAATAGAACCCCATTCTAAAGGCAATTTTAATGGTTGGTCAGCTATTATTTCTTATTTCTTAATGGTTAAAAAAAAAAAGACATACTTAGAATTCCATATTTTTCCTTAAATTTGAAGGAAGCTCACAGTTCCTCCAAGACATTTGAGATCAGAATAAAAAATTATTCTGATGAACAATACCTGGCTGATTTCCCACACGGAGTTACCATAGCTGCAATTCTGAACTTTCCCATTAACAATATCTTGCAGCTCTTTCTGCAAAAATCTAAACTTTCCATTCAAATCCTGCACTACCGATGATTTCTCGCCAATTCTTTTCATTACATCCGGTGACAAGACAGGTCGAAAAATCCCAGAAACAAGCAAGGTGAAAGCAACCTCCGCAGATAAAATGAAGCATAAACCTAGGACTAACCTAAAGAGCTTAACCCCAGAAAAATCCCACTCTCTTTTTTTCTCATTTTTCATTTTTTCGTCTAAATTCACTCTAGCATCAGATTTGACGGCAAGGGGAGGCGAATTGTGAGAAGCATTTGATGTGGGTGTGGACAAAATGGAAACATCGAAAGAGATAGGAGTATGCTCAACATTAGGTCGAGAAGCAGAGAGCTTGGTGAGCGAGCTTTTCTGAATGCTCACAGGCACACGGTCGAGAGTGGCATAGCTTTCCAAGCAAAATTTACAGTCGCAATTGGCGTCTTTGAGGCAATCCGGGTAGTAGCAGCTGTCTCGGTTTTCCGTTGATCGGTCATGGTTTTCCACGACAGACGAATTAGTGCTGCCAGTATTTGATTCGGATTGGGAAGGGATGGTTTTCATGGCTTTCCTGGTGCGTGCTCCCTCTCCAGGGAATTTCTCTCCTGATTCTTTTGAAAGTTGTTTGGGCCCTTACCGTTGAGAAAAATATGGCATTCAAAATTTGAAGCCCAACGGTCGTATTTCTGGCATGATCTTTTTCCCTGAGAAAATGCTCAGACATTATGCAATGACAATAATGGCCCCACAGTTCATGATACAATTGCACATGAATTACTGTATCGTTTTTTGTTGGCTCTGTTAAGAATAAAAGGGTCCCAAGCTGCGCAGCTATCCAGTTTTTTCCGTTGATGTCAAGAGTAATAGTGTTGTGGTGAGTTTCAGCTCATAGATACTGAGGTATTGGCTTTCATTTAGTTATACTAAGCACGCCTTAGTTTCAAGAGGTCTAAAGAGTGAGTGGTCAACTCCTCCACAAAAATAGCCTTAATTGAAACATTAATGGGGTGGGATCCTATGACATGAAAGCTTAAGTTAGTTCCTGAAATTAAAGTGCTTAACATAAATAGCACTAAAGTATAAATAGAATTTTTCATTGGTCTCTCTTCCAACTGATTATATTGTTGATATTTATGTCAAAGATATTGAAAGATTATCACTTTGGTAATGTATGTCCGAAATGGTTTTTTAATGGTCAAATAAAAAAATATTCCGAATCTTGTAGGGTGTTGGATTATCAATTACTCAAGCCACGAGACTTGCCGCAATTCCACTCTTTAAAAAGATTTTTCAAGACTAGTACTTTGTTTCTTGGTGCAAGCATTAGTAAGTGATCAATTATTCTTTTTTTAAATTATTATTATTGAAACAAGATTCAAGAGAAAGACGTTTACAAGAATCATAATTTAAACGTAACAAATGGAAAGAGACAGCCAGAAGTCATTTTAGCACAATGTGATGAAATATGGAAGTGTAATTACCCACATTTATTATCACCTTGACAAAGTCTAAGGAAGAAGCCAACTCCTGCTTTTTAGGTTGGCATCAGCATCACTCATGGCAATCCCACTCCTTGTAGACCAAGAAATACGGAAAGGTCTTTATCACTTTTTTTTTTTTTGTATTTATGTCAGAATTTTTTTTGAATTAAATGACAATCACTAACGTCCTGAAATTACAAATAGAATTGAACCCGCGACCTCTCACTTATAAGAAGAGCTTACATATCACTAGGGTACAAGGCTATTGGCCATGTCAAAGAATTTTAAACCTTGAAAAGAATAAAGATCAATATTCTTATTTATCTTAGTATCATCTCATCCTACAAATTGGTCGCTTTTCAAAATTTCCAAGCTAAGAAGGAATTTTATTTTTGTTTTAACCACCAATTAATGTTTATGCTAGGTGCACAAATATCATCCGTGAAAGAATTGAAATCACAAGTGGGGTTTCAATTAAAGAGTGATAGGGAAACGGGAAGCAGAGATCCGAGAGGATTGATAGATGTTGGTCGGAAACAAAGAAAATTCACGCACACAATTCATTCAATCAAAGCTCTTTTTGTCAACACCCTAAAACAAAAGAAGTTGTTTGTTGCAATTTCCCTTGGCAAGTGGCAGCTATACGTGTTGGAGAACAATCTTTATATAAATGCAATGTCCTCAGTGAATGGGACATGATAATTTCTAAGTTCCATCTATCCTATTGTTCCCACACTTAGCCCTCTGCTTCTCTCTCATTCCATTCACATGATTCTGCAGATTTCGGATCTCTTTAATGAAAACTGATACATATACAAATTGTCATTTTTAAAATTATTCGTTCCAAGTAAATTTCTACTTTTCTTTTTCCCCCTTTTTTCTTTGGGTCGATGACGTTAACTTTATTAATTACATGTGTTGGTGTTGCAGCTGACATATAGTTGAAAATAATGAGAGTGAATGATCGATCATCAGAATTTGGCAAATTTTTTCATATAATATATTATTATATTCCAACCACTTACATCAATCTAACTTATTACTTTTTATAGTAATTTAATCGGAATATTAAATCAATTATATTATGACATAGGTTTGTGTTGGATTCGAGTTTAGCATGATAACGCCACCAAAAAGCAAACTAATAGTGAGTTGTGTGATGGGAAGCAAACCTTAAATAATAATGATGAATTCATCGGGAAAAAAAAATGATGATGATGAAGATGGAGTACCTTAGTGATCACACATGAGTACACCTCATTAATTCATTTAATCACAGCCACATATTAGATTCTTAACCTCTCCTTTAATTTTTCTTCCTTTGGGACGACGCCCTTTGGGTTCCTCGATCCAATTATGGTCATTACATTGTGCCTCAAAGCAAATTATCATTACCATCCCCAGATAGTAGTACTAGCTATATATGATCAGTCGTATTTAATACAAAAATTCAGCTTGGACAACATATATAGTAGATCATTTTAAAAAATCTGATTAAAACTTTTTCTAGGTTTTTATGTATCAATAAATTAAAGCTTTCTTAACTTAACCGTCAATAAATGTTAAATTCTGTTGTATAGGAGTAGTTAGTTACCCAGTAGCCACTTGTACAAACCGGCTTATTACTTATCTGGTTACTAACCATTTTCTTAATCTGAAACCATGTGTAATATGTATATCATCTTTAAAGATGATCATTTTTTTTAAAAAATAGCTGTAACAGATCTAGTTAAAACAATAATTCTGTCATGATTAAGTGAAAACATATTCCATTTGATGGTGATTAATTAAAATAGGGTTTTAGTTTTTTTTTTAATTCATTAAGAATCGAAAAGCATGGTTATCCGGCCAAACTTGAAGTTTGTAACGCAAGTCATGGCGCCAGAATTCTCATGTTAGCTTTAGAAAATTGAGGTTTTCGGGATAAACAAATGGAGCGACAAGTTGACCATTGTTGCTACCTTGTTAATTGATACTCTTCCTATTCTTAATATAGAACTAATTGTGGAGTTGATTTTATCCTAAATATAAGACATATTTCTTATATGTATCAATTTTTTTCAAATCACTCCTATTGATACTCTTTCAATACTAATCAAGTGTGAGAGGGAGGGAGGGAGGATATAATGAAGATGATTAAGGTATTTTAGAAAAAACACGTCATATTTAATCATAGTTAACTAACTTACTTAACTTCCTTAATCTAATCAAATTAGTTAAATAGATCTTATATCAAGGACGGGATAAGTATTAATTAATTCCATCATATTCTCAAATAATAATAGAGTATAATACTACTATGTTGCTGCATTTTACAGTACTTCAATCCATTTGGAAAATAATAAATAACATCAACAGGTTTATCACTCAGGTATTCAAAAGTCTCAACTCTCAACCAACTTCTTCACCTACAAGCTTCAACCTAATAATGTCCCATTCATTTCCAGATTCCATAACCTACCATATCTCGGGTCATTTCAAATCCTTCAAGGAGACATAGAATGATAAGATTCAAGGAGAAAGAACAAAACTCAGCTTATAATTACCCAATTGACATGCAAAAAGAAAGGCCTGGCTACTATTCTGCGTTTTAGAGTTCAAATATCTTATATATGAAGAAGAATGAATGCCTACGTTGCGTTTCATCATACGCTTCTTCTACTACCAACCTATATAGTATAGATCATTAGAAGAAAAGTGAAACCGGAAGAGAAGGATATGCTTCATGTGAACCAGCACACACACCCTGTACAGAACAAGATGAAAAAACAGCATAGCTAGAAAAGGGGTTTGGTTATCATTATACCTATATCAGTTTTATTTATTTATTATTGATTCTTGATTCCAAGTTCCAACCCCAGAGACAGTCTTAATTAGAAAGTGAAAGTGGAAGAATCTCCAACTTGGGAAGTGCTGGCGGCTCTGGAATACTTCCTTGAAGATGGTGGAGCCGGTGATGATGAAGATAAAGACAAGTCGCTTGATCTTCTCCGGAGAATCTGTCTCATACCGTCAGCGACACGAACAGCAGGGTTGGATTTGAACTTGCGACAGAAGGACATGTGAGCTTTGACAGCTTCGTCCATGGCGGAAACGGGCTTCTTCCCTCTGCTCACTTCATCTCTGACAGCTTCAGAGCACAATCCACAGAGCCATTTGCCTTCAAATTTGGACTTCACTTGGCTGATGTAGTCCTGCGTGCAATCCTCTTTCAGCCCACAACACTCACACTTCACTGATTCAATCTCCATCTCTCTCTCTCTCTGTTTCTGCGTTTCTGGGAATGAATGGAGCTTGAAAGTGTGAAATGAAAACTTTTTGGCCTACAATTGCAGGCAACAAAAGGATTATATGGTTTGGTTTGGTGGCTCTCTAATTCTTGTTCACTATTGTGTTGTTGCTCTCCTTTTTCTCACTTTGGGGAGATCGAAGGGTTTGTTGCTTCAAGAGCTAGCAAGTGATAGTTGTTCTGTATGAGGCCTTTTATGGAGTTTGGGATGAAGGGAAAACCATCGCTTTTTTTTTTTTGGGGGTTTCTTTTTGGGTCAATAATGAAAGTTGAGGAATTCTATCCCATATTTTTTCTGATATACGTCGGAAAAATCCCATATTTTTTATCCTGTGGGATGAAATGATTATGTTACCATATCACTTCTAATGGAGGTTTTTTGGGTCATTGGAGTTTTTCTACACTTATTTATTTTGTTTCTTTTTTATCATGTCATAAAATAATATCGATAATATAATATAGAAATGTATTTAGTGAGAGATGGGAATGGGAATTGAAAAGGAGAGTCATAATTGGGTGCGTGTTGAAAGGGAAGGGGGGAAATGAGTGAGAGGGGGTCCTTAACTGCTGCTCTTTCCAGAACTGAAGACTTATAAATAATCAATGCTAGCTTAATTTTCCCATTTATGTGGGGGCCACCCAGCTGTTCATGTTACTAATCTCTTATTTATTTTCTTTATCTAAATTTGTTTCGTTGTCCATTTGCTTCATGAGTCACGCCACCCACCTAATTCTCACCTTCATCGTTTTGTATAATTATTATCTTGACAGTCTAATAATCTGCCATTAAGCTATAATCACTCCCCTTCAATTTCTTAATTATGCAACGTTATTTTATGTTATGTTTGGAATGACTTGGATGTTTGTATTCAACTCTCTCTTGACTTGGCTACAACTCATCCCTTGCTTCATAATAAAATTAGATTGAAAAGGGTATATAGAATAATAAGATTTAAGAAATAAAACATACTCATTGCACATGGCAAGGTAAACTAGGCTGGTTTGTCTAAATTATCTTAATTAGAAGAATAAGTTTAGTGTTTGACCAGTTTCTTTTCCACATCCACGCGCATCACTTTTGAATTTGCTTAGGTATCACATTCAATCTCACCATTATTTTTTTTTTTTTTAAGAAAAAGCTCTTTACTTTAATGATCAAGGGCCTCAGTCCTTTGCACTTTCATTTCATAAATTCATATTTTTAACATGTTGGAAATTTCAACTTGTTATATTCTACGGAATGTTTATGATTAAATATTAAGAAAAATTATCATTTGGTTTCATGAGATTTCATCTTAGTTACAATTTAATTTATAATTTTAACTCGTTATAACTCAATTCTTATATTTTGACCTGTTTAATAAATTCGTGCTTATCACTAGAGAAACAAGATAGAACCTACCAATGTGTCACAAGTGGTGTTAACAAAGTTAATTGTCATCTTAGCATTCTTATGAGTGCCATGTTAAAATATGATAAAATGACATCTATATTTATATGTGTTTATTTTGGTATAGATGGTTTACATTTAGTTGTGAAAAGAGAAACAGAGACAAATTGAAAATTGAAGCATATGACTAATTAGGATATGTAAATCCTATACATAATCATATTTTGTTGTGACACTTTCTCTATAAATGCACATTCTATGATTATTTTTCATGAATGGAGGAATTTAAAAGCTCCTCCTTAATATAATGTATATACTGTAGTATATGAAAAACGCGTATGTTGTTCATGACTAGCAAATTGCAAGTGATGATGTTATAATTACTTGATTTAGATTTTATATTTTATATTAATTTGATACAATTTTTTTGCCTAGATACTAATGTCATGCATAAAAATCTATGACTTGACAACTTTTTTTTTCCTAAATGATATCTATCAAAGATCAAATGTTGTTTTTAACTAGAAAAATAATGTAGGTCCATAATTGCACCAACTTCATATCTAATTATTGCTAGAAGGTTATATCCATTGATTGACAAGGTAGATAAATAATGTAGAGGAAGTAATTGTTTTGATAAAATAATATAAAGAGGACAAGCACAGAATTTCATTGAACCCTCATAAAATTTAGTGGCCGATATGAATGTGACGCAATATCATACTTTGAAACCCAAGACAAGACTACACAAAGCCAGATTTTTCTATTGTGTGTCTTTGCAATTACTCATGCAGAAACTTTGTCGCTTGATCTTTTTTCTTTTTTGCTTTTCCCTTTTTCTGAGGAAAGACGGTATCTTCTAGTCCTAAAATCTAATCTCTAATATTGTTACTTCGCTTCCAAGAAAGCACACGGTAAGGTTGCCTATTAATTCTTCTTGACCTGTGTATCCACTTCCTATATAAATGGCTGAAAATGCAAGGTTGAAAACAGCTAAACTTAAAAACCCACTTCGATTTTAGATTTTGTTTTCTTTCAGGTTTTTTTTATTAATCTTTATTGAGTTTCTGAATGGAACTAGAAAGAAAATAAAGAGAGAAAACAAGGGAGATGTAGGGCTTGTTTGGTTTTTTGAAAACAATTTTTTATTTTTAAAAACAGAAAAACAAGAAAACTTGTTTGGCAATTTGTTTTTAGTTAATTGTTTTAAAAAAACAAAAAAACAAAAATATATTTTTAAAAACTGAAAAACCAAGACAATTTTTACATGTTTTTTGTTTTTGTTTCTATGTTTTCTATCTTTTTGTTTTTAAAAATTGGAGAAATCTTCTTCTCATTCTCCTCTACTACCTACTACTTATCATTACTGGTGATAACTACTACTTGTCAAAGTATAATTTTTTTTTTCAAATGTGATTTTTTAAAAATTATTTTCCAAACAAATTTTTTTGCTTTTTTGTTTCCAAAACTTATTCTTAAAAACAATTTTATAAAACCGTTTTGAGAAAAAGAAAACAAAGAACAAAAACAAACAGGCTCGTGTATTTTTACTCTCTGTGTCATTTTTTTCAAGCATATGATGTATAATTGTAGAAGATGTGAACAAGTTTTTGAGTTACTTTGATTAGTTCCTTTTTGTTTGACGTCATATATACTGAGCAAATTAATTAAATTATCGCATCATTGAAAGTGAAAGGAAAGTATCAATAATTGAGGAAGACAGCTTTAAAACTTCTCCGCAATATAATCTCTTCTAATTTGCGGTGCAGAACAGCCTCGCCTCGGTCCTTTCCTTCCTCAATGTTGCTTTCACACCTATAATGTTTCATCTCATCCTGTTGATTCAGCTTCACATGCATGTATATATGGGGTTTCCTTCAATTTTGGACACGTGGAAAATCAATGTTATGTGCTCAAAATTTTGAACTCTTCAGGGAAACAGTATTTAAGCACATTCTATCTATAATAAATTAGTCAAATTAATCATAAATAACCATGTCGGGGATAAGTTTAAAGGCCATATACATTGCTTCTTTAATTTCATATTGAACCGAAGTGAGAGTGAGAGTTAGCAATGAATGTTATTTGTTCCGTGGAAGGATGAGTAATTTCATGAAACTTGACATAATTTCATTAAATAATGTGAATTACTAGTAGGCTTATGGTACAGGAAAAGTCATAATTGAGGTGATAATTTCATTTACTAAGTATTAGTTTGAGGACCCTTTTGTTTGTCACCCAAGGCTGAACTTCAGGTATTCTTAAATCCAAATCATCTCTAGGTGGTTACCTATCTATCAGTAAATATATGGTCTAAATTTATTATCATTTTCGCACTCATCTGATTTTTTTTTTTTTTTAAATTTCTTTTACGCGCGAAGCAAACCCAAAAACCGAAAGTTGTCAGACTTTGCCAAATTTGAACATGGATCCAACATAAGCTACAGGGACTAGTGCAATCAAGCCTAAGCCTAGGCCCTTGCAGACTAAGCAATCAAACTATGGTATTCAGTTTGATTTGTTTCAAACTGAGAAGATGCGCATAATAAAAGGACCCCATAATCAGAACAATCCCAAGTTATCATTATTAAAAAGCTCATCGCTAAAAGGTACAACTCCATACTCGAATCCTGTAGAAGGCACATAGGATATGATTAGATTGAAGAAAAGAAGGGAGAAGCCGTGGACATGCACAAGAAAGAAAGATGATGAAAGCAGTCAAACATGAAACAACTAGCCAACATAGTAGAGTTTTTGTATGTTAAGGAACACCAAGTTGCAAAAACCAGACATTGTCTTTTCTACTGACAGGAACAGCTTCTGCAAATTCCTTGTAGGTCCACAGACAAGGCATGACCATGCATGTGAGGTTTGCTCAAATTGAAGGGGCATTATTTGCCAGTTTTGGTGCGCAGCCACGTAAAGCCACTGTATCATTCTCACATTTATTCACTCCAAAACATAGAATAGCCTGTCTGGTTGGCCTCCGGCAGTTCCAGTGGCCACAAAATGAGTGTTTCCCGATAATGTCTAGGCGTCATAGGCTGGTCCAGATTATTATTACCACTATATCCGAAAATTTATCGTGTGATTCCCGGGGGGGGGGGATCTGGATATGGTTCTACGAAATTGGTCTATGTCTCTGCGTTTCTTGTTTGACCAAACTATATTTAAAGCTTTCAGGTTCATTTGCCTTTCATACCTGTGGCTGAAACCCTTAAGTTCTGATCTTGCTTTCTAAGACCTCAGCAGAGTTTTCACCCTGCTTTTGTTTGTTTCTGCTATTACTTGTTTGTTTTGTGTATAGTATTGTTATGATGTGAATGTGAATCCAATTCTTCGTGCAAAAACTTTACAGCCACAGAATAGCTCAACTTCACATAAGTGCTCACATGGCAATGTCCTGTTCAGTTCCATCTAAAATGACAATTATATTACTGCTCCTGATGCATATGACTAGACTTGTCTGACTTTTATCACAATTTTTCCTATATTGCCTTAGCTCTCTATTTATTATTCTTGATTTCAGTGGTCAATGAATTCTCACATGGGTTTTGTTTGGAAGTATATTGAAGAAATATGTGTCTGTGCATGTAACAGAAATTAATGCCCTTCACATGCCAACTCACATGCATTTTTTTGCCCTTATGGATTCCTAGTTTCTTATCTTCCCACTCAACAACCCCTTTATTTTGCATTTCTTATATCAATCATTTAGCACCTGCTGTACCATACTTTTCTGTCTTAAAAACTTAACATTATCCTTAACATTTTATATAAGACTGCCATGGGTGAATAAGCTTCCACACAGATTAGTTATAGCCATAAACCTCCAAAGCAGTCATCATTTCTGCTTTAATCTCTTTCTCCATCATCACTAGAATTCTCATCGTCTCTAGAAAATGATGAACAACCACCACCGTTATCAAATGAAAACTAGGAATGAAGTTTGAAAAAGGCATTTATGTCACTTGTAAAGACAGTAAGACACTTTGGAAGTGATGTTTTAAAGCTTAGATCTTTCTTCGATCTTTGCAATTGTCTTTCTTGATAAGTGTATCAGAAATAATAATAGTGATATTGTTCCCCTGAACTTTTCTCTGATTGCTTGATCGTTGGGGAAATCAGTTCTATGACAGTTGAAGAAGCGTTTTCTAAAAATTTGTTCAAGGATGACTTTAATAAATAATTGAAAAATATATATATTTATGAAGGAAAAAAGAAAAGAAAAAGATTACCGTCGCTTTTATTGAACCATATCTTCTGGGAATTCAGAATATAATCAAAAGATCTTTCAAACATCATTGATTGTATATCTGTGAATCTCTGCTATATTTTATCAACTTGGGCATCTTGTTGCCAATATATGTGTTCTGACGGAAATCAAACCACCAGAAGCTTTTATTGGTGATGGGATTTTGAAAACTTCTATTATTGTAAGGAAATTCTTAGGTTTAGTCTACTGAAAATTCATTAACAAGCTTAGATCATGCGTGAATATAATAGACTTACAAGTCAAACACACTTTTCAGAATGATTCGCCTCCAATATTTCTCTATATTTTATTAAGAGGGGCACATTTTTGCCCATACCTTCTGATAAATCAACCAACTAGGATCTCTTATTGGCGATGCAACTTTGCCGTCTGACCATTTGCTTTAATTTACGGCGTGTGGCATGTTTCTTTTCTTTTTCTTTTTTTTTTTTATGCTTATAATAACTATTTTAACAGGAAATGAGAGAGCTTTCATTGTCTAATAATCTTCAATCATTTGGACTCAAACAGCTACTTCAATTTCATTTCCTCCCATGTGAAAGCTTTTCGTACAGAACAATCTCAAGTGGATTTGACCTGACGACTTTGCATCCAGAGTCCCATAGAACACGAAAAAAAGATAATGATTACAGAATTAAACAACTGTAATCCGAATGCATGCAAGTGATTAAACTTTCGGCTGAGCTCTTTTAAAGTGCAGCATTGGCTGTGAGACATTGACGAAGAACAAACGCCAATAAACTTGGGGTTGGCATGAACTTTTATTAACTCTATAAAATTAAACTAGGTCTTTCTAAAAGCATAAAAGGAAAACAAGTGAGAAAACCAAATAAAACAATCATGCATAGGAAGGACCAGCTGGGATTGATCTGGCTGCCAAGGAGTTTATCTACAACTTGCATTCATTGGTACCAATAAAGATACTGACTTTGAATGAAACAGTTGAAGTTATTCAATTATGTAGCCAACTGGGGCACTTTTGAAATGACTAAATTACTCGCGGCGTTCATTCCATTTGCATTCCAGAGACTAAAGCATTCTGCAGAATGGAATTAGAGAGACCTATAAGATTGTTCACTGTGAAACGCGACAATGGCAGAAAACCAGTGAGTTTGAAGAAAGAGCTTTCCAAGTCATGAGGGTTTGGATAAGAGTTGAGAAATAGTAGAATATGTAATTGCGCAATCATAGCAAATGAAATATGAGTGGAAGACAACAACGTGGTTAATGGTTTTAGGAGGGAGTCAATTCAGGGAAGGGACACATGGTTGCGTTTTGAGTTGTGGCCTGTGGAAATCGGACAAGTTGACTTATGTTGGCTAAGATTAAACCCACTCGGCAAAATGCTGCGATCAAGTGCGGGACAATGACAAAGCATTGGGTGAACCGTAGGACCCACCACGTGCACGATTGAGGGGATTATCCACCTGCCGCTTCCGGAGCCGTCTTAACTTCAGTTCTTTCTCCATGCATTTGTGGTGGGTGGGGATTGTCTTATCTTTCAATATGTTATTGTGTATGGCTCTTGTTATACCACAATAACTTGGTGCTCTCCTGTTTGTTGGTAATATAAGTTGAACCGAATTAAAATACGGGTAATAGGATTGAATTTAAAGATATCAAATTTATTCCAATGATTAAACTGCTATGGGATCATTAATTCATTTTCTTGTATTTAATACGTCAAGTTCACTTTAATTTTTTATACAATAGTTATCTAGTACTCCTCCGGTCCTTAATATAGAACTCAATTGTTGAGTTGGTTTTGATCCTAAATATAAGACCCATTTCTCATATTTATCAATTTTCTCTAAATTACCCATATAGATATTCCCTAAACCATAATCAAGTAGAAGAGGGAGAAAGGTATTAAGAAAGATGATCATGGTGTTTTAGGAAAAACATGTCACATTTCTTATAATTAACTAACTTACCTAACTTCCTTAATCTAATCAAATTAGTCAAATAGATCTTATATTAAGGACCGGAGGAGTATATATTACCTCCGGTCCTTAATATAAGACCATATTTGACTTTTATTTTGGTTCTAAATATAAGACCTCAATCCATTTTGTCTATCATATTTATATACTACCTCCGGTCCTAATTATAAGACCCAATTGACTAATTTGAAGAGATTAAGGAAAGAAGTTAAGTTAGTTATTTGTAATAAATAAGTGTTGTCTTTTCTAAAATATTCTTACTAATCAACTATATTGGCTAGAACTACAATTATTAAAAGAACTATCTTGGAAAAAAATACACAAATATGAGAGACAAAGTGGATTGGGGTCTTATATTTAGGATCAAAATAAAAGTCAAACAGGGTCTTATATTAAGGACCGGAGGTAGTATTTTTTTTCCAAAGTAGCCCTTCTAATAATAATAGTTCTAGTCAATACACTTGATTAGTAAAGATATTTTAGGAAAGACAACACCTATTTAGGATAAATAACTAACTCAACTTACTTTCTTAATCTTCTCAAATTAGTCAACTGGCTCTTATAATTAGGACCGGAAGTAGTAATATTTTATCACGTCAAATTTAAATATTGTTGGATTTAATTAAAGGTAAAACTTTTAGGATTCAAACCTCGATCTTATTACATGAATCTGTTTATAAGTACAGCCTTGCAACTTATGATGTTTAATCTAAAGTCGAGAAGTATAACTAAGACATAAATTTTATGATTGAATGGGAAAATAAATTACAAGACTTATGGGAATCATATATCTTTAAGAAATTTGAAGTGAAGTGGGGAGATACATGAACACCCATACAAATATTTGTACCAATTCTTAAAAAAGTAATTTATTTGAAAAATGTTTTCAAAAGAAAGACACGAATGCGCGGATGCTCAAGTACGGAATTGAATATAGAAATCCAATATATCAATCGATATAATCTACAGCAAATTATAATATTTTAGAAATTAGGAATATAGATTTGCAATCCATTTATTATATTTTGCCCTACTCAGAAAATGAATAAGATTGTTATTCGATTTGATTCAGTTCAAACTGAAAATTTAACAAATTTAACAAATTTTCAAAGCTTGAAATCCAAATTGAATCTTATGCTTTGTCGATTTTTATTGATTTTGATCAACTTAATTTGGTTTGATTCAATCTGTTCAAATACATATACAAAGGAATGAGTTTAAAGTTTAAACACAGCTTGTGCATAAAACTAGTTTTAATACTTATCATCATATCTGGACCATCAAAATCTGATTTACATGATCTAAATTTTATTTTATTTTTCTTTTGAATTTTTTAAAATAATTATTTTAATGAGTATAGAATCTAAAATAAAAACAATCTTGAAAAATATTTTTATTTAAAAAATAAAAATAAATTAAATCTAACCCATCCAAACCAGATCCGAAATATTATGAACATGGGTGCTCATCACCTAGACTCGTATCCTTGTGCATACACCAGGTTGTATTTGAATTTCACAAAAGATAGACCCACGTCTGTGGCCCCACTCACGGACGGAGGATTAAAAATTGCCATGGCATGACCATGAAAGCAAGCATCTCCTCTTCTGGCCGAAAAGAAAGATACATAAACCATTTCACTTCCCCTGGTTCGCTTGCTCATCATACTACCATGTGCAGTCCAATGAATTTCGATACCAACCATTGGATATCAGAAAATCCCTAAATATATGTCTTTTTTTCTTTTTTTCCTGGAGGGGGGAGGGGTTCTAATTAATCATTAAAAGAGACCAATTAAAGTTCACCGAGAGAGAGAGTGTGTGCGTGCGTGTGTGGATATGTTAGCTAAAGGTGGACTCTGTTCTCATGTTCAGAGGCTTCCAAAACAAGCAGGGGCAGAAAGAGAACCTTCCTTGACAAGTGACTTTATATACACATTATCTATTATCCCCTCCTCTCTGGTACATAAACCGCATCATTTGAGTTTGTAAACATATAAAAGACCAAAACTGGGAAAGAGCTTTCGCAAACCCCAGGAGGGCCGAAGGCAAACAATGACAAACCGAATCAATTAGACTTCATCTCAATATCATCATCATTGTCCTTTAAATTAGCATCAGGGTCATCCCCAGGAAGGAGGCCAAGAAGAGGCAGAGGCAATAATGAACTAAGATTGCAAAGGATTATCAAAGCGGCCAAATTATCAAATCTATCCTTGGTAATGCCAAATATTTGAGTCAAACCAGCACCTATCAAGCCTCCAAGAACGCTCCCTCCATTAGATATGGACATAAGAGTTGCAAAAAGTGTGGCCTCCATTCCCTCGGGACACAGTCTTGCCGCTAGGACAAGAACGGGCATGAAGGATGCCTGCAGCACACAAGTAATTAGATGCAAAAACAAATTTTGCACAAAGGAGGAAAAATAGCGGCTGATTAACAATCAAGGTAGAATAAGCAAATTTAATGTCCTGAATCATGACATTCTCAACGGCTAAGCATTACGTCCAAAATTATATAAAGGATGCATATGGCTTATTGATATAGAAACAGGTAGCAAATATATCACAACTTATTTAAGTGAGGTTTATTGATGATATGGCCATAAATATTAAATGTGTTTAACACTATTTTTCTTTGAAAAAATTAAGCACTGATAAATTGCTCAGTTGCTACTTGTGTTTTTCCTTCTTTTTTAAACACGGAGAAGCACACAAACATTTTTAATTTTTAACAAAAATAGTGAAATACTTTCCGACTTTTCATCATTAGCTATTGAACTGCACCAACAATGCCAAACTAAGACTAAATAACCAAGAGCGCAAAAATATTGGCCTTTCTCAGCAGTGGCAGAGACATAAATGAAATGCTCATCTCTGAGAGATTAATTATGTCCAAAAATGATGTCTAATTTATGACCACAACAATGGCAAGGAAGGTTTAGATCTCCTTCCGGAGCAGATAGTATCCTACAATGAGTAAAAGCACATGATGATTACCTGACTCAAAACAGTGAGAATTAAAGAATCCCCGATTGCAAACCACTCATCACTAATGCCAAACTTCCGGTTTAGTCCAGTGACCAGGACAATCTGGCAACAGAAGAAAAAGAAAGCAGAAAGATATTCAGAACAGCCAGTCGAAATTAAAGGTATATGGACTAACTTGAAAGATACTACAAACCTGAGTCATCCCAAGAGCTGAACCTACAACGGTAGTTACTAGAAATATTTTCCGTAAGGATACATTCTTCAAAAAACCATTGTACAGTCCAACACCAAGCAGGGATGCAATTGAGGTAACAAGCTTAACACGTCCTAAAAATTCTGGGTTAAATCCAAGGGAATTTGTGCTGAAATGAATCAGGGAAAAAAGATTCTGTAAGATCAAAAGAAATGCCATGTCCAAGCAAGTACAAAGAAAACAAGAAACTCAGCTCAAACATGAAAGAAGAAAGATATGATGATATTTACAGACAGGACATACGTAAAATAGAACATAGCAGAGTCAGATTGCGGAGTTGCTTGCCACAGGAAAATAAACAAGGTGGGAAGGAGAACATTGGGCTGTCGCACAGCATGCCACAGCTGAATAATATTCTGTTTTGAGCTTTCCATAAAAGCAGGATTGGCCAAAGGAAGACTTTTCCCTCTTGCGGAGTCATGCATGGGTTGTTCTTTTACAAGAACAGCAACTCCAGATGTTATCAGTGGAAGCAATGCCGTGACACCAAAAACAAACCTGGGACATTCAATTCGTAGTAGTTAAAAAAGTTACTCAATTAGTAAGCAGAAGCATCTTGATTCACAAACTTCCGCAGGTACCTTACGCCATAAGTTTCCACCAGAGACCCACTGAAGTAAGCGCTCACAATTCCACCAAAAGAAGAAGAACCCCAACATAAAGACTGCAGAGATCCTGAGGTACTTTGTGATTCACCACGTGCCCGCTCCACAACCATTGAATCTACAACCTAAAACCACTTCAGTTTCTAAAATCATTTTCTGAACAGAAACAAATTCAATCTGTTAAAGAAAACGAAATTCTAATTCCATAATTATGGGGACAGATTAAGATGTTTCTAAAAGCGAGAACAGAGTCTGAAAATGATTAAAATAAGTCAAGGGTAATATGGGAAGGCAAAGGTTCATCGAGACATAAATTAACAATAAATTAGGAATGGAGCAGTCAATAATAAATTAGGAATCCTGCTTTGATACTCTCCCCATAAACATTCATGAATAGGCAGACAAATCGTCTTCAAAAATTCTAAAAACAAACGACAAACTTTACAACGTCTTGATTTATTTGTCAACTCAAAAGCAGTCCCAACAGAATGCATGTTTACACAGTATTGCCAGATCAACCCAATCCCCAGCGTCCGATCCCTAGGGGGTCAATTTATATGAAGTATGAAAAATGAAATTTTGACTTTCCTAATCCACTATTCAGCACTAACACATCCATGTCTAAATCAGAAGCCTTCATAATGCCGCAACGATATAGTAGTGATTAATAAAACACCAGAAACTATAGCCAACCCCGATTTTACTCATTAGAAGTATATTTAGGAATTGGGAGGGAAGTGAAAGAATCAAGTGGGAAAATGACAGAAAAAGGAAATGAAATGTTAAATGAATCTCCAAAAAGGAAATAAAATAGTTTCTTAAAACTGAAGTTGTTTTTACGCAAAAACAGAAAAGATGAAGGATCTAATATTAAACTAATAAATAACCTTATCCTGCAAAACCATCCAACAGGGGGAGTCTTAGAAAAAGAAAGGTGACTCAAAAAAGGAGGCGACATTAAGCTTTGAGGGCTCTACAACGTTAGTTAAGAGTAATAAATCCCTAAATTTCCTCGCTCATAAAAAACTTACGAACAAGGGGAAGTTTAAATTTCTGGCCAGAAAAAGGAAGGTATGCGCCAAATGTTTCCTTGCTCTACTAATGTGCACACAAGTGGAGTGGGAAACCCTCCCTTAAAGCTAGATGTTGAGATGAGATAACCAACACTCATGACCTTTATCTGACCAACATGCTTGTTAATTACATAACATATCAACTATAGCACATGTAGCAGAATAGGAAGTAAGGCTTCGACATAATTATGCTATTAAAAAAATGCACACCAGAGTTAAGTCATTAACTAAGTAAGAGAAACTCACAACATCTGAGAAGGCAACAGAAAGAGAGCCAAGAAGTATGCAAAAAGCAGCATCATATTTGCTGTCAACAAAAGAAGCCATCAAACTCCATGAGAGAGCACCAAGTAGCCCTGATAGAACCAAGTATGACCTTCTCCGATAGCCAAAAAGTGGGACAGAATCACTGCATAGTGTATTACAAAAATTTTAGATCCTGAAGCCCTGGTTAGTTAAGGGCAAAGGAAAAGAGACACAGCAAAGCTTCGCACCTAATAAACCCATAAAGAGGTTTGATAAGCCATGGTAATGAAGAAAACCCGGTAATCACAGCTGTCTAGTCAGCCATATGGAACTTGTCAGCCGTGCAAGTATAATAAGTTCAAAAAAAATGAGATAGAGCACAATTTCATGGAAGTAATATCACTTTCCGGCATCAACTTTTAGCCAAGCCAAGGGTCATATATTATAGTGTTAATCATAACTTAAGGGGGGGAAAACGATTAGCACAAGTCGTACATCCAAACATAAAAATATCTGAAGAATACAACATGAGCATTGAGAAGACATACCTCAGCAGGATCCAGATGTAAATCATCTTTTAAGTAGAAGTTGACGGCCAGTCTTGCAAGTCCCAAAACACCTTGAACAAAATAGACCATTGCAACAGCAATATTATCCGGAGATAAATCCACCCCAAACAATTTGATAGTGCTCATACGGTATCTAGTTTTGCGAGGTGCAGTTTTACTTGTGGGAGGCACCTCTGGTTCTAGTTCTGCGTCAGTTGTTAGCATATCTCCTTTACTTGCATCTGGTTCAATCACGCATATATTCCATCAATGTTAAAAGGAGTTTTTTTTAAAAAAATAAAAAGTAAAATGCAGTATGAAGGCTTGAGAGTGAATGAAAGAAAATAGCATCTGGAAAGGGGAAAAAATGGTCACTGTAAATTGGGAAAATTGATGAACCAATTCAATCTTTCAGAGAAATTTGTAACTCTATGAATAGAAAGATATAATTCAAATGTGCAAAGTGTCATTTTATGCTTCCGCCAAAAGATCGATACTTCCCTCGATCCCCTGAATTTGTGGATCGAATTCGACAACAACACAGAGATAGTGTTAAAATGCAAATCTACAAAAGATAGTCCAAACGCACATCAGCCCAACATTTCCCGAGTTATGGTCACTTCTCAGGCTCTAGACCATGCACCGCCACCATCAAGAACTGCTCAGTAAACAGCAAAAGAGCAGCAAAGGGAACTCTGACCATGTAACAGGCCCGCTCCACTGTTGTTAGTAATCACAGAGACTCACAACGTATTACATCGCGAATTCAGGCATCATTCAAACACTTCAAAGTTCAAACACAAGACTGGCAATACACTTAAATTACTCATGCAAACACAAAGATGTCGGATAAAAATACCAAGAAAAATTACCAGGTGTCCTGGATTATGGGAAGGAAGAAAAAACAAAGAAAAAAGGATAAGAAAGCCTACAAGTCCTCGAAGCCAAAAAAGGCTCGCCATCATCGTTAAGCCCGAGAGAGGATCCCGACCTCGAGAAGGAGGCAGACATAATAAAATCCAGCGGCCTCCGACGCGCCTTCCGATGGAACCCTCTGAGACAAAGTTTCCGGCTAATTACAGAGCGCCGAGGGGAGGAGCTAGTGGAGTAGAAAGCTGGATTTGTGGAGGGTAAAAATGAGATTACGGAGAAAACATGCGTACGCATGATTATAATATTTGGAGCTGAATGTCGCGCCCGCGATGATGCTGCTTGGGACTTTGGGCTCAGTTTCCCACCTCCACAGCACGGATGCTATTTTATTTTGTTTCGCATTTATCCTGTAAAATCGTTTTCCCCCCTTCTTTTTCTGTTTTTATTTGTCTACAAGAGATACTACTTCTTCATCCATTTCTTATTATAAAAACTTAATTAATTTTTAATTTGATCTTAAATGTAAAATTTTAGTTTTTTTTTATATTTATTTTTTTAAAATAGTCCTTATAATAATTACACATGTTAAATGTTTTATCAAATAGTAATTTTAGCTAATATATTATTAATAAGGGTATTCTATCAAAAACAACAGTTATTTATAACAAATAACTAATTTAATTAAATTTTTTAATATTCTCAAATTAATCAACTAAATTTTATATTAAAGAGCTGAGATAGTGTTACCTTTCTCTTCATTCATTTCGTCAGTTTAAGATAAATTGGAAAGGAATTAATGATTAGTTAAACTTTACTTGATTGATGTTAGAATGTAATCTATTTTATTTACAATTTTGCTCTGAGTTATTTGTGGGCGAGTGCAATTAAATAATTGGTATGCGTAATAGAATTTCAATACATTAACCGGCGGTTGCGTGAAACACGTCATCGCTTTCGCCGGCGAGGAATTGAGACTTCAAGCCCATTTGAAAAATTAGCATATATTACCAAAATTGGGCCATCTCTCAGGCCTCCAATATAGTGGCCATGGTGCTTTAAGGAATTTTTTTTTTTATTTTGTTTTGCTTCGTTTTTCCGCCCACCTAAATTGAGAGAGTTGACAACAAGGCAACTAAAGCTTGATTAACCAATAAAAAATTTAATCCCTTAAATATGATGAATTAATATTCAAATTTTTGTTAGAAGAAATATCTACATTTAGTATTTGATAATATCTTGAACATGATTGTCTCTAATAGAAGAATACACGTGCTTACAAAAAAAAAAGCTGTATTAAATACAAAAATAATTTTATTGGAGTTCATATTTAATATTCCCTTTACTTCGTGGGCTTAATACACTTCTATTTCTTGAAGCAGTATTAAAGTATACCCAAAAAAAAAAACTAAAGCTTGATTAAAGGTAATATTGAGTTTCTCTTGAAGTAATATTGGAATTCATTAACTAACTCAACTTTAAAAATACGCCTTCTATTTATTTAAAGTTATAAGATATTTGTTCTGAAGTAATATGCATACAAATATGAATTTTTTTTAGATATTGACGGTGATACACCTATTACCATTACAAAGGCTCAATTCAATCTGCATGTAATAATATGAATGTGAATATTACTGAATGAAATACAATCTTTTTTTTTTTTTTTGTTGAAGCAGAATGAATTACGACATTAATCAAACACTGGGAACTACTGTAACTCTGCAATTTTCTTATTAGTTTTCCTGCAACAAATTCAGCCGATTTCATAGCCGTTGAAGGGGTTTAAATCCTTCGTAATCATGCCGATAAACAGAGGATAAATTTAACAAGAAAACAAAAGAAAAAAGAGACTAAACGAGTCATCACTTCGTGGGCCCAATGCACTTCTATTTTTAATACTTCGTCGTTTTTTTTAACTAAATAATTTTATCCCACGCCATTAGCTGTACTGCTAATTAAATACATTCTACTCATATATATCAACAAATATAGGTGTGTGAATCGCTGAGCAATTCCCTAAATACGAATCTGAGCTGAAACTCTCCTTCTTAGTCACCAATTAATATCTGCGTTCCGCAAACCTCGCTTGCAACCTGTTAATTACGTAAAGATGTAGTATGAATGATCACCACAGAATAATTAATTAGTTTATAATATGCGGAGCTACCTGTTTGGTTCTCTGAGGTTCTGCTTCACTTTAATTAATAACTGTTGGAAATTTCCGAAAGATATTAATAAGATAGTTGGCTGTGCAAATATTCCTCATGGATGATCGCCAACTGTTCTGCTACCTGCATGCCGAATAAAGGTTATATGAATCCGTCAAAGATAACTGTTCTTCTGGCTCAATACTTCAACAGTTATAAATGTAATTATAATTAAGAATAGTTGCTTCTTATTGAATTCGTGTGTTTGTGTGTGTGTGTGTACGTCTAGAGAAAAGGGCAACTAGTATATATAAACATGGAGTATATTTCTGCATCGTGATGTCCGATGTATATATTACTCGATTCAACAATCGGATACCTTAGTTCTGCTGTATATTTCTAAGGTCTGAAAATTAAAGTATTGCACTTGATCATTGTGCAGCAATACGAAAATTTAATAAACAAGAATCCATAGATGCGAAATTAATGCTCGTGGATATGTCGTCTCTGAAAGTCCTTGTGTCATATACATATACTCCTCCGGTTCTTATTATAAGACCCTATTTGACTTTTTATTTGGTCTTAATTATAATACCCCAATCCATTTTGTCTCTTATATTTATGCATTTTTTCCAAGATAATCCTTCTAATAATGATAGTTTTAGCCAATATACTTAATTAGCAAGGATATTTTAGGAATGACAATACTTATTTATTATAAATAACCAATTTAACTTACTTCCTTAATCTCCTCAAATAAGTCAATTGGGTCTTATAATTAAGACCGGAGGAGTATATTATGTTCATTGTCAATATATAACCCAATTTCTGAAGGGAATTGAAGATGCGATAACGCTAATCAAAGGAAAAGCTGTGCGAAATGAATGTTAATATACATAATACCTCTTCAATGCTGCCATCTTCTATGTCGGTGTTGAAAGTCAGCAACATGGATTCGTGGAGCAGATTTTCTAAATCCTCAAGACGAACAGGTTCTGCAATATGTTTTAGACAAATGATTCAGATGGATAGAAAAAAAGAAGGGGAGGGCGATGGAAGAAGGGGGGGGGGGAGAGAAGGGAGGTGACACCGGTGGATTTGGAGAGGGAAGAGATGAGATCAGAAGCGAGGTGGTGGGATTTCTGGAGGGAATCGGAGCCGCCCCACTGGTTGTGCACCGCCAGCTGAAGCCCATTCCATCGAGACAGCACCGATCTCACGCCTTCCTCCAACCTACTATTTCTCCCTTCGCCTCCTCGCTTCCCCGATCCCATTCTCACAAGCCTCTCTCTCTCTCTGTTCGTCGGACGAGAAGGGAGAGAGATCGATCCACACAGCTCGCGCACGAATGGGGAGAAATAAAGAGACAGCATATATATGTGTGTGCATGTATCTATGTATAGTTGCATGGTGCGGGGGAAAGAAAAAGGAGCCACGAAATTACGATATATAGAGAGAAGCTACACTCATGGGAATACGTATTACGCACCAACCTATAATATGTTCGCACTTAATTTAGATTTGTAATATACTACCTCCGGTCTTATAAGGTCTTAATTATAAGAGTCAGTTGACTAATTTGAGGAAATTAAGAAAAGAAGTTAAGTTAGTTATTTGTAATGAATAAGTGTTGTCTTTCCTAAAATATCCTTACTAATTAAGTATGTTGGCTAAAACTATAATTATTAGAAGGACTATTTTGGAAAAAATTGAGTAAATATAAGAGACAAAATGGATTGAGGTCTTATATTTAAGACCAATACAAAAGTCAAACAGGGTCTTATATTAAGGACCGGAGGTAGTATAAAAATAATTAAATATCCTAAACACAAGTTTGTAACTAAATTTGGCTTATAATGTTTCCTGATGCCATTGCATTGCATGGCATCAGACTCAACCAGTTGTAGTACACTAGAACCATATAGGCAATACTCGGTTGATGCCACGTGTAAATTGACATTGGTAGTGTCATAACAGGAATGCGCCATGTCTCCTTGTTGGCACTAGTCTTGTTCTGCATGTTTCCTATGGCGACACGTGTTTCGTTACGGCTTTTATTTAAATCTCTTTTGCTCAAGCCCAACTCCCGAAGGCATCGAAAAACGACGTTGGCGTAGGTCGCAATTCATCATTCCCTTTTTCATCAGGCATAAATCTGAGAAAATGAGCCAGGAACAGCCGTGGCGCGCCCAAGGGGGTCGACAACCCATCAAATACGGTGACGTTTTTCACGTCTCTGGTGACCTCGCCCAGAAGCCCGTCGCACCGGAGGATGCTGCCATGATGCAGAGCGCTGAGGCCAGGGTGCTCGGACAAACCCAACCTGGAGGACCCGCCGCGGTTATGCAGTCAGCAGCCACGCAAAACGAACACTCAGGCCTCGTCGGCCACAGGGACGTCAATGATGTCACCGGTGACCTTGGTGTCACCGTTACTGAGACTCGAGCTCCCGGAAGACGCATTGTAACTGAATCAGTTGCCGGACAGGTTAATTTATCTTTCGACTGTCCCCCCCCCCAAAATTATTATATTTTTGTATGGAAAACGACAAATTCGTTTCAATATAAACTTGCAGTTTGAAATTAGTCAAGAACAGAATTAATCCCTGTGAATCTCTTACTCTCTAAGGTTGTGGGGAAGTATGTTGAACCGACGCAGTTTCAAATGGGTGCGGCGGGGACAATTCGAGAGACTGCAGTGACGATAGGGGAGGCGCTGGAAGCCGCGGCCAGGACAGTGGGCGAAAAGCCGGTGGAGCAGAGCGACGCCGCCGCAATACAAGCGGCGGAAGTGAGAGCAACAGGAAGCAACGTGATATCACCTGGTGGGCTGGCTGCCATCGCGCAATCGGCGGCAGCATACAATGCGGGATGTGCTCGCGACGAGGACAAGGTGAAGCTGGGCGACGTCCTGAGGGATGCAACGGGGAGGTTGGCGGCGGATAAAGCGGCCACTCCAGAGGACGCCGAAGGTGTGGCGGATGCAGAAATGAGGAACAGTCCAGACTCGGGAATAAGAACTCCGGGAGGCGTAGCGGCTTCTGTCGCCGCAGCAGCAAGGCTCAACGAGAACGTTAATTTGTAAATGACGGCATCAAAATTACACTCAGGTCCCACAGAACACAATTAATATAAAAAATGTCACTCGAAATCGCGAAATAATTCTGAAGTCCCCAGGGACCTGTGTGTAATTAATTCGAATTGTGAAATTACGTAGTTACCCCTGTTAATTTGAACCTATTTACAACCTCAACAGTGGCTGTTAACAACCCGAGAAGAGGTGGTTAACAACCTAAACAACGCCACTGGCATTCCACAGAGTGAGTTGTCATGAGCACTGCCAAGGTTGTCACTCACGTCTTCTCGGGTTGTTAACAGCCACTGTTGAGATTGTAAACGAATTATTGCAATAAAATTAGAACCTATTTATAACATCAACAGTGGCTGTTAACAATCCGAGAAGAGGTAGTTAACAACCTCAACAACGCCCCTGACATTCCATAGAGTGAGTTGTCATGAGCACTGCCGAGGTTGTCAATCACGTCTTCTTGAGTTGTTAACAGCCACTGTTGAGATTGTAAACGAATTGTTGCAATAAAATTAACAGGGGTAAGTAGGTAATTTTACAATTGGAATTAATTACACACAGGTCCCTGGGGACTTCAGAATCATTTCGCGATTTCATGGGACCTTTTTGATATTAATTATGCTCTGTGGGACCTGAGTGTAATTTTTCCAAATTTGTTGTGGTTGTATTCGAAGAAAGAGAATGTAATTATGTAAATGCAAAAATATAATAACGCGACGGGTGGTTAAATTAAATAATTGAATGTGTAAGATGGAAGTTTATGAATGTTAGCCTGTTAATTACTTACTATCTCAGGTTCTAAAGATTAAATAAATAAGTTAAGTTACTTATTTGTAATAATAAATATGTGTTATCTTTTCTAAAATATCTTTATTAATTAAATTTATTGACTAAAACTACTATTATTAGAAAGATTATCTTAAGAAATATAAAAAATAAAATAGATTGGGTTCTTATATTTAGAATAAATAAAAAGTCTTATGTTAAATACCGGAGGTATATATTAGATATATTGTATTAGTGTAGTGAGATGAAATGGACGAGAGGGAATATTTGAGTGAAGGGAAGGAGGAAGGTGAGGGGAGAGATTCCATGAGAGTGGGAGGAGAGTAAGAGCGCACATGGTGGGGAATCCTGCAACAGAGATGACAAGGGAGGGTCACTTATACAAAACAGGGCTTCCAAACAAGGCAGTTTTGTCTGCCCCTATTCCACACACAGGCCCCTCCTGCGTCATCCATCTACTCTTGTCTTCTTTTTCAGTCTTGTTCCCCTTAGCTTCAATATCATGCCTCCATCATCCTCCCTTCATGTAACACCCTTTTCTTTATTGACTTCGCTTCCTTATTTCTATCTGCTTTGTTGGACTTTTGAATCGCGGTATCATAGTCTAATCTTCTTTAAATTCTAATTAAGCTGAGGATGTGTCCACTATTCATGACTCAATAGTCAATAATCTAATAATTGCTCTATCAAAAAAAATTGACCCTGGATCATTGATATTACAGTTGGACTTAATATAGCTGTTAGCCATTACTTAACCTACGATATTATTGTTTTCTTTAGACAGACCAGATTTTTCCCTTCAGAAGCACGCCAATTAGCAGTTATTTTTTCTGCGAAATCCTACCAGGGTTAAGAGATAACCGCTTGTAGTCATAGCCACACCTCATTCTAAAAAGAAGCTGAGCCCGGGGCCCTTTTGATTTTTCTTTCTTTGATCTCAATCTCACACGTGCAATAGTACATAGTTGGATTGGAACAGGAGAAGTGCAAATTCTTATAACTAAATAATTTTTGTGAAAAAACATAACGATAAAAGAAGATTTGTTATATGGCCAAAAATAAATAAATAAAAATTGGTTCATTCATAATCATCCTTCATGTCACTGTTTCCTTAAATATAAATGAACACTTATGTGTGTGTAATTATTTTTTTTTTACAGATTTTGTATATATAATTTTTTGCAAAATGCATGATCCAAAATGAAGTAAATCCCACTTAATATCCTGATGATGCCAGAGAATAACCACTCTATATATAATCACAACCCACTTTCACTCGCTCTCTCTCTCTCTCTCTACCCAGAACAGCCCAACATGTTCTCCAAGCACTTTCATCTCTGTTTCTTCAAGCTCAAGTGCCCCACCGCCACCCCACCGCATCCAAAACAGTCATCCTCATCTTCTCCATCTCCTTCTTCCACCTCAACTTTCCTTTTCTCTGACGACTTCTCCTCCTCTTCCGACTCCGACTCTTGCGATCCTCCCCCACCGGACTTCTCTTCCCTTTTCGCCTCCCATCGCTTCTTCTTCTCCTCCCCCGGCCTTTCCAACTCCATCATCGAGTCCCCAGACACTCGTCCTACCATCACCACGAACAACAGCAACCACGGCCTTGGTGACGCGACGCTGTCAACGTTAATACCCAGAGGCGTCGGAGTGTCCAAGGACTCCGTCGATCCCTACGTCGATTTTCGCCGTTCCATGCAAGAGATGATCGAATCCAGGGATTCGGTGGACGTCACAAGAGACTGGGACTATCTTCACGACCTCCTTTTATGCTATCTCGCTCTCAACCCTCCTCACGCTCACAGGTACATCGTTCGAGCTTTCACCGACCTCCTCGTGCATCTCTTGTCCTCGTCACCTCCCTCTTCCTCACTGCCGCCGGAAACTACCCAAGAACCACCCCCACAATAATTTTTTTTTTCCTTTTTCGGGTGTTTGTATAATTATTGTAAAATTACTTTTCCCCTTTTATATCACTGCAATGGATGCTAGCTTGCTAGAGTTAAAATTGCTTTCTCAAGACCAAGGAATCCTTTATAGTTTATTCTCAGAAAACTACCAAGTGCCCAATTATGTTACGCCAGCTTGGTACGTATATTTAGGATTCTATTCTAAATGTTTTTCGAGATCCCTTGGATAACATTAAATTGATTTGATGATTAATATATTTGCGAATTTTCCAAGAAAGAAATGGAGTGGCGGTTGTGAGGCCCGTTGCTTTAATTTGCTTTAGTGTTTTGTGAAGGGGGATTGGGATCCAGCGATAAAGACAAAGCAAAATTGCATCTTAAAAGATCACAGTTTCACATAACCAAGGAGGCGTGGGGGAGAGAAAGGACGTTGGTGATGTATGTCTCGATGAAGTATTATTATGATATTTTCTCCATTCTCACTTTGTTACGTATATGCTAACAAAAACACAACACTCATTTCTGGGCTTTTTCTCAGCATGACGAGAAAAAAGAGAGAGGAAAAAGAGTTGGAATTTTGATGGAATTAGTTGTGCTTTTTGAGGAGGGGACAAAGAAGAGGTGGTTTATTGTCCTTGCGTTTTGTTGTGTGGTCCTAGAATGGTAAAGTAGTAATAACTTCATGATCAGCTTTTCTCTTTTTCATGTCACAAACCCCACGAGCAGCAATTAATTAGGATCGGTGTGTGAAGCAGCAAGTACAATGATTGGCTCTAATTTGTTTCTCCGGAAACTTGCCCTTGGAAACAGGATATCTTAATCTGGTTAGTCGACCGTTGGTAGGAAATAAAACAAGCAAACTAATTATTAGTTGTGATTTCCTTATTTTTTTACATTTTTTATAAGTAAATTAGAATATGGCATGCATAGATTTTGTAAGATGAATTGTATTAATTGATGTTTCAGTGAAGCAGCACTTCAAGGACAACGAATACCGACACAAAAACAAAACACATACATTCTCAAAATTAAATCTAGGTAGGTGGTATTTAGGGGGTGTTTGGCAATATGAAAATCATGGTTTTAAAAGCACTTTTCCGTAAAACGAGATAAACTCCTCCACATATTTACTTTGTAAACCGTAAAAGCACTTCTGAAATCATGGTTTGGTTTCTATCCAAACACTCCCTTAGTTAATAATATAGACATCCAATAAGCTAAAGAGACAACTGTTTTGGTTTATTTTGAGGAGTATGTTTTATTGTCAATATATAAGTTGTTTTTCTGGCCAGTAAATTTGTGTTTACATGCACAATTATTTTGAGAATATAATAACAGTCTTCAAAATGAATTTGAGTACGTAGAGAATAGAGATTCCTGATTCCGGAAATGAAGAACTTTGAGTGGGTCCAGTGGTGGGTGGGGTGTCAGGTCCAGAATCCCCGAATGGTCTACAAAATGCTTCCCACAGGATATCGTTGAAGAACTCAATTCATGTGCATCGGGGGAATTAATTTGAAGGGAAACATGCATGCATGGGATTTTAATTAGTAACTCATTAATTAAATTTTATACAGGGGACACTCGGAGACAAGGCAGAGAGGATCCAAGGTAGAGTGTTTCAGCAGTTATACACTAAGAAAAGAAAAAGAAAAGGGCTCTAATTCTCTCGTCTGCTCGAGAATTAAAGTCGAAATTAAAAATAAATTAGTAATTAATTAATTAAATTTTGTTTGTTGGTTTAGGTGAGGTTGTAAGAAGTGGTTCTTGGTACGTAACACCGAACTGTTTGTCCTTACATTACAGAGAAATTATTATTTGTCAATGTTCTTTTGGACAAGACGACAATTGGCGTTGGTTTTAGGGAAGCGTGGCTATATAATTAATCAGCCATCCATTATATAGATAGTTCCCATTTGGACTATTACCATATATAATGCAAAGCATATGATTGAGACAATAGTGACTTAAATATTATTATTCATTTCGCAGTTAAATGAGAGGCTGATGAGAGGGAGGTGCTTCGTTAAAAAGTAGCTAGTGTTAATTATAAGAAAAAAGCATCAGTCTAACTACTACCGTTTGGCCAAAAGAAATAGTCTAACAACTGCCATACTTCTCATCTGGACTATCAGCAACGGGGCTAGCTATCAGTGACTTGAATAATACTACTTCCGGTCCTTAATATAAGATCCTGCTTGACTTTTAGTTTGGTTATAATTATAAGACCCTAATCCATTTTGTCTATCATATTTATACATTTTTTTTCAAAATAGTCTTTCTAATAATGATAATTTTAGCCAATACACTTAATTAGCAAAGATATTTTAGGAATGACAACATTTATTTATTATAAATAACTAACTTAACTTACTTCATTAATCTCTTCAAATTAATCAACTGACTCTTATAATTAGGACCAGAGGTAGTAATACAGTAATAATACTTCTCAGATACAGCAATGATTCCATTTGTCCTCCACAAATGCTGATTATTAACTGGAAAAGAGAAGGAAAAAGAAACTAGAAATATAGGTGAACATTCGACATATACTAGAGGATAGATAGAGTTAACATCCTCTTTTGCATTGCTAGTTATTACATGTGCATTGCAGAGAATATAATTCTACTATAGGCTTTAGAATTAATTTATGATATTAGAAGTCATCAAATTTGTCTCATACGTACTTTTTTCTTAAATTTTTTTCTTTTTCTTGTTTTCGGTCTCATACAGCTAATCATGTCTTATAACTTAATTATTTGATAGAAGATTTACATCAGGCTAAAATTATGTATACCTTTTTGAAAAAGATTTGGACTCAAAGATCCTGAGCAAATCAAGCGGAAACGAAGGTGCATTCCGACAATTTATTCATAAAAAAGTCACAATCATGATACATTTCAGAAAATTAAGTAAGTAAACTCAAATAAAAAGGGTTGGGCAGGATTTGACGCCTTGTCCCGCTAAATAATTGAAAATTACTGTGTGCAAAATTGGATGACCTAGAAAAAGACAACCAATTCAATTATGAAGACGCGATGATCATCACTTTCTATCCGGTTTAATTTATTTCTGCCCCTTTAAAACACGTTCTTTCAAACTGTATGCCAATCATGTTTAATATTTTCCCGATAAATGTACATACTCATTCATACAACAATTCCTTAAATTCTTCTGCAAGGTCGAGGATAAAGATCACGTACCACGGAAGATTCATACGAGAGAGAGCCGAAGAGATTTTCTTATATAATTTCTCGTAGCGTTGATCATATCTAATTAGAAGCAGAATCGGACCTGAAATCTGTCATCTAAAGGATAGTTTTCATGGCAACAAATAATTATAAGGCGATTTCTCAGAAATCAACAAGGAAATAAAAGAGAGCCAAAAGCAAAACCGTCAACTTGTTGATTTTTCACAAAGATAATGGCTTGTGAGACGTGATGGATCTCGGGAATGGGTGATTTACCTGTCAAATTTGAACAGCAATTTCTTATACATAGTCTCGCAGCTGTAGGCACTGTTCTTGTCAGCACCCATAACGACAAGAAGCAGCAGTTGCATTTGCATGCTTCGTTCTCTCAACAGTATATTCTTTTCCTATTTGTCCCCATGCCATGAGTATTTATATATCTGTCATAATGTTATAGTAGCATCAACAGATATATTTCTTTACACATTAACCTTGGGAATCGTAATATCTTTTATAATATTATCTCTTATCTTTAACTAATTGACTAACTTGAGTAGATTAGAAAAGTTTATTAAGTTAGTTATTTGTAATAAATAGGTGTTGTCTTCCCTGTAATACTCTTGCTAGTTAATAATATGTATTAGTTAAAACTAGTATTTGATAGAATTTTTAACACATACAATTGTTATAAGGACTACTCTGAAAAGAACAGATAAATATGAGACACGGGTTGAATTGAAATCTTATATAACTAGTTCTTATGTTAAGAATAAGATATATATGATCAAGGCATACATTTTCATGGTGTCCGGATATATTGAGGTTGTTCTGCATATCAGTGGAGAGAAGATGGTGTGGGGTCGTAAAAATAATGGGTTTAGGTACTACTATTCATGTTTCACGACCCACTTGAAGGGACAAATCGCAGTGTTTCGTTTGTGAATCTAAAAGAATCAAGGGTGAGTTAAATATGCGCCGTGGTTTTTTTTTTTTTTTTCCTTGCCTCAAAAAATGAAACCAGAAGTAGAGTCTTATTGTCAATGTTAGGTTCACCGTTCACCAGATTTCATTAATTGGTTGGAACTTGACTGAGAGTACAACCCTGTGGTTTTAGGCTATACTTTAGGTGGAAGCCAAGTGTGGTATGATTGTCACGAGAAAATGAAGAGGCAACGTTAAACTTCGGTAAATGTCATGCCATGCACATCTAATCTTAACAATTGCGAATGTGTGAAGTGGTAGGTTTTACTACATCTGGTACTTACTACAACAATTAGTTGAAAATTATAATTGATTTTAAATATAAGATCTAATTCACTATATGGTTTTTTAATTTTTAATTCATTCTCTAAAGTATTTATATTAATTACATATATTAAAAGAGTTTTCATCATTAGTAGTTATGAGTAAAATTATATTTGAAAAAATTAAACTCATTTATTATAAATAACTAATTTAATAAATTTTTAATCTATTCAAATTAATTAAACTACTGTTATTTTATGAATGAAAACTCATTCATTTCATTCAACAAAATAACTGTCGTCGTGTCTAGCCAAGCTAGCTAAAACCTACAAGGCTGCTGTTTGTTAGCTGAAGATAAGAATGGCTGGAAGGAAGATTGTCCATTATCTTACCGTTCGAATAGTTGATGTGATAGGAGCAGTTTCTATTCCTTCTTTTTATAAAAATGGAAGATGGTGGCGGTTGGCTATCTCCCTGCAGCACAGAGCCTGCAAACGCCTCCGCGAATCTTTCTCTTGGATAGTTTTATCTAATCATGCTCACATTCCACATTCTATTGATCCTCTCAAATATTTGATCACTCTTGCATCTATACAAAATGAGTTATGATGCTAAATGGATTGATAGGTATACAAAGTTTATCTCTGGATTTAATTTGGACGGTTCAAATTGAATTTTATTTCTTACTATTATTCTTTAGAAAATTATTTTAATGTGTAAAGAATCTAAATTGAAAATAATTTCTTAATTATCAGTTTTTTTTTCAAAAATATCTTTTATCAAGAATTACTAATTGAAAATTTTATATCTAGCCAATTCAAATTGTATTTGAAAGACACAATTCTCATTGTGCTCACCATTGCTAGGAAAAGACAAACATGCACTTGAAATTCAACTAAGATTTAATAATTTAGCCGATGAAAAGCAGATTCCCATATTTATATAGTTTTTTTCAAATATCAAGTTATAATCATAAAAGGAAAATGAATATTACAAAAATAGAAACCTACGCAAAGGGCCAAGATGAAAGCAAGGGCTTTATATATAGGAGTCCACAGACCAGTCATGGCCGAAACCCTGATGATTCGATATGGGCCCAAAAGAAACTATATTTAGCTAAGCTGGGCTTCAGATTATAAATCAGGTCAAATACCCAGGAGATTCCAAGTTAAACAATAAAGCAATTTCATCTGTTAAAAAAAAATAGAGGAAATCATAAATAAAGCAAGCATCCTGGGATCATTAATTAATTTTTTTTGGCCAAATGAATCATTAATTAATTCGAGTCATAGAGTTTCAAAGAAAGCTCTAGCGAACTCATTTACTTCCTAAACATGTATAATTTGTATTTTATTTTAGTGGATACAAAAACACTATTTTTCAGTTTTATCTTGCGTCTCTTAAATGATTATGCGAATGCTGGTCAAAAAATGATTATGCGAATATTTCCAGTTTAAAAATTGAGCTTAGCGAAACTTGCAATTTCCGCAAATAAAATTCCTCGAAATATCTGAAATGGCTTACCAGTTACTTCTTTGAAGCTCCGAAGACGCCTCCACATCTTCTGTTATCCAGAATCAGAAGGGGGGTTGACAGCAATGACGCTCCATGCTTTCCGACCATTGGCCGCGCTATCCCCTTTGCAAACACCCACCAGACCCATCTTCTTGAACACCGATCTTCTGCTTCCGAACCCCCCTTTCCTTCCTCATCGATCTCGGCCCATCGGAATCACTGTCCTCTCGGAGCCGCGGCGGGGGCTGATGCCGGTGGTCCGCGTCGTTGAGGAGAGCCAAGAGAGTTCCGAGCCTGAACCCTCCAGTGCCAGTCAAACCCTACCGGAATCAGCGGAGCAAAAACCACCAACATCTCAGCCCGACCCTGCTGATAAGAACGTCGAACTATCCGAGTTGGCGTCGGAACTGAAGAAGGCAATGCAAGATAGGAAGGAGAAGGAAGGGGAAAACTTGTGGAGTGGAGTGGCAGAAGAGATTAGGGAGATTGAGTGGCCGGCGTTTGGCAAGGTCTTGGGCACCACCGGTGTTGTGCTCGGCGTCATCTTGGGGTCGAGTGTCGTTTTGCTCACGGTGAATGCCATCTTGGCGGAGCTTTCTGATCGTGTGTTTGCAGGCAGAGGAGTTCAGGATTTCTTCAGCTGAACAAGAGGTGGTGGATTGGCGATCCAATTATGAAGAGGTTCAGTTCATTCAAAAATCACCAAGGGGAGTGAAGGAGTAGGAGGAGAAAGATCATTTGCCGGCTGGATATCCCGGTAACTATCCCGCTAAGCTGAAGTTTATATTGTTAATTGTATTTGTGAACCTTCAATAGTTTAGTGAGCCGAGAGGTGACGAGTCATATGATTCATTTGTGGCGCGATTTGGAGCGAGCTGTCCAATCAAACAAAAGTAGAGTAGTCTATATTGATTATATTTTGATTGACTGTAATTATATCCCTTTAAATATTCAAGTTTAAGCAGAAAGTAGAGATCTTGATTCCTGGATATCGATAAAGAAGATTTTGATGGTATCTCGGCCCCTCATGTATTGGCAGCCCTTGCTTGTATCACTTATCAAAGCTGTTCGAAGTAGCATATATTTGAAGTCTGTCCAAATTCAAGTAGCGAAGATTGAATAGAGCACTGGTATTTATAGAATCGGAAGCTCATAGAGTCATGGTCCTGCAACCTCTGAGCGAGTGTTAGTACAATCCTTTGTTCTCTGGATATCTTCAGTTGGGCATTATCTTATACTCAATGCTTCTTAATGCCAAGATCAAAGGATTGCCCCACGGAGGTCCCTCCAGGGTTGGTACTGCCCTACAGGCCTTGCCTATTTCCTGTTTAAGGACCTTGGTTGATGGTTCTACTCTTGCTCTGGATTAGTGCACCAAATATTGGCCGTTCAGTTATACTAAAACTGTTCAGTTCAGTCATCCCTAGCCCTAAGTTTCAAATGAGTCAAAGGAGGGTCTTGCGCTTATCTGGGTAATAATAATAATAAACCCTGGCGATTTTAGCAAATGAAGGAGTCGAGAGGGTGTGGTTCTACAGGGAGGGGCAAAAGATGGGGCTTTGAGAACTACACCATGTGGGTGATCATCACATTTTGTAGCGGTATTTCCACAATGTGCTTAATTAATTGTCTGATTCGACTCTGCCCTGTGCGGCAGTGTTCTTTTATAAGACATATCTGGTCATAATATTTGCAAGGGAATTCATGTTCTGCCTCGAGGAACTGGAAGCGTAGAAACAGGGGATGGTAGTGATTCGGGGTTGTTGGTCAAAGGAACTTTGGAGGGGGGAAAATATATTTTTGCCAGTTAAAACACATTATTTTTGCCAGTTAATTTAAATTGATCCCTTAACATATATTTCTTTCTATTTCAATTTAATTTATCATTTAATTTTGAATTTTATAGTCTTTTAATCTCATTTAAATATAATTCAATCTATTAATATTTAACCTGAATTTTATTTTTACCCAATTCACTCTAATCTAATTATTAACTTGATTTTATTCTGCCATTGAGTCATGAGACCATTTTAGTTTTTCACTAAGCATTTTATTGCAAGTATTAGTCGGGAAAAACATGTTACTAATTTCAAAATCAATTTCTACATCGAAGTAAAGTAAAATTAAAAGTAATAAGTAAGATTTAAAAAGTCACGCAAATAAATTTAAAAGAGAAGAATAAAATTTCAGAAGAAATCTCAATTTTTCTTTCATTGCCACATTTCCTTTGTTGCTTTTAGAAGAAAATAAGATTATAAACAGCAATATTCAGCAATATTGAAACAGAATCAAACTGTCAAAGAAAATCAAATATGACGCTACAAGTTTGGGGGCTTTTTTGGCTACAGTTTTTCAACGAATTTATCAGAATCACGACCACGACATTGGGAGAGGCACCAGCATGGCACCAGGATCAGAAGTTAAGTAGCTTCAAAGCTTTGATATCCAGATTTTATGACTCAAAAGTCATGGTTTCAGCTTCCTGTCTGATCGACTCAAACAACACAGACGACAGGTATCTCTCACCACAGCTTGGAAAAATCACCTGCATCCATCCATGTCACATGTAACTTTCTTTTAACTCTAAAACGCTGTAATCTCAGTCACTCAAAATATACATTAAGTTATTGAGCCACCGATCTAGAGAGCAGAATCAGGCATGTGAAATGAATCAATAAAATCAATATATAAAATTTATTAGAAATCGTACTGTTTATAAGTTATAAATATATCACATTACTTGTGGGCGTCAATATACTTAATCCATGAATATACATGAGCACCTTCGTAATTTATAAATCTATTCACCACAAGGTTCAGTCAACTTACTACAATAAGCTTTCCGGCATTTTCTGGTCTTTTTGCTACCTTAATTGCGGCGGCTGCTGCAGCTCCAGATGATATTCCAACCTACACAGTACCCAATGAGGTTCACTGAACACAAATATTTAAAAGGAAATAGAAAAAGGGACAACAAAATGGCCCTAAAGGACTGCCTCAAGCTCACAGCTAGCAGGTTTTAGAGGTTCAGAACTTACAAATAGGCCTTCTTTCACTGCAAGTAGCTTTGCAGTCTCAATAGCTTCATCGCTGGATACCTGCCAAATCACATGACATGCATCTCAACTTTAACAGATCGCATACTGTTGCCCCCATCCAAACCAAAATTTCTGCAATAGGATGACCTTTCATTCATATTTCATTTTCATTTTGATCTTATAAGAGTGAATTTAGAAGGAAGAATGACAGTTTGAGACCGAATGAATTTAGTTTCAATTCGGGACCAAAGTCCTTAATAATTTGACATTGTGACTTTGATGCCAGGTCTGAGTTCGGAGCCGTCCAGCTAGGGAGTAAACCAGAGAAGGAAATAATCATAATGCATATATAGGAAAATTAAACCATTAGATATTGATTTAATGGGTGCTCCAAGGGAAAAGCTTGATTAGTTCAACAATCAGCTCTGCTTAAGGCAATATTGCCTCGATATTTCCAAAATGATAAAACAAAAAGTCACCAGTATCAAATCCACCTTCACAAACTGAAAGTGTATTAAGTTTGATTACATGAACTCTAGAGCAGCGTAATCTTAGTTCAAAAGTTGTAAAAACTTACTTGCACAACTCCGTCGAGAAGACTGACATCCAGCACCGCAGGAATAAACCCAGCACCAATCCCTTGAATCCTGTGAGAACCTAGGCATTCAACAAAGCAAATTTCACATTGGGAACAGTTAAAGACTCAAGCTCTTCAGCTCTAATGTTCTATCAGGAAAAAACTGTTAATAGAATAAATATTACCTATTGGTTACCAAACCCAAAAAAAGAAAAAAAGGAACTGGTTGTTAACTTTTAAGTTGAGAAAAACAGAATAGTCCAAGAGTCATTATGATCAAGTGACCAAGAATTGGTGTTAAAAACTCAAAAGAATAAATATATCTATTGTTTATTTATCAGGAAGGCGGACAGGTAAATCAGGTAGGATAAAAGGAAACCCACTCCTTCATAAAGGTTAGGAACAGGGATAGGGTTTGGTTGAATAGCAGGTCCAAGGAAATCACTTTTAACAGAATAATATGCTATAATTCCATAGCATGCAGATGCCTAGATGCTATTCAATCAACTTCAAAAGCAACATGCGAGGAAAAATTATGGTTGTTGTATGTGATAGAATATTTAAAAGTCAAATATCAACAAAGAAACAAAGAAGGAGCATAACAAATGTTATAACTCACCAGGCTGTCCACCAGAAAGCACGGCGCTTTCAGCAGGTTCAACACCATACACCTACATAACGGAGAAAGGAAAACAATGAGAACACAAATGCATCACATAGTTGCAGTAGTGACAAGTTATCCTCCATTTTATAAGAAACGGATGTGCAGACGTTCTGCTATGCACATCAAACAAATAAACTAACCTTAATGTTGGGATTTTGTTCTTTAAGAAATTTCCCAGAACCTGTTATTGTGCCACCAGTACCTATTCCTGCTACAAATGCGTCGATTCTCCCTTCAGTGGCTTTCCAAATCTCTGGGCCAGTAGTTTCATAATGTATCTGAAACGATATCAAATATTTTAAACAGTGTTTGTCAAGCATCCATCACAATCATTACGGAACAGATGCCTAGATACCTTGGGATTGGCAGGATTTTCAAACTGTCGAAGCATGTAGGCATCAGGTGTCTTAGCAAATATTTCTTCACCTTTCTGAAATGCACCATCTATTCCCTTTTCAGGGTCTGACAGTATCAACTCAGCCCCTAAAGCTTTCATAACGATTCTTCTTTCAAGAGTATTTGAAGCAGGCATTACAATAATAAGCCTGTAACCTTTTGCCGCTGCCATGAAGGCTAATCCAATGCCAGTATTACCACTTGTTACTTCAACGAGGACACTCTTTAGCAAAATGAAAAACACATCCACGAAAAGGAATAGTTGTCAACTGAAGAGAAACATAAAGTTACAGCATTTTTCTTCCAACTGATACTATTCTAAGGTACAACTTCTACCATATTATTAGAAACTTGGCTTCACCCTTCGGGAGGGCTCTTTATCAAGGTACATATACCAACCTTTCCGGGTGCGATAAGACCTTTCTCCTCTGCATCAATAATCATACTATAGCCGATCCTGTAAGTGATATAGATACAGTATAGTCAAGTATTCTATCAATCACAGGAACCTATACCTGTATATGAAAATTAAACAATAATGCTAGAAAAAACATGAAACCACGATTATCTATCGGTTTTAAAAACTGAAACCTCTACCTGTCTTTAACACTAGAGCATGGTTCCATCAATTCTAGTTTGGCAGCAATCCGGCCCACACAGCCATCCACAACTTTATTAAGGTATACTAATGGGGTTTTGCCAACCAACTGAAAAAGAAAAAAGACGAAACACGACAAATAAGGGGAAAAGCCCGTGAAAGAGAAATCAGGGACCGTCAAGGTACTCAAACTCACTTCTGTAACATCTTTGGCAATTCCAGACCTTTCCACCGCCATGATGATAACTTACTGCAGAGTCTGCCAAAAAAAAAAAGTAAAAAAAGAAAGAAAAAAAATAGTACCAATGCAGTTCTTTAATCCACAATAAAGCTGACAGTTCTATAAACCACCAAATGGGATATGAAATTTTTATAGTTTGTAAATATGGAAATACTAAAGTTTCTGTTGCCCTCGCGAATGCAAAAAAATATGGGCCATGAAAATTCAAACCTCTTCAACAAAATTTCAACCTAGTTCAGCCACTAACAAATGCTAACCCTCCACAGTTGCTGTCCCCATGACGCCACCCATCTAGAGTACCAAACAGCTAGGATTACAGATAGAAAAATCTTCTTCATTTCAGCTGAAACATTCACTTCCAACTTGAACGTATTGGCACCGGTCGATATTGATGGTGACAGTAACAAGATTTTTATTTTAATTCGTCTGGGTTTGAAGGTCACTGGTATATGAATGAAAAGCGAGCACTTAAGTAACTAGTGGAAAACAAACAGGAACTTCCTTTCAAAGATTCGGTAAAAATGACGCTAATCAAGATGCTTACTATTGAAAATAATAATAATAATAAAGAGGATAATTAATCGAAGATGAGAAAGGAATTGAAGCCAAACTCTCTAACCACACTACGTCGCAACCGACGACAATGGACAACGATCTAGGGACGGCCCAGTGAAGTCCAGCTTCCAGCTTAAACCTCCCCTGTTTATCACTTCTTTTTTTTCCCGATAAATTTATCACTTCTTCTATATATATGCTATTTCCACGAGATGCTGTTGATCCCTTTTCGGTAAGAGGAACGCGACACTATTTATAGCAATAATTTAGTCAACAATGCACAAATGATAATGATACAGCTCATCTTGATGGAAAGCATATGCCTGCTCGTGGTGGCGATTAAAACAAAGGAAAGATAAGAATATATCGAATTCGAAATCTTCCATCTCTCTCTGTCCACATAAAATAAAGGGGGGACAATGCAGGGAAGCTTTATAAAAGTACATAAAAAATCATCAGAATTTTGAAAAAGAATTTGTGCAATTTTTTTTTCTTTTTTCATACGGTGCTGGGTACAAGTCTTCCTCCAATATTTGTGAGTCAATTGGAAAATTTACAATTTATCTAACGTGTATTTTCATTTTGCAAAATCTTTACGAGGCCTGCTAATAATAACACAATTTTAGAAAACCCATCTATTAGTAATTAATTTCTTTATTGGGGTCTTTTACTTAAAATAATGCACAACCCAAAAGGCAGAAGAGGATGGTGGTGGTCGGTGATCTAGATGAAAGAATAAAAATATAGGAGGCAAAAGAAGGTGGCGCTCTGAACGCCGGCTATATATTACAAAAATGGTTTCGGGGAAATAATAGAGCAAGATTTTATGTTGATTTTTGCCAAGCCTTAACAAGCGGAATCGCAGGCGGGCCTCCTTGGAACTTGGGAGGAAGAAGGTCAACTAATCAACCATGCTGGATAAGGAGTTGTCACAAGGTCTTGTTGATGCGAAGACTTTATTAACAGATAATTTGTAAATATGTCTGTAAGAAACATATGCTGATCTAATAAGCTTTTGAGATTTAATTCATCTAGACGTTTTTATATCTAAAAAAAATCATGTTGACTAATGATTTGGTCGTCGCCCAACTTCTTCTTTGATAGTTTGATGTGTATAATTCACATACATGCACACAATCAGTTTGTATTGAAAAAAAAAAAATGTTCTAACACATTATTTTTCTTACACAGGTGAGATTTGAATTAAACAAAATTGTGTGGAAAAAGCCAATCATGTAGAGTTTGTTAGTATTCCAAGAGACATTAAGAAGGCAGCTGATATATTTATATATACAGTTCATATTAAGGCTACTTTATATGCTGGAGATGGTAACAATTTTGAGTTATATGAATCAAGGAATTTTAGAAGGGAAAAAAATATAAAATATAATTAAGGGACTAAACTAGGATTAAATAAAATCACCAAAATATCATTTATTTTTCTATTTCATTTCGATCATTCTACTGGACTTTAGGTAATTTTAGATGGTAAACAAAAAAAAAAAGCCTCATATTGGTTTTGCGACGCACAATTGACATTCAAGAATTACACAATTTTCTTTTGTAGCTTTTAGTTTCCTTTATGGCCCCATTTATTTTGTTACTTTTGGATGAAAACAAGATTACAACAAACATTATTCCAACAGCCTCAAACTGCCAAAGACAATCAAAATACTGAGACTACAAAAGTTTTGGGGCCTTTGGCTACAGTTGGTTTTTTATTTCAGAATCACAACCATAACAGAAGAACCATAAGCTATGCACAAAGATCAGAAACTGAAGAAGCTTCAAAGCCTTGAAATCCAAAAGTTTTATGACTCAAAGGTCATACTTTCCGCTTCCTGTCTGACTGACTCAAACAACACAGACGACAGATATCTCTCACCACAACTTGGAAAAAGCACCTGCATCCGTATCAAACCGCACATTAAGAGTAAAAAATGTGTAACTTTCTTTTAACTCTAAAACAAACGCTGTAATCTCGGTCACTCAATATACTACCTCTGTCCTCAATATAAAACCCTGTATGACTTTTATTTTGGTTCTAAATATAAGACCTCAATCCATTTTGTCTCTCATATTTATACATTTTTTTTTTTAAAGTAGCCCTTCTAATAATGATAGTTCTAGTCAATACACTTGATTAGCAAGGATATTTTAGGAAAGACAACACCTATTTAGGACAAATAACTAACTTAATTTACTTCCTTAATCTCCTCAAATTAGTCAACTGGCTTTTATAATTAGGACCGGAGGTAGTATATGAATTTATTGAACCACCCATCCAGAGAGCAGTATCATGCCAGTAAAATGAATCAATAAAATCAACATATATGTATATACTGAAAGCCATATTATTCCACACTTTAAAGCATATATCTCCCAAATTTTAAAGCATCACAACCAATAATTTGGAAGCATGGTTTAGCTTCAGAAAAACTGGAGCAATATTAATTCATCTGTTAATCTTTTTCAGCTGAGTAGTCCAAGGTGAACTTGCCCTATCCATTCTTCAAAACCAACCATTATCCATGAAAATATACGAGCACCTCTGCGACTTGTAAATATCTTCACCGGAATTTTCAGTAAACTTACCACAATAAGCTTTCCGGCATTTTCTGGTTTTTTTGCTACCTTAATTGCAGCGGCTGCAGCAGCTCCAGAGGATAGCCCCACCTACAACAATACCCAACGAAGTTGAATGGACACAGATATTTGAAAGGGGAAAAAAAGTTTGAACCAGAAAAAGGTACAATAAAATAGCCCTAAAGGACTGCTTCAAGCTCACTGCTGGCAGGTTCTAGAGGCTCAGAACTTACAAGTAGGCCTTCTTTAAGTGCAAGAAGCTTTGCAGTCTCAATAGCTTCAGCGGTTGATGCCTGCAAAATCACATATCTCAAGTTTAACAAATTACATACTTTTCCGACTGTCCAAAACAAAAATTCTGCAATAGGATGATCTTTCTAATGATTCTTCAACATCGGTCTTCTTTTTTTCTTTCAAACTAGACCCACAATAAGACTGAATTTAGAATTGAATCCAATACCAAATTCAATTATGACATGTTAGAAGAATCATCGTATATTAGTATTACCATATTATCGTCTATCCCATCAAAATCTCCCATAATTACATTTGTGGCTCTGATGCCAGGTCTGACTTCAGAGCCGTACCACTAGTGACAAAACCAGCGAAGAGAATAGTCATAATACGAAGTAATATACCATCAGAAATTGATTAAATGGGTACTCCAATGGGAAAAGCTTGATTAATACAACAATCAGCTTTGCTTAAGTCAACATTGCCTCAATAGTTCCAAAATGATAAAACAAAAAGTCACCAGTATCAACTCCACCTTTACAAACTGAAAGTGTATTAAGTTTGATTACATGAACTCTAGAGCAGCGTAATCTTAGTTCAAAAGTTGTGAAGACTTACATGAACAACTCCATCTAGAAGACTGACTTCCATCACCGCAGGTATAAAACCAGCACCAATCCCTTGAATCCTGTGAGAACCTAGGCATTCAACAAGGCAAATTTCACATTAGCAACAGCTAAAGACTCGAGCTCTTCTACTGTAATGCTCTATTAGGAGAAAAGTGCTAATACAATAGAAATTATCAGAGGGAATAACAAGCAAAGAAACCAAATAGGAATCTACTTTTTGTCCAAAGGGATAACTTTTGTTGAAGAAAGAACATAATATTCCAAGAGTCATTGTGGTCAAGTGACCAAGAATTGGTGTAAATAAAAATTCCAAAGTATAAATTCAATCATTTTTGTGTTATCAGGAAAGTGAACTAATAATCTCACTGAATAATATAGCTAAATAGGACAAAAGGAAGCCCACTCCTTCCTGAAGGTTAGCAAAAGGAATGGGGTTCAATTGAGAAGTAGTTCCTAGGAAATCACTTTTGAAAGGCTAATATACTCTAATCCCATGGTATACAAATGACTAGATGCTTCTCAATCAAACTCAAAAGCAAGATTCAAGGCAAAATTATTATGGCTTGTACGTGATAGATATTAAAAAGCCAAATAGACACAACGGAACAAAGGAGCATCACAAAGGTTATAACTCACCAGGCTTTCCTCCAGCGAGCACAGGACTTTCAGTAGGTTCAACACCATACACCTACATAAAGGAGAAAGGAAAACAATGAGAACACAAATGCATGAAATAGTTGCAGCTGTGACAAGTTATCCTCCATTTTCTAAGAAATTAATGTTTTAGATATACCACTAAGCACATCAAACGAATAAGCTAACCTTAATGTTGGGATTTTGTTCTTTAAGAAATTTCCCAGCACCTGTTATTGTACCACCAGTACCTATCCCTGCTACAAGTGCATCAATTTTCCCTCCGGTGCCTTTCCATATCTCTGGGCCAGTGGTTTCATAATGTATCTAAAATGATATAAAATATTTTAGATTAGTGATTGTCAAGCATCCATCACAACCATTACAGGACAGATAGATACCTTTGGATTGGCGGGATTTTCAAACTGTCGAAGCATGTAAGCATCAGGCGTGTTAGCCAATATATCTTCACCTTTCTGAAATGCACCTTTGAGACCAATTTCAGGGTCTGTCAGTACCAACTCAGCCCCTAAAGCTTTCATAACGATTCTTCTTTCAAGAGTCATTGAAGCAGGCATTACAATAATAAGCCTGTAACCTCTTGCTGCTGCTATGAAGGCTAATCCAATGCCAGTATTACCACTTGTTACTTCAATGAGGACACTCTTCAGCAAAATGAAAAACACACATCCACAGAAAGGAATAGTTGTCAACTCAAGATGTACATAAAGTGACAGCATTTTGTTCCCAACTGATACTATTCTAAGGCGCACACTTTTACTATGCCATTACAAACTGGGTGTTTCAAAGCCCAACCCTTGGGAGGATTCTCTGTCAAGGTATACCAACCTTCCCGGGTGTGATAAGACCTTTTTCCTCTGCATCAGCTATCATACTATAACCGATCCTGTAACTCAAATAGATACAATAGAATCAAGCATTCTATCAATCTCAGGAACCTATGCCTACTCATAAAAATTTAACAATAATGCTAGGAGAAACATGAAACTACAAGATTATATCGGTTTAAAGAACTGAAACCACTACCTGTCTTTAACACTAGAGCATGGCTCCATCGATTCTAGTTTGGCAGCAATCCGGGCCACACAACCATCCGCAACTTTATTAAGATATACCAATGGGGTGTTGCCAATTAACTAAAGCAAGAAAAGGCAAAACACTGTAATAAAGGGGGAAAGCCCGTGAAAGAGAATTCGGAGCCCATCAAGGTACGCAAACTCACTTCTGTAACGTCTTTTGCAATTACAGACCTTTCCACCGCCATGATGATAGCTTACTGCAGAGTCTGCAAAACAAAAACAAAAAATTAGTGTATCCGCAAAGTTGGCAGCTTTATAAACTACCACATGGAACCTGGAATTTTTGTACTTGATAAATGTGGAAATTTTAAAGTCTCTGCTGTCTTCGCGAAAGCAGAAATTAATAGGCCGTGGAAATTTAAACCTCTTTAACAAAATTCCGTCCTGGTTCAGCTCTCTTGAGTGCCAAAGAGCCATGATTACATATTGAAAAATCTTTTTCCTTTCGGCTGAAATGTTCGCTTCCAAAAGGAATGTACTGGAACCCAAAAATAACCGAAGAGTTTTTATAAGATAAATTATTCCGACAATATTGATGGTGACTGTCTAATTTTGAATTTGAAAATTTGCAATTTTTTCTGGTTTGAAGGTTGCTGTTATATGAGTGAAAACCGGGCATTTCCGCAAGAAACAACAAGGGACTTCCTTTCAAAGGTTGGGTAAAAATGATGGTAATTGAGTTGCCTGAGAAAATATGAAGAGCATGACGAATCAAAAGATGAGAGACGAATAAAAGTCAACTCTCTAATTACACCTCTGCGTCTCAGTTGATAACAAGTGACAGCGATCCTCGACCAGCCATGTGAAGCTCCGCTGAAATTTATATCCTTTTTAAAAGGCGCGCTTTTTTAATTATAAATATAAAATCTTCGATATACTTATATGTGCAATCCAATCGTTGGAAAACTCACTCGTATATTATGAATATTAATTGTTATAATTAGTAATGAGACTAGTCTTGGTTGAAGCGGCTCTCTCAAGGAAGCCTTGTTCCAGAATTTCATGGGAAGTATCGTTCCCCTGTGGAAACTGATGCGGCTCCAGGGAAGCAAGATTCATGCAAAGGCGGCATCCCCCTTCTGTTTAAAGGTTACTCCCTCCGTTTTTTATTATAAGAGACATTTGATATTTATGACATATTCCCATATATAAGAGACACTTAAAAATTGTCTCTATTTTTTTGTATTGATTTTCTATTTTATCCCTATTTATTTTGTCTCCAACTCATACTCTCTCCCTCCCACTTCTCTTTCTTTTAATAATTTAATTGTTCTCTCTCATACTCTCTCCTTATTAATAGGGACATTGTTGGAAAAAAACATTATACTTTTTACACATTAATTGTCCTCAACTAATTTTAACTATTTTTTTGATCAACGTAATTTGGTTATTTGTCTCTTATAATAAGAAACGGAGGGAGTAAATTTTAAAGTTTGCTCTGAGTTTAGAGTTTAGCTTCTACCTTTGATGTAAACGTAAATAAGTTTACTTTATGGAGTATACTATTTTCGTGTTGATGCTAGAAAACCCAAATCAAGAGACAAACCTGATCTCTCATTTTGCTTGGACGTTACATTAAGTATGCTTTTAGTTGTAAAGGCTTAAACCCAGTTCACTGCTTGCATCTTATCAGATAAGCTAATGTCAAGTAACGTTTTTGCATTCACTTAATTGTTTTAAAAATGTTTTATGTATCCAAATAAATCAGCATACAGCAGGGCGGACGGTTTGGATAGGATGAATTAATTCATAGTTGAATGTCTATTCAACTGGAATCTTAAAATCCCTAGCAACATCATTTTGAGGAACAGTCAAAGGACACCTTGTTATCCTATCTAACTTGCTTTAGAGTAATCTTGTGGGGTATATCCTGCTCTCAAAGGAACCATGCCATTCCTACAACAGCGTTGAGATTGCTCTGCTTCAAAAGGGGGGGGGGGGGGGGGACATATGCAAGGAAAGCTACCAAAGCTAACAGAAATACCGTCACAATGGACATTGCTCCCTTATTCAGGCAATCCCCCCCTTGTTTTGATGTTTTTGTATTACAAGATAATCTCTGTTTTTTTTTTCTTTGCTATCATCTTTTAGCTTTTCTTCTTGCCTAAAAAAATTATAACTTAGTACTATAATTTTATGGTTTTATTATCAAATTTTAAAAAATAAGCAGTTATTTATCTATGATTTAAATGTTAAAAATCATATATAATTTAATCAAAATGTTTACACTTATTTTTTAAATTTAAAAATCAATATTAAGCAAAGCATAGTTTTTTTGTCCCTAGATCAATTTTGAATTAATATTATTTGTCCCTAGATCAATTTTGAATTAATATTATTATATTTTTTTATTAAAGAATCCATTCTTAAAATTGTCATCAATTTTGATTAATAGTCTTATGGCTGTTACTCGCATAATAATAACCTACTGTTGATATGCCAATAATATTTAGAATCAGTTGTCTCTTCAAAGTTGACGGCAACAAGTTGGATTTCTTGATGAAAAATTCTATCCTTAGCTTCAGTTTCTCTTATCTTCTGATTCTGGAAAAAAAAAAAAATTATTAAGGCAGATCTCAGACGATCGACGAGACGATATGAGAAAAAGGTTTAGACGTTAAAGAGAAAAGAAAGGGGGGGGGGGGATTTATCACCTTATCCTTTCCACCACCATTCAGCTTCCAAAAATGGCTACTTTCCGGTTCACAGCATCCCCATCCTTCACCACCACACTCCCCAAACACAACCACCCCACGGCCGCCCCTGCTCTTCACCTGAACCCTAAGCGCCATCGTCCAGCGCCATCGGCTATTGTGCATTCATATAAAGTGGTAATCGAACACCAGGGTGAGTTGCGGGAGCTGGAAATCGACCCCGAAGAGACCATTCTGTCCAAGGCCTTGGACTCCGGCTTGGAAGTCCCTCACGACTGCAAGCTCGGCGTCTGCATGACTTGCCCCGCTCGCCTCCTCAGCGGCTCCGTTGATCAGAGCGAAGGAATGCTTAGCGACGACGTCGTTGAGCGTGGCTACGCCCTCCTGTGTGCCTCGTACCCTCGATCCGATTGCCATATTAGGACTATTCCCGAGGACGAGCTGCTTTCTATGCAATTGGCTACCGCCAACGACTGATCCTCTCGGCTCTCGCTTTCGGTCGAGGAATGTCGTTGCTTTAATTTCGTGTCGCTGAACCCAAGTGGAGGTTTTGCTTGTTTCTGATCAGTGGGTCTGATTCTCAGATTTGGTAATATACTTCGGTCATCGAACATATTGGTTGAGAACTTGAGATAGTCTTTCTATGCAAATCTTCTTTTTTTTTTGGGAATTGTCATCGACGCTTCAGGCTTTGTGCGCTTTAACTAGATAACCTTCTCAGTTCGGTTAGAATCAAATGTAACCGCATATAAGTACAACCCATGTTTTTCGCAAGAATCTTTATGCAGACAAAAACAACCTTCTTGTATCAGGAAATTTGCAGAGCAAAACCCAATTTGACACAAGCAATCAAATAAGCAAGCAACGAAAATTGCGTTTATACGCAGCTTTGTCTCAAGTAGGCTTTCATGGTAACGTGAAAGTGAAGTGGAGGGAGAACCCAAATCTCATTATGAAGAACGATCTGCCAGCCTGAACAACTATGTGAGTGAAATAATGCATATCCACCGCATGTAGAATGAGGCCAATCGAATGAGCGCCAACTGAATGTTCTTTTCTTTTTTCTTTTTTTTCGATTAGAGCAAACTTGAAGCTTTAGATTTGAATAAACCACGTTTATGGGATGCACTATGGAAGCCAACTAACCGAGCGGTCCCCTGCGTCAAATGTGGCTGAATTGCCTTCTTCTTGGGTCTTCTCAACTTTAACATGAATCTTCACATTAATGCCATCAGCGATGGTAGGATCACTAAACAATAACGAAGCTTACTCTACAATCTTCTCCTTTACTTGGAGTGCACATCACGTAATGTACCAGCTAATGCTCTCTGAGCCAGAGTTGCCCCTACACCAGCACGAGTCTAGTTTCTTTGTCTCGGCAGAAGCTTAGGGCTGAAATTTCATATGCTTTTATGATGACAACCCACCGCGAGGGGCTGCAAGTGGGAATCCTCTGCTTCTTTAATTCAGGGAAAGCACGATCCGAATTCGTCAGGCTGAAGTATAACACCAGTTACGCTTCTCATCTAGGCTCATGAGTTCTGGAAGAGTTTCCATCACTATTTCATTATAATTCAAATGAGCTTTGGGCAGCTAGCTGTCCTTTCTTTACCCCATTCTCATTTTTCTTCTCATCGCCGGCTTTCTTTGAAGACTATTCTTTCGGTGGAAATTTTTATGGTTTTCTTTAAACTCAACGGATTTCAATATCTAACCGTTCAGAGGATGATTATGGTCACATAAGATAAAAGCCGCTTGAATCATCATAAGCTTAGACGGAATAAGCACTCCTCCCACCGAAGCGTGAAGGTATCCAAACAAGAGCTAACCGCCCTCGAGGGATGATGCGACCCAAAACGTCATTGTAAAAGGCAACTCAATTTTCTTTCTGGGTTACAAAAGGCAACTCAATTTTGGAACCGAATTGCGTCGAGTTAAATTTGACGTGGATCGGGGACGAGTTTCATTTTTTTTTTCCCTTTGAAAAAACAAAAAAACCCCTCTTTGCCAAGCTTTGCATAGCGATTAGAAAGGATTACACTAAATGCAACACACCACGAAATGCATTTAGCTGGCAATAATCTACCATTACAACCACAGCCTGTCCATGAATACTCTTTTCCCTCATCATCCTGGTCTGGTAGATCCATAAAGGAGCATATTAGAACCCCACAGGACCATATTGGATTTCCAATAAGTATGTGAACTAAAGACCAATCATGCACACCGGTGGAAAATCTAACAAAAACAAAGCATTCAACTTTTGACCAGATTATTCCTTCACATATTTTAAGCCAATGTCAACAGCACCCAAGAAACAGATTACCTTCCTTTCCTTTTCCCAGTTCGAGCTCAGAGTAAACATGGAAACACATAACAACAGCAAGTCTTTCTACAACTGATCAGAATATTGGTAACTGAGTTTCTGATGTTTCTTGGCCATCCTAGTTACTTTCCACAATCACCTAGTACTACGTGATCAACATTAGAAATACAGCCTCTCACCATGCAGAGCAAGAAGCAGGACAGTTGTTATGATTAACACACATAACTGCTACCGTTAAACGGTTAGTGATTACAAACAACATTGTGAAAGTAAATAAGATCAAAGTTTGTCATATCAGTGGTTACTATCTTCAAAGGGTTGTCATGTCTATCGGTAGTAAGCCTGCTGATAAGCTGGTGCCAAACCATTACCATAGCCACCGTATGCAGGATAATTCATGGGAGCAGCTGGGTATGATCCTGTGAGTGCTGGTGCAGCCTCAGGTGAATAGGCATAGGGATTTGCAGGGGGGCTTCTGTTGCCATACATGTGAGGTGGAGAAGGATATGGCGGAAGAGCAGCTGGGTATTGCCCGTGAGATGGAGACCTGACAAATGTTGGAGCAGCAGGGAATGAAGATACATATGCATTGGTCAAACGGCCAGCTTTGGCTGGAGGCATTGGACCTCCATTGCTGTTGCTTGCTCGTGTTCTTTTATTGGCAGGGACTGCTACTGGTTTCTTCTTCTCAATCTTGACCTTCTCTAATTGTTCAAGACGCTTCTTCAGATTTTCAGGAGGGAACTCACTCTCAAGTTTGTACTCTTCAATGCACTTGATGACAGCCCTGAGAGCAGACTGCTCTTTCCTGGCAGCTAGGTACTGGGAAGATTTTTACCACAATACATGTCAGTTAAAACAGTAAACCCACGTTTTAAAAGCCCAGAAGGCATAAAATGCACCAAATTGTTCCTGCTTTTTCCGTCAACTAATCAAAAAAGCTATACACATAGACGAGAAGAATCCTGTTGGCATCAGTTCTCTTAAGCATATCAACACTAAGGCACTCCCTCCTCTCCCCCACACACACATCAAACAGAAACAACAGTACCAAATGCACACTTTCTAAACTGCATACTTTACCCAAAAAGAAAACTTTCCACCGCCATCCTTTCGACTTCAAATTTCACTTGGTAAAAAGAACAGAAATCTTATCTATGCAGCGGGGCCAAACCTTAATAGTTTGATGTGAAGATAGGCAGGAAAAAGTGACATTGCTTTCATCATTTTGCACGGGTGAAAGTTTTGCTTTGGTGACATTGAACTAGTGAGTTACACAGAAACATTGATAAGATATATATTACTAATGTAAATAATGAGGAAATTACCGCAGCTCGGCCTGCATTATTAGGATCTTCCAGAATCGATGCTGCAGCCTTCTTTGCATCCTTCAGAAATGACTTCAGCAGTGGAACAGGGGGGAACTTGTCCACGAGACCTACTTCATATGTGAAGTGTACAGCATCAAGTTGCTGGCCCTTGCTGATTAACTCTCCAATCAAATCTGCATATGAGATAGATATTTGTTTTGAATATCGGACAGGATGAATTAGACCAATACGCATAAAACAGAGACAGAAAAGTAGTGAGTTCATATACAAGCATGCTTAGAGACATAATGACCATTTAATTTGTTCCCTTTGCCCAACTTGATAATTGATTCATCTCGTTAACAAAACCAAATTGGTTTACTATTTACAACGAGAATGCAGCTCCTACTGCTACAGCTCTGATGCTCCTTATGCAGGAAAAGTAAAGAGACTCTGCTCAGCTTCATCATTACCAGCAGGTTAAAAAATATATATTAAAAAAATCCAACAACTCACACGACAATAACAGGAACAGAAACACTCAATTTTAACGTGAAATTAGCAGCATTGCGGGATAGTAATGGAAAAGACTACAAAAGTAATTGAAACCCTAAGCAGGCACTAGTGCCACCTCCTTATATGATTCGAAGTCTCCAAACAATATCACATGTGAACCACAGAGATCATCAGTCACATTATCTCAAACTTGTATATACACGGTGAATGATTCACAACATTAAGGACAAATTCCCTTTCCCTAAACCTTTCCTGTCACGGAAGAACAGGCCTCTCCATCAAAGGCAATAATCAGACATCTTTAAATCGCTTAAAAAATGGTCAGCAGTATCTGAAAAGCATGGCTAAACCGCAAGTTAATGACTTCAATTGGCAAATGAATGCTCACAGTCAATCATTCTCTAATTTGGTCCAATATGCTAGAACTAAAGAACCTGATTCAACAAGCATGCAAGAAATGCATCCAGGCATGAGCTCAGCAATTTAAGCTGAAAATGTTTTTTCTCTTAACCTAGAAGATGACGAGAAAAGAAGCCAGAGTAACATCTCGGCCCCAAAAAGTCCCACAAAAAACCAGTTGCTCTCATCTTAAACCCATCACTGAAGAGTATTAGGTCACTGAAATCTGGGTTACCTTTTCATCCTTTTCTCGTAACTCTGGATAATTTTCCAGTAATTATTCGCTTTACACTTGAAGCCTTACTATAGTTCACAAATCAAATCAGAATGGAAGTTCTTGCGACTACGAATAAGATAAAATGTGACCAAATATATAGCGAATCATAAGAAAAGGTAGAAACATACAAGTAGTATGGACACAGCACAGGAAATTGTTGCCGTTTAGAAAAAGAAACAAGCATACCGGGCATTTCGTCACCAAGACCAAGGGAAACAGCAAGTTTGGGCATCTGTTTCCTCCATGCGGAACCAATCACCAGCTTCCTATACAAATCCAAGTCCTCCTTCTTGACGATACCAAAAGTCACCAAATGCTGTAAGAATGTATGAACATCAGGTGTTTTCACATTCTCGATTCCACCACGTTCTTCCAAGCTCGCCTTCCAAGTCTCAGCAATCTCTTTAGCTCGCTCCTTCACGGTCGGCGTCACCAAAAGCCTGGATTTCCCAATCACAGGGTCGACCATCACAGGGATAAGTGACTCCAACACCAGCACACAAGCCCAACCCAAATCGTTATTGTTGTTCTTCTCGGTCTTGTCGCCCCTCTTGTCCACCGGGAACACCACCGATATCGCCTCCAAGACGAACTTTGGCGGATCGATACACTCAGCCAGAGCCAAAGGCATCTGAGACCTCAAAGCGTCCAACTCTTTCTTCTTACCAACGACGAAACCCCAAAAACCCGAGGCATCCATTCTGAGACAGAAGGATTTCAAATTGAGCAACAAGCCGTCGCCATTATCAACCTCTCCGTTTTCATCATCATCACCGCCTCGAGAGTCCTCTTTCTGGAGCACCAGCAGAGCAGCTTCCTTGTTCTTCTCGACATTCCCCAGGGCGATCTCCACACTGCCGTCGATGGTGACCTCGCGCTTCTCTAGCTGGTGAAGTGACTCCTCGGTCTGGTGGTCAAGAGACTGAATCTTGGTCATGAGTGCCTGAGATTTCTTGAGAAGGTCTTGCTCGAGAGAGAAGAAGTGGTCGGAGAGCTCCTTCCAGAGGAGAGTACAGCTGGTCATGAGAGAGGTCTGCCTCTGGAACTCGTCGAAGCTGGGCTGAGCCAGCTCGGTCAACTCGCCGGGATCGGGGATGGACCCCATACTGGGTGAACCACACACCTCAGTAGTCGGGAGGGAGAGGAGGAAAAAGAAACCCTAAGAATGGAGAAAGAAAGAAGATGAAAGACGAAAGAGGAGGAGAGATGAAAGCTAAATGTGGGGAGGGGTGGAGGAAGGAGAACAGGGAGAGATGACGTGGAAGGGGGAAGCAGAGGACACGTGGGATAGAGGTGCTAAAATGCACCGGGAGAGCTAGGGCATAGGGCAGTAGGGTGGGGTTAGGCATGGGGAAGGAGAGAGTAAAGTAGGGAGTTGGTGGCGCAGGATAAGGGGGGAATGTTTGGAGGGGGGGTTAACAGTGGGAGGGAGGGAACTACTTTCCCGGAAATCGAAGTTAGATCAAGAAAAAAAACAAAGGCAGAGAGAGGGAAAGAGGATGGTGGGACACAGGGAGTGACCACCACATGGGAGACGTCAGACATGGTAAAGAATTTGCCGGCTACCCGCGTTACAGGTGTCTCTTAATTTTAACCAAAAAATCACGTTACTGCTCCAATTTGTATATGTCCGTCCGTACGGGTATGCGAATGCTCTCTTCTTGTTTTCGTCAAAAACAGCCCTGCATCAATAATAAGCTGATTTTGTTAAAATAATAATAATAATAATAATAATAATAATAATAATAAGCTGATGTTTTAAAATGTTTAATTACTTGTTAAGTGAAAAGTAAGTAACTTTAATATACTTTTAAGAACATTTTAAGCGAAAATTTATTAATCGTTCCTAAAATTACATAAAATGTCTTAGAGGGTGTTTAGATAATCCCAAAATCAATTTTGAAAAGCACTTTTCTGTAAATAGAGACAAACTCCTCTACATATTTACTTTGTATATTATAAGAGCATTTTTAAAACTATGATTTTGTTTCTATTCAAATATCCCTTTAAATATTTTATAAAAAATGCTTTTTAACACCAAGAGCTTAAAATAACATAAAACATGTATTCGTATCTTTTCTTTTGTGTAATTTAGTTTCTTATATATTATTCTTTTTAATATAAGAGTTGGTTTAATTTTTAATTTAATTATAAATATAAGACTTCAATCCACTTTGTCTTTAATATTTATTTATTTTTTCTCAAGTAATCTCTATATAGATGCATATGTTGGTGAGATATTATCAATTTGTAATTCAAACACAAAGAACATTTTAGAAAATGTAGTATTTATCTATTATAAATAATTAATTTATTTAATTTTTTAAATTAATTAACTAAATCTTAGGGGAAATTGCAAAAAAAGACCTTGGAATTGCAAAAACGCAGATAGGGACCCTTGACAACTTCACTTTGGGTTTTGACAACTTCAGGGCATATTATTCTTGTCAAAACCCAAAGTGAAGTTGTCAAGGGTCCCTATCTGCGTTTTTGCAATTCCAAAGTCTTTTTTTTGCAATTTTCCCTAAATCTTATATTAAAAATAGGAGGTAGTACTATATAACTGCGTTTGCGTACAAAAATGATGTATTGCACCGGGCAAAGTAATCATGTTTAAAGGATTTCATGGCTTCACCTTTCTTTAAAAACCATTCCTTAATTATTTCAAATGGTTTTTTCCTAATTTTCCCAAAATAAAAAAGGACGATACGTCAGTACTCCACAATATGTCTTTTAATATTATATATATAATTTTAATTTTAAAATCTTAAAATTAACCATTATCTCATGTACAATGCCAAAAGAAAGTTGTAAATAAACCAAGAAAAACCACCAAAAAGGGATAAGGACAATAGATTGAGGAAGGGGCAAGCGAGGTGAGCGGAAAGATGTTTGCATGCGCACTCCTTCAAAAATTAAAATAAAAGTACTCCCTATTCTTCCTCTATTTATAAATCTTAAATTTATGAAAAAATTCAATTTATTTAAATTTATCTCAATATTTAATCTATCTTTATAGTTTTATTTTTAATAACTTATTCTCTTTTTTTTTTATCACACACCTCTCATTATATTTTCATATGCCTTTTTTCACATTTTTCTCATTTATTGCAAAATATATTTTAAAATAAAAATATATTCTCCTAGTCCTATTTATAAGTTATGTTCAATATAGTTTACATAGACCAAGAAAAGCCTTAAACTTTATTGACTTTTATTTAAAATTCAACAACTTCTCAATTTTATCCATATTTAATATATATTATACTTTATATAAACAAATTCAACATAATAATAAATAAACGGTAAAATTATACATTCATACAAAAAAAATTTCTCAATACCCTATGAATAGGATAAAAAATATTTTTTTATTTTTCTCTATAAATAAGATCAAAGAAATTCATTATATATAAATTAATTGTTTAAAACTAACAGTAATAAACAGCGGAAGCCGGAAGGAGTCGGCAAAGAGAGGGTACAAAAGCTGACGGTATTCAGGGCATTGAGTGACATCAAAAATGGTCTCCGCTGCTGTGCCGTCTGCTCCTGTTACCTGTACATTCCTCCTCCCCTAAGTCAGTCACCTGTATCATCACGCTGCATCATTATGAACATACGTCCATCCATATGATTCCTCATAATTACCTTTAACAATTTTTTTATTCCACAGAAATTTAATAAATAAGTCATATTATTTAGTATGAATTAGAGGGAAAAGAAAATTTAATGCAAATAAATATTAACAAAACAAAAAAGCACAACTTAAATGAACTTAGCAAACATGAAAGAATGGGACAATTTTTTTCTCAACATAAAAATGATTACGTGGAAAACTGTGGCCAACCTGTTGTCTAAAATTCCCTCCTAAGCAAAGGACTTTCAGATTTTTTTTTTTAAATTTCAAAAGATAAAATTGAAGAAAGGGGTAGACGGGTGGGTAGGCGTGAATGGCAATAAATTGCAAGGAGTTTGACATGAAGGGATTTTAATGTTTAACGAAGGATAAATTAATAAGGTGAGTGCGCTCCAGGGTGGCGTGCAGGTGACGGTGGTGGAAAGCAAGTCCCTTATCGGCTTATCCTATCTACCCAACTCACTATTCATGTTTGGAAAAATCCATGAAGACAAAAAAATTTTGTCCACACTATAAATACACATTTATATAATTCTAGTTAAATCGTAAAGAATGCGCAGCACACCGAAACAGGGTAACCTTTTCCTTTTTTCTGCGAAGATTATCTTACTTACGCATACACTGGACATTATTAAATAGCGTTTCAAAAATTCACCGAATGTTTTTTTGTCTCTTCCAACGTTGTCAAGTCAACTTGGATTTGATTGGGGGGTAAATGCGGGATTAATGAGTGAGCAGCGGGACTAAATGAAAAATTGAGGGCTCGCATGGACAAATGACTTGATTGATTCTATCTTTTGTTGGACGTTGAGGAATACTACCATTTCTTCTAATTAGTTGTTAATTATACTACCCCTAATTTTAATGTATGAAATAAAATTAGAACAATGAGAAGGGAGGCGCTGGAGCATCATACACCACGCTTGGGATGTGTTTTTTGAAGCAATGGAAAATCATCAATGCAAGTTTTTCTTCCGGTGCGTTTCCATCGTTCATTCTCCTGGACTTTAGGTAATTTTGGATCAAAGTGTTGATTGTCATCTAACAGAAAAGTAAGCTTCACATTGATTTGATGATGTATAATTAATATTCAAGAAATACATTATTTTCTCTTGTTGCTTTTATTTTCTTTTATTTTTGGCCACATTTATCGCGTCGCTTTTAGAAGAAAAGAACGTCACAACTAACATTATTTAAGCAGACTTCAACCGCCAAAGAAAATCAAGATATGACACAGCATAAGTTTTGGGGCCTTTGGCTATAGTTTTTCTACCAATTTTTATTTCAGAGTCACGACTATACCGAGAAAGTCCCTAGCCTTGCACCAGGATCAGAGCCTATGTAACTTCAAAGCCTTCAAATCCGAACGTCTTATGGCTCAAAAGTCATGCTTTCAGCCTCCTGCCTGACTGACTCAAACAACACAGAGGACAGGTATCTTTCACCAAAGCTTGGAAAAACCGCCTGCATCCATGTCAAACCACACCATAAGTGCCAAAAGGGGTGTGTGTGTATGTGATTTATAGGAAGTCGTATGATTCATAAACGATCAATTCTACCCCGAGCACAAGCAACAAAACTCGTGAAATAGTTGGTCCACTTTAGAACCATCCATACAGAAGTTTTGGATGTACTTAAAACAGAGATTCATGTATAAGCCACCCTACCCACACAATAGGACAAACAACATCATAGTGTTTATTCAGCGCGCGCGCACATACATATCAAAGGTATCACAATCAATAACTTGGAAGCACGCAATTGTCCTATTTGCTAGTTCTTCTCTAGAAAAACTGGAACACCATTAATTCATCTGTTAATCATTTTCAGCGAAGCAGTCCAACGTGAGCTTGTAATTCCACTCTTCAAAACCAGTGATTTCTCATGCTAATGTGGTCAAAGAGATCAAAAGTTCTGGTTGCCAATATGCATTATCTAAGAAAATATACGAGCAGCTACGTAACTCTCAAATCTCGTCATCAGAACTTTCAGCCAACTTACCACAATAAGCTTTCCAGCATTTTCTGGTCTTTTTGCTATCTTAATGGCAGCAGCAGCTGCAGCTCCGGATGATATTCCCACCTACAACAATACACAACGAGGTTCAGTAGGAGCAGATAATTAAGGAGAAAAGGAGACCAGGAAAAGAGGTTCTATAAAATAGCCCTTGAAGAAAGCTTCAAGCTCACTACCGGCAGGTTCTAGAGGTTCAGAACTTACAAATAGGCCTTCTTTAAGCGCAAGAAACTTTGCAGTATCAATAGCTTCATCACTTGATATCTGCCAAATCACATGACATATGTCTAGTTTAACAAATCACATACTGCTCTGACAGTCCGCAACAAAAATTCAGCAATAGGATGATCTTTATATTACTTCAACCTCAATCTTCTTTTTTCTTTTAAACTAAATCACTTATAAGTTTTAATTTAGAATTGAATCAAATATGAAATTCAGTAATAAGTAATAACAGATTAGAAGAAATGTCATAGATTAGCATTACAATTTTATTCTATATCCCATCATAATTTGTTACAATAAGATTTGTGGAACTGATGCCAGGCCTGACTTCAGAGCCATCCAACTAGGTACTGAACCAGAGAAGGGAAAAAAATATTCCATTAGAATCTGATTTAATGGGTGCTCCAACGGGAAAAGCTTAAATAGTACAACAATAATCTTAGCTTAAGTCAACATAGCCTCAATAATTCCAGAATGATAAAACAAAAAGTCACCAGTATCAAATCCATCTTTATAAATTGAAGGTGTATTAAGTTTGATTACATGAACTCTTAAGCAACGTAATCATAGGTCGGAAGTTGTAATGACTTACTTGAACAACTTCATCCAGAAGACTGACTTCCAGCACCCCAGGTACAAAACCAGCACCAATCCCTTGAATCTTGTGCGGACCTAGGCATTCCCATCGCAAGTTTCACATTGGCAGCAGTTAAAGATGCAAGTTCATCTACTCTCAAATTTAATATTCTATTAGAAGAAAACAGCTAGTAGAATAGAAATTATCAGAGAGGATAACAAACAAAAACGCCAAATAGGAACCATCTTATTGTCTAACAGGATAACTTTTAAGTTGGATGAAGAACAGAATAGTCCAAGAGTCATTGTGGTCAACTGACCATGCATTGGTTTAAATAAAAATTGAAAAGAATAAATTCGATCATAGTTATTTTATCAGGAAAACGGACTGATAACCTCACTAAGAAATATATCTAAGTAAGACAAAAAGAAACTCACTCGTTCCTGAAGGTTAGGATCGGGGATGGGGTTCCACTGAAAAGTGATTCAAGGGAAGTCACTTTTAAAAAGCTAGTACACTCTTATCTTATCCCATGGAATACAAATATTTCAACCAAATTCAAAAACAACATGCATTGAAAATTATTCTGGCTTGTTGTATGTGATAGAACATTAAAGAGACAACTATCAACAAAGGAACATAGGAGCATAACAAGGTTATAACTCACCAGGCTTTCCTCCGGAGAGCACAGGACTTTCAACAGGTTCAACACCATACAACTACATAAAAACGAAGGAAAACAATCAGAACACAAATGCGCATAGTTGCAGCAGTGACAAGTTATCCTCCATTTTCTAAGAAATGGATGTGCAGATATTCTGCTAAGCACACCAAACAAATAAGCCAACCTTAATGTTGGGATTTTGTTCTTTAAGAAATTTCCCAGCACCTGTTACTGTACCACCAGTACCTATCCCTGATACAAGTGCATCAATTTTCCCTCCAGTGCCTTTCCATATCTCCGGGCCAGTGGTTTCATAATGTATCTGAGATTATATAAAATATTTTAAACAGTGTTTATCAAGCATCCATCACAACCGTTATGGAACAAATGCCTAGTTACCTTGGGATTGGCAGGGTTTTCAAACTGTTGAAGCATGTAGGCATCAGGGGTCTTAGCCAATATTTCTTCAGCTTTCTGAACTGCACCTTTCATTCCCTTTGCAGGGTCTGTCAATACTAACTCAGCCCCAAAAGCTTTCAGAATGATTCTTCTTTCAAGACTCATTGAGGAAGGCATTGTAATAATAAGCCTGTAACCTTTTGCTGCTGCCATGAAGGCTAATCCAATGCCAGTATTACCACTTGTTGGCTCAATGAGGACACTCTTCAGCAAAATAAAAACCACACATCCACAAAAAGGAGTAATTGTCAACTCAAGTGATACGCCAAAAAGACTATCAAAAATTGAGCTCACAACTAGATACTTCCTAGCATATGACACATCAGTTGAAACTCGCAGAGTAACACGAGATACACAAAGTGACAGCATTTTGTTCCCAACCGATACTATTTCAAGGCACACACTTTTAACATATTTTTGAAGCACAAATAGGAGGGTTCTTTATCAGGGTATACCAACCTTTCCGGGTGTGATAAGACCTTTTTCCTCTGCATCAGCTATCATACTATAACCGATCCTGTATGTCATATAGATACAATAGAGCCGAGTATTCTGTCAATCACAGGAACTTATATCTATTCATAACATTAAAACAATAATGGTACAAGAAACATGAAACTACGAGATGATATCGGTATAAAAAAATTGAAACCACTACCTGTCTTTAACACTAGAGCATGGCTCCATCAATTCTAATTTGGCAGCAATCCGGCCCGCACAACCATCCGCAATTTTATTAAGATATACTAATGGGGTTTTTCCAATCAACTGAAAAGGGGGAAAAAAACATAGGAAAAAGTACAACACACTGTAAATAAGCGTGAAAGCCCGCGACAGAGAGATCAGAGACCATCAAAAGTACGCAAACTCACTTCTGTAACATCTTTGGCAATTCCAGAACATTCCACTGCCATGATGATAGCTTACTGCGAAGTCTGCACCGTGCAAGCAAAGAAAAGATAGTAGCACCAATTCACCTTCTTAATCCACGAAGGTCCCAGTAATATAAACTTACAAATGGAATCTGAAATTTTTCTATTTTGTAAATATGGAAAGTCTAAAGCGTCTATCGTCTTCGGAAATGCGGAAATTAATAGGACATGAAAATGCAAATCTCTTCAACAAAATTCCAACCTAGCTCAGCTAACAAGTGCTGAATCCCCAAGCCCCCGACGAGGCACCGCTGCGAGACCCCCTTTCTAGAGAACTAAACAGCTAAGATTATCCCATACTCCATTTCCCTTTTCTTTTTTTGCCAACATCCCATGCTCCATTTCATTTTATTGTTATTGGCCAAAAAAAAATTTGCTTTTATTGTAAAAATGCGTTACTACTGTCTACTCTTCACCAAAAAAAAAAAAAGCGTTACTACTGTTCATCAAACAAAATGTGTGCCTATTTATCGGTTATTTTAAATTTTTTCGGCAATATTAATTACCGTTTTTTCAATTATATTTTAATTCTAATTTTTTTTGCCATAATATATTTTAATTTTTAATTGGACAACTAATATTAAAAACTAAAAATATAATTGAAAACAAATTATTTAGACGAGGGTTTGTTTATTGGCAAATTGCAATTGAAAACAACATAGATGTGACTTGAGACATAATTCTTTTTACCCCCTAAGCGTATTCGCATGTATTAACATTATCATATGAATATTTTTATTATTAATAATACCAATTTAACTAAATCATATCTTGTCACATCAAAGGAATAGCTGCTTGCGTGCGTTTGAAGTTTTTTTCTATTTGTTAATTGTTAATAGTATATGATTTGGTTCTATTTTGTAACAAACGAAAGGAGACAACGAGGGTATAAGAATAAATTCATTCATTAAATTCCTAAATTCAGACTCCCTCCCAAAAAAAATCAAAATAAATAATAGTAAATAAATAAACACATAAATGAAACTGAACTAGAATAATTTTGTTCTCAGTATAAACCCTTCGGCAACAGGCCAATGTTGTTCACAAAGCACTCAACTCATACCAGCAAAGATTGTTTCTCCTAAACAAGTCAACAAATGACAAAATGACAGGTCAGGTCCTAGCGATTACTAATACTTCAAAAGTATGAACAACTAAACAACACTGTGCTAGAATACTACTGCTACTATAAATCATTCCCCTTCCAGCACTTAAGTTACATAGTTCACGAACTCCGGCAACGGTAACTATTTCCGCAAAGCGAGTAATGTGGTGAACCATCAATATTGGCAGCTCATTCCAATCATCCCTATTCCCCAGAGATGTCAACTGTCAAGTACGAGACAGAACCCCTTTTGAACTGCATATACAAAACGATGATCAGTCCAGAAAATTTGTTACATGGGTTGTTGAGTCTCATTATCTTCACCAACGAAGAACAAACAGGAATTGCGTTGTTCATCTCTCGATGAATTGGGATAAGTGACTTGAAATATGAGTAAATTAGTTGCTTCGTTCTTTTTAACAAAGCTATCATCAGAAAATACATAGAGAATCAAACAACTGATCTTACGGCAGAGAGATCATCCTGACATCGGTGAATCAGGATAAACATTAAACCGGTTTTAACAGTAGCTTAGCGGCAGGTCAACATAATCCAGTACTTTTCGTCTTAGTGAAAAATAAAGAAAATCATTTTCACAGATACCAGACCTTGGCACAGTCCCACGTCGACGGGGGTCATACTCCGTTGCTTGGCGGAGAGCCCTGGCAAAAGCTTTGAAGGTGGCCTCAATGATATGATGGGAGTTTTTTCCAGCAAGCTGTGTTAAAGATTAAACAAATAAAAAATCATTTATTCACTTAATAGATTTTAAAAGTGAAATAAAGACCACCTTAAGTTTATTGTCCGACAGAATATGCATACCTCTGGGCATAGTGATTACATAACAGAGAAGTTAAGTTGCATTGTCGATGCATCTAAAATATATAAAGTGAAATCTCTATTTTGCAACCCAATATGCTTGCAAAGACGCCCAGCAGAATATTCACAGCCTCGAGTTTCTATGTTCATAGCACCGCACAAAAATGCTAATGATGGGCTATACAATATGATGAAAATTAAAACTCTTTACCTGCCGAATGTGAAGCGTCATCCCAGAAGTATTCACTAAGGACTGGAAAAAATGCTCCACCAACTACAAACAAGGATGTCCCAAGAATGCATTAGGACATGAAAGATTAAAACACAAAGCAAAAGAACTAAGTAAGAGGGCATTGACCGCCAAACAATTTTACAGTTAGCTCACATGTCCAGCTAAAGTGTTGTAATCCGCTATAAATTTGAAGCTCTGGTTTTGTGGTTGAGTGAAACAAGGACTAGAAAAGATGAAACTAAGAAATGAAGAAAAGAGTTATGCACAACCTGAGTGTCATATGTTCCAACCCTCTGAGTGGGTATGTCCAAATTATAACTAAGATGAGGGCGACCAGATAGATCCTGAAAAAGATAGGAGCAAATTGCTTTAGTGAACCATAAATTAACTTATAAGGGGAGAATATATCATAAATGTGGTTAGATTGGCCATCAAAACTTTTTGGCTGAATAAAATGGACTTGCACACTGAACGAACAAGATGAGTAAAGACTCAGAACAACAGCTTACGGAACTCCTATCGTCTAACAACATCGGAACGTTGAGAGCCACTGGAACTTCTTGATAAGCATTGTTGAACATATTTAACATAAATGTTAAAGTTTTGCATATCTTACCAAAATTATGACATTAACGTTTTCATAGTCTATTTATCACATTGGAGTAGGAGTACTCTGTTTCTCACACAAGGCCTCTTCCACCTACAGGAGGAAGACGTGGTAATGTCAGGCTTCGAGGAGATCTGGAAGTTATGAATAGTTAAAGGTATGTTATGACGAATCAAGTTCCCCACTTTCTAACTGCAGTACGCTTTCCCCACTTTCTAACTGCTATCCACTTTCTGGCTGGTATCAATATTTTATCTTTCTTGGTTATTTCCACTCTGTTATCATTGTCTCTCAGGGTTGTTGTCTTGACTATAAATAGAGAAGTAGGAGTTATCTTACAGACATCCGGGAATGAATTATCTTTGTATTAGGAGTTTGGTCCATATGTAATTAGTTGCAGTGTTATATGGATAATATTTTAGATTCTCTTCCCTGCCCTCTCTAAAAGGTGTTTCTGTCTGATATTACTTCGTCATAATCTCGTCCTACCCTCAACCAGCTTCACACTTTGACCACACATATACGTTAGTCAAACTTAAACCTTTAACTAATCATAAAAATACCGTATGCAACAAACTTACCAGGGAAACATGTATTAGTGCTTCATCAAGTGGAGCAGAGAAGTCACCAAACCGGTTTATACCTTTCCTATCACCAAGAGCCTGAAGTAAGGCCTGAAGACAAAAGTAACTCAAACTTATTAATTTTAATAGTATATGAATGCAGATTTAAATAGTCCAAGCTAATGCACAAATGCCCCCCATTTAAAGATTGAAATATGCAATGTAATCATTAGAACTGCCACCATCGCTTAGATGCCATGTGCATAGAAAGGATGAAATCAAATGTACAAATACACTTGTAAATCAGTCTCGTAAGATCTTGAACATTGGATAGCGAATAAATTTAGTTTCAAAAAGATGCATACTACAGAAGCCAGCATATTAAATCACGTAGCTATTGGTAGTACCGTTCCAATGGCAAGAGCCACATCTTCATTCGTATGATGATCATCAATATGAGTATCACCAGTTGCCCTCACATGCACATCAAACAGCCCATGTGAAGCAAGTTGCTGAACAATCAGAAGAAAGTTTATGTCACCGGGGAAAAAAAAAAAAAAAAAGGAAGTTTAGTTTCCAAACTGTTAAATACACCCTCCTGCCAATTTTCATAACTCGATGGCCATTAAATTCATTTCTCAATTATGATTTTGACATTTCTAAATCCATGATCAGGTTCTGACAATTAAGATTTTTTCCATTAGGTGTATTTTTCTCTATAAATCTCTAGTACGCATCCAAAATCAATCAAGCTTTCAACCCCACATTGCAGACCTTGAAAAGAAACAAAACAAAGTATAAAACTAGAAAGGAGTTAATATTACTGACATCCAGCATGTGATCAAGGAAGGGAATTCCAGTAGTACTGTCAGCAACCCCAGAACCATCCAGGTTTATTTTGACTGATACATTAGTTTCCTTCGTGACCCTTTTTACCTCTCCAATTCTCGCTCCTGAAGATGACCGGACAAATATACAAAAATCATCTGCGCGTTCCAAAATGTTGAGCAACTGTTTTATAGTCATAGAGAAAAACGTAGTTTGGAACAGACCTGAATTAGTTGAAGTTGTCATAGGTGAACTGTTGTGTTCCGCTAAAGCAGAAGAGGAGATAGTTCTGAGAGGATCCATTCGGATGAGATGGCGGTGATTCACTGAATAGATGGAGCGGTGGAAACGTGCGGAAGTGGGAGGAAGAGTTCTCTGGAAAATCCAAACTCTATATTTAGGAAGCAGAGATGAAGGGCATTTCAGAAGACTAGGAGTTGCAGATAGCTCCATTCAGTTGGTGAATCAAAAGCAATCTAGCAAAAAATAAAGCAATGAGAGGAGTTGGACAAGAATGAAGCCTTGTTATCTTAAGTTGTTAATAGCTTCATGCACTTCTGCCTTTGAATACAGCTTCATTATAGCAAAATCTTCAGAGCAGCCTCATTACAACATATTTTTCCACTTTTGCTGTTGATCAAAGAAATTGGCAGGTATCATCACGGAATGCATATATAAAATAGGTGCAACATTTTACTACGATTTCAATCTTTCCCTCTTCGACAGAAGAGAAGAGACAAAGAAAATAACAAACAAATGAAACTTTGGTGAAGATATAGAACCCAATCAAAAGGAGGAATCATCCTAATGGAAAATCCAGAAGGAAAAACTAAGTTTATCTGGTTGGGAAGAGGTCAACGCAAAAATAAGTGATAATAGACAAGGGGAATATTTGTTCTGGCGGGAGCAGCAGGTCTACATTTTTTTCCCAATGAATTATTGGTCCAATCAAATAACGAAGTAGAAGTGAGGAACAATAGAAGTCTTTATGCAAGATATAGTAAAAAGGGTAGAACTTCAAACATTTCAAGATGTTCATGGAATCAAAAGGACAACCGCGAATGGAAGTTCATAAATTTGAAGACGACGTAGCAATACATGCATAGGCGGTTAAAATCCAATTTCAATCCAAAGAAGCAGAAAACAGCTTTCACTCATTTGTAACAAGACAACAAGAAGCACGTCAATACATGGCGGCAGCAAATCTTTCTTACACAGGAAAGCCTCGTTGAAGAAGAAAATATGCCCTCGCCGGCCTGTATCCTTCTTCTTCTCCTTCTCTCGGGATCAGAAATTTTATTCCTCTTTTGGCTCTTCCAGTAAACTGAGAGACGGTGGCTCTCACTTGGGAGAAGCCGGGGAACGACGAAGGCAGCGGCACAGAATACAGGAAAAAAAATTTTCCTTTTTTTAGGTAAAAACAATTTATCTTTTATTTTTAACATAATTTTTAGTCTTTCAAATTACTCTTATTTTAATTTTAATTTTTTACATTAGATTTTAATCCGTTAATTTTTTTTATTTAAACTATTAATTTTTATAATTTAATAAAAATTTGAACTACTTTGTTTTTTAAAGAAATCAAAACCTACTTTCAAAACTTTAGGAATAATCCTACTTTATATGTTGCTTTTCTAAGGAAAAGCAAAACTATTCAAAAATAAAAGCAAAACAAATTTCGAAAAGTAAAATGAAATGTAATTTTAGGCAGGGGAGTACCAAGTCCGATTTCTTCTCATCTATATTTATATATTTATTTTGTGTGTCTTGAAATCATTTTTATTTGATTTTCTTCCGAACCCAAAAATCGGTTGAGTGCATTGAGCATGAAATATTTATTTTCAGGTCCTGTCTGCGAATGCGAGCACCATAGGCATCTCTGTAGACTCCCTCCTTCCCTTCCCCAACTCGCGGTCGAACTACCCCTCATCCAGTCGCTTTGCAATGGTGGCTGGCCAAAATTATTGTGAGCGCCACAATCATCGTCGTCGAAACCTTTCAAGAAAGCCTGTGGAAACCGGAAGTACCCACACCAGCCACTATGGGAGGCGTCGACCTTCTGCACCATTGAAAACGGTTGATTTTGCGCCTCCTGGAAGATTTTGTTCACGTGTTGAGAGGAGGAGTGGGATGAGGAGGAAGAACGACGATGTACCTGGCTTAGGGGAGGAGGAGAGAGGCGTCACAGGGGAAGAGGGAGTGATGCACATTTATCCAACAATGAGGGCGTACATGGGCAAGGCAGTACAGGACTGCTCGATGCCCTGAGCGAATTGAATTTTACAACCCGCTGTCGGGTCCTGCCTGTAAAAACTCTGACTAGTTTGAACTGGATAGGGACAAGTTTTGCTGTCCAAATAATGATGATATGCTGATATTACGTAAAAAAAAACTTTTTGCCTATGTTTAAAAATTACATTTCATAATTTTATATTTTTACACGTTAAATTTACTGATAAATAATTCAAAACAAATCTTAGTAAATGCTTCTTCTATTTTTTATTATAAGAGACGAATAACCGAATTACGTTAATAAAAAAAATTAAAATTAATTAAGAACAATAATGTATAAAAAGTATAATGTTTTTTTTCAAAAATACCCTCATTAATAAAGAGAGAGCATGAGAGAGAACAATGGTAAATTATTAAAAGAAAGAGAAGTGGGAAGGAGAGAGAGTGTGAGTTGGAGATAATAAATATGGGTAAAATAGGAAATCAACACAAAAAAATAGAGACAACTTTTAAGTGTCTCTTATATATAGGAACATACCATAAGTATCAAATGTCTCTTATAATAAGGAACGAAGGGAGTATCTAAATAAATAATATTCATAATCCATTTAGAATAAAACAACTCTTAACATTGTAATTAAAGTCTTGAAATTCAAACAGTTTGCTTCAATCTCCAGAAAGTTGAGAAAAGAATAACACATCTAAAAAAATTAAAGAGGGGTTGAAGCACATTGAGATATTGTATTGAGGGTGGGAGATGGCAATGTAATGAAAGTTTGATTATCTATTCAAGTGGCAAAAATTAAATGTTACCTAAAGGATTGCAAAAAGATATTAAAACTGAAGTAATGGGCTAATAGGAATAATATAGACCATATAAAAATAGAGTGAAAATAATTGTAAAAAGAAAAATAAAAAATCTTATAATCTTATAATAATTTAATATAACCACTTTTAATATGCAAACACTTATTACATAATACAATACAGTTAGTAGTCCATACAACTAAAAGATTTCTTTTCATCATATGACTTGTTCATGAAAAATTAAAACAAAATAACTAAATATAAATTAAATAAAAATAAAACATGTAATTCAAATAATTAAACACCAATTTTCTTTCCCTGCTCCTACTCCAATCTTGTTTTCTATCATGTATAAATATTCAAAATTATTGAGTTATACAAATATGTAATATATGAACTCCATTCTTTAACAGAGAAAGTTGTTAATGGCATATAGGGAAAAACTAACTTATAAATAGCCAACATTACAATAAGATATACCCAATAAAGCTCACAAAGAACAAATTAAAAGCAAGATAGCATTGCTTCTTTAGAAGAATTAGATCTTCTAAAATGAAAAATTAACAGACATATGACAATAATAAATTAATAGGAGGGAGATAACTTTTTTTGGATAAAAAAATGTAATATATTAATATTATTTCATAAATTATAATATATATATATATATATATAATCCAAGTAAGGCCAAATGGACAGGGTAGCATGTCTTGCCCGATACCCAGCCCTACCTGTAAAATGCCTAGCCCAAAGATGTCCATTCTTTTTCGTGCTCCTTTTTTCGGATTGAATTGGGCAATTTTTTCAGGTTCAGTAGGCATTTGGGCTTCATGCATCCCCCTACTTACTGGTTAGGAGAAAGTGATTTTAACTTCTGATTTTTTTTAAAAAAAAAAACTCGTCAATAGAATTTTTAATCGTGTATTTATAATTTTTTATTAGGTTTTTGTAATTTCATCTAATTTTTCACTATACTTCCGTAAAATCAGGTGAAATAATAAGGGAGAATTAGAACAAAAGACCTGTAGAGAAAAATATTTAGTAAAAAAATCATAAAAATTAGAATTATTTTAAAGGACTAAATGTTAAAATATATATTTTAAATACCAAATTACCCATGTCCCCTTCTTTATTATTTCTTTGATTCTCTTGACAATTCTTCTGCTCTTGTTTTCATTCGATGGTTTATGCATTTGAAGAAAATTAATAGGACATTCAGAATCATTTCAAAAGATAACATTCAGACCCATTTGTCACTCGTAATCCAAAGTCTATCATCACAGACTTTGCTTTCAAATTATCCATTGCCTATTGATTTCTAAAACTCATATACATTAGTCAATGTCTACAAAACACGCGAAGATCCTGAGGTCGTACTGTAAAATTAATTACAAATATATACATGACTTGCAATTGTAGAAACAGAAGAAAAAACTAATTCTTATTGCTTATTTCTTAGCGGGCCGAAACAATATTAATGGGGTAAAACAAACAAACTTGCTCCAAAGATATCAAAAAGCAATCACTAATAGATGATAAAAGTTCGTCACAAAATGCATAGAAGCCTTTATCATCATGGGTGAGTTCCCAAGGGTTTTCTAATTTTGTGTGGAATGGGGTAGAGGCCAACCAAGGGGGGGGGGGGGGGGAAAACTCACTAACTATCACATAATTGAAATGTAATAAGAGAAAACATAGAAGGATTAGTGGTAATAAAAAAAAAAAAGAAGGATTATTTAAGGACAATTTAGTCTTTCTAAAATTATATTTTAATATATGGTCCTGTAAAACAATTCTAATTTTTATAATCTTTTTTACCAAATATTTTTCTCTACAGATCCTTTATTCTAATTCTCCCAAATAATAATCATCTGAGACTTTAATTAAGGACTAAAATTAGGTAAAATTACAAGAATTTGATCATAAGGGGGAAAAAAACAATGAAACCTAATTAAAAATTAGGTGAGATCATATGAAATAATTTTCCCACAAAAAAAAAAATGCAGGGCCATTATAATTTGGTTGCATTTTACTTAACTAGCAGCAAGTGAACGCCGAAAGCACAGAAGAAAACTAAGAATATGGGAAATGCAAACTAACGTATAGTGTTTTTAGGGGGAAAAAACAGTTTACATTTTAAACTGCTCATATTACAGCAAAATTAGAACCCAAGTGCTAAGGAGGGCTTGCTTCAACCTGACTTTTGCCGGTGATTAGAATTTCAACCCACAGCTAAGAAAAATTAAATTCCCGCACTATTTTACCTTGATGGGAATAAAATAGATAAAAAGAAGCCAAGCAAAATGCAAAGCAGCCACCAACATATATGAGAACTGAGTCGAAAGTACTAAAATCTAGCATATGATCAAGGAGGGGTAAACCAGTTCTAATATCAGCAACCAAAACCATCCTGGTTTGTTTTGACCCGTACATTGGTTTCCTCGACTATTACCTCTCCAGTTCCTAGTCATGAAGATGACCCAACGAGCATTCAAATTTCTTGATAAATTACAAAAAAGAAAATCAGTGATAGAAATCCTCGAAGAAGGAAAAAGAGCATGGGGCAGGTATGAATCAGCTGGTGAGGTTGCCGTAGGCGAACCGGAGAGTTCCACCCAGCCACAAGATGAGATAGTTCTGAAGGATCCACTTGGATGAGATTGCGATGATTTAACAAGGAGGAGGAGGTATGGACGGGTGGAAACATGAAGGTGTGCTTGTGGGAGTGAGATATCTATTTATCCCATGTACCCATCTGGCATTGTAGAAGAGACATTCCAGAATCTTAATATATGTATTGAAATGACTGGTGCAATTTGCTTCCAGCACAAATCTGTCTTTCAAACAGTGAGGATTATACTATAGCAGCCACAAGTGAGAATTATAATACAGCAGCCACAATGAGTCCACCTCTTGTCATCCATCCCTCCAGCATTACTTGCTTTTACTTATGACGCTACAGTTTTTGGCTTAATTACACAGCCTAGAACCAAGAAAGCGCTGTCAGTTTTTCTGTATATAGAACAAAGCCAGGTTCTGAATCGAGTCCCCTGGTCAAAACAGCAAACTAAGAGAGTACGTCTTCCATGCTTTCTACTTCTCCTTTCCAAGGCAGATGGGGATCACATCCAGAGTGTTGTTTTTCTGAGCCCTCATTTGATTGATGGTTGGGACTATGAGATTTAGAGCTAGCACCAGAAATAGCATTTTCAGTCATCCTATTTTTCACTGACTTAGTCCCCTGCTTTACAGTGGAGTTTAATTTCTCTTCATTGCCATCACATTCAAAACTATGAATAGGATGCTTGTTGCCAGCAGATCTCTTAGTATGAGGTTCCCTTTCACTATCACTCTCACTACAATGTCTCTGCTTCTTCAGTTCTTTCTCCATCTTCTTCCGAGTTTTCCTTGTCAATTGACTGAGCACCTCATCTGAAAAAAGAGCAAAGGGAGATCCATCTCCATTGGGCTTGATCTCCTTACCAACATCAGCCAATTGCTTTTGAAGCGCATCATAGGCCTTGATGATAGACCAATAGGCTGTTCCCCCTGGATTAATATAAACAGCATCTAAATAGTCTCTATTCCTCCGAGGCCGGTAGTCTATTGTCCAGCCCGCACTTAGCAGCATCTCCCTTATTTTTTCTCGTAGTCTCTGCTTCTCCGTGCCACTACCACCCCTGGCTTTTCCTTCTTTTGTTCTTGTGGTTGGGACCTTTTCATGCAAAGAAGTCTGTTCATCCTCAGAACTTGCCCTCTTCATAGACTTGCGAGCTTCAGTATTTTTTTGTCCCAGGTTTGATGATGTGTCACTGTTCTCTGAATCCAATGCGCCACCTTTACTGTCCTTACTTGACAATGATTTTCTTGGTGTTATCTTCTTTTTATCCTGCCTAAGAACTAAGCCTGGTTTCCCAGTTGGTGCTGTTTCCAAGTTCAATGAAGAATGGATCAGATCTTTCCTCTTAGCAGCAGCGCCCTCGCTCCTCAAACTCTGTCGACTTTCGACATGCTTGCAGTGATCATAGTGGTCTAATGGCCCACCCATCTCCTTCTTACCGACCCTCACCTTTAAAACACCATTTTTCCCCTGAATCCTAATGAATTCATCTCCATTGCCACCAAACTTCTCTCTCAGCAAGGGTATCGGAAGTTGAGGTCCATCCCTATCCATCTTAAACCTGCTATGATCTAAATCACTTCCCATATGCAAGCCACTAGCCCTGTCATAATGAGGGTTATTTCTTTTGCCAAGAATGGGTCTGCTTGACCCGGGATCAAATTCCTTTTCAATGCTACTTCTACCTGCATGCATTGATCCCATGTGCCTTCCTCCACCAAAACCAACTCCGTGATCCTCGAAATGCCTTCGTGTCTTTTCCACATGAATACCATCATATTCATCAGAATCATATGCATCCAATTTATTCCGTTTTATTTCCCTTTCCTCAAAACCATTCTTATTGAGCAGGAGGTCCTTGCTAAACCTAGCTAGTGACACTCTATCCCTCTTTCTCCCAAATTCACTCCCTGCAACCATACCCTGGTGGTAGGCAGTCAAACCATTGCGGGCGAAAACAGTCTCAGGACCCATTCTTCTGCTTGGAGGCATCAATGATTCATCGCTTGATCCTGAATCACTCGAGGCTACACTATGTCTCCTGGCCACTTTTTTATCATACAGCTTCTGAGAGCTTGAAGAACCAATCCCACCAGGCAACGCATCTCCTTTCTTTCTAACAATTAAACAACCCGAGGAGTTCCTGCTCTTGACCACAACCTCAGCTGGGCCAGCTGATCCCACCCCAGGTCCCATCTACATGAAACAGCCAAACCAAAAACCCTCTTAAATTTTCGAAACCACAGTTTTCATCCCCATAAAAATCGACAGATAAAGAGAAACGAACACGATCCGACTCAGAAATCCTAAATAAGGCGACATTACCAGACTAATTTGGCTTCTCTCCACCCCAATCGGCAGAAAGCCTTTTCCTTGGCAAGAATTCCCACAGAAGAGCGAAATGGCAAAGCAAGGATTTTTAAGAATCTTACCTCGTCTGAAAATTCGCCGATTCACACTGCAGTGAATTATCTCTTCGAGAAGGCTGATCAGAGATGCAAATCCCCAGCGAACGGAACTTGATCGGAGAGCCATGCGATGCGAGCCATATGGGACGAGAGAGAAGTTTTGAGAATTGAGACTATCGGTGGTCGGACTATGCTGGGTCCTCTGTATGAAAATGCAAATAAACAAATAGCGGCCCATTGTTCTTCTCTCTCTAATTCCAAAATTAACCCAAAACGTTGTAAGTTCGTAGATGCAATGAACTGGCAGTGACGCTTGCCCGCATCCAGCAAAAATTATGATGATTTCCGAATTTATCAATAATTCCGTAAATATTAATATTTAGAACATAAAATATTACATGACGATGTTTCTTATGTCGTTCGGGTTCTCTTTTGATCCCTAATATAAGACCAATTTAATTAATTTAATTAGATTAAAGAAACTAGATAAGTTAGTTAATTATAAGAAATGTGACACGCTTTTCTTAAAACACCATAATCATCTTTCTTAATACCCCTCCCTCTTCTACTTGATTATAATTGAGGAAGTATCCATAGAGTAATTTAGAAAAAATTGATAAATATGATAAATGGGTCTTATATTTATGATTAAAACCAACTTAACAATTGGATCCTATATTAGAGACAGAAAGAGTATTATTTTTTATATCTTATTGTATGTAAGAGGAATCAGTATTTTAATAGCTACATGAGAGAAACAACTAAAAATGAAATGCAGTCAAACAATACAGTAAATTGTATAAATTAATAGAAGTGCGCCTCTCTATCCTATTCACAAGAAATGTTTATGTTCAGATAAAACATCATACTCCCTTACAATTAGGACCAAGCACAGTATCTTTTTTAAAAAAATAAATAAGTTATACTTTTCTTAATATAACAAAATTAAATTGTCAATATAAGCCTCATCGAACCAGCAATAGACCATAAGGTCTCTTTTGTTAAAATTTTTATACTACTAAACAGACGCACACAAATTTTTTAATACCAAATTGAAGTCTGAAACTTTATTTAAGCATGGTCAGTAGTGTCATCACCAAAACAATTTGCTGTTAACACGCAATAAGGTCATTAACTATGATGATGTTCTGTCAAATATCATGCGTGAGGCGTGATTTTCAAACTTGCCGCCTACAACGATGACCACGTTATCCGCTCACAACTTGAAGCCCGACTAGGCTAACATGCATATTGTCACAAGCAGCAAGTTTTCTTCCTCGTTAGAATCTCTGCACGCGTGTAATTTTAAGATACTGTTTGGTAGGGGGAATAAAAAGAGAGAAAGGGAAGAAAATTTTAATAAATTCTATTTAAAAAAAATTAAAAAATGGGGTTTTGAAATTTTAATAAAGATATGAAATAATATAAAATAATAATAATAATTAATTAAAAGTTTTTAATCCCACTTTTTCAATTTTTTAAATTGAGTTTATTAAACTTTTATTTCCTTGCCTCTTCTCATTTTCCCTCATACCAAATAGACCCTAAAAGCTTTATTATTATTCCCAAGTGTGTTATTGAGTTGATAAAAAATATGCACAGCTTTGATTTCTTCATAAATTACTATAACATCATTATATTCCCAAATTAACTTCAATGAAAACTACTTCTACTGTGAACCTTGTAATCTCAAGGTGAACCAGTTAGATATGTGATCATTTTCTGGAGATGATTCATAAACATGCACCACTGAATTTCACAAAATGACTTGCTAATATTAACGATTCAAGTCAAATCACTAGAAAGTTCATTATGTTAAGAAGCCAAAGGGAATGAAATGTTGATTTGGTAATATCTATACAGTGCTTGTGATGCATATATGGATACGACAGGAAGTTTTGTTTTCAGGAAATACCAATTGGAACTTCCACTGACGCAGAATCAAGATAGCATCGTTTGGAGAGATTGCAGCCACAGTGAAAAGAACTCAATGCTGTTTATTGTGAGCGGAGAAATGCGTCATGAAACTTGAGTTCTGTGAGCGAAGATGAGAGATCATAAACAAATCCCACCATGGTGAGATATCGCAAGAGACCGTCGCCTAGATATTACATCAAACGGTATTCTTCAATTGGAACTTTCATGGGTTTTAGTGGCTTCCAATGTAAACCAGACACGCTCTTAATAGCGACTGCTAAAATAATCGTCCTTCTCATCATCATTCTTGACAGTAGATATAGCCGTGCAGCAAGAACTAGAGGATAGAGGCTGGTAACCTGGGCCAACTCGGGACGAGTTCCACTCATACGATAACAGTGTTAGTTTTCAGCCAACATGAGCCTGCCAACTGGCCACATTTTTTTATTTGATATAAGTTTTTTTTTATTTTTTAAGTATAATTGTAGTATTAATAAAGTTCAAAAAATAAAGGGTGGGGGGGGGTTTTTAGGTGCCAACCTGAGGTTAGGGTTGGGTCTTTGTGTCCAACACATATCACCGATTCTACTTCTGGCGACACTCCTAAACTATATTTAATTTTTTGGCCCGTGGACACTCTTAATGGAATAATAATACTAACGAAAATAATAAAGGAATAAGCATATGAAAGAGCTTGAATAATCATAATCAACGACACTACTTCAAATTTTATTACTCTTTTCCCATTCACGTGAGACGGTGAGAGTTCCCCAATTTTATTGTTGCTTCATATTTATGCTAAAAGAAAAGTGAGCATGTAGTTTGGTTAAGCAGACGAAAACAGAGAGGGAGATAAAAGGGCAACAGGGTAAAGCCAAGAGTGATAATGACAAGAGCTTGGCAATAATTAAAACAAGGCCGTGCATAGTAATGATAGGTTGCTATCTGGGCAGTATTTTTTCGCTTTTCCATTGCTTTCTGTAGCCGAAGTTGAATACGGGAAGCCCTCAACCTTAATGCCTCGTCACTTTATTTGCAGAGTCAAGAGTCCTTCCACAAAAAGTGTGAAATACACAAGGAATATCTCTCCGTTTGTGCGGCCCTAACTTTTCCATGCTTGGCCCTAAGATCGGTCGTTCCGTAAACGGATTAATGAAATTAAGTTTAAACTTGCATTAGGTTACGCGATCATAAACAATAGCTTTCTATTTCTATTTATAAAAATATATATATATCTTAGTTATGACCTGTTTAATTGTTTTGTGCATTTTTCAATAACATTTTAACATGTTGATTTGTGCCCACCTACACCGGAAACCACAAGTCAAATGCCTGAACATGTATAATAAATAATTCAGACAGGGTGATCCAGGACTTACCCCTGTCCAATTATTGAAGCACAGGTGGACTTAAATATCTCTTTCTCTAATCCTCAAACCTTGCTCAGGCTCTTCCTCTTTAGGTGTACGTTACTTAAAAAAGGCCCAAGATGATGAACACCCCTTCTCTTATCCCAGCTAGAAATATCTCTAATCTTCTCTTACTGTTCATCAATTAGCTCCGAGAAGGAAAGAGAGATGTTGCGGGCTGAGTGTTGCAGCATACAATTTTGAGGAAGGGTCCATGGCTGTTATAATGAGGCCATGTCTTGTCAGACCCTATATCTTTAAAGTTTAAATCCCCACCATAGGTTTCAAATATCTGCCAAGTTGGCTCTCTGGGACATGCTGGAACAAAATCACATGGCGCCGCAGTAGTTATCCAGTTGACCAGCACGCTGTTTCCTCCGGGACCGTTCAGTTCTGTTCAGGGTCACCCACACATCAGTGATCTCAAATGCATCGTCCTGTTCTTCCCGAGAAATGAAAGGCTCAAGTTTTTTGTGGCCAAGCAATCTTCATGGAAGATATATCAGAGATATTTCCCCTCCTGACTTGGCACAAAAGAGCAAAATAGAACTAAAAGAGTTTTTTATGCTGCTCGTGTCCTTTTTAACACGGGAAGGAAGTGAAGAAAGACACCATTTCCTCTGTCGCTCGAGACATGCCAAGTGGTTTAAGCTTCTGGTTAGAGAGTCTTTATTGCTTACAGATATAATTTCCTGTTTTTTAGGTGAAAGGTAATCCCGCAATATCTGATATGACATAACCCATCAAGCTAAATTAGAAATATGAAATTGTACAGTAAATTAGAGAGAAAAGGCAATATACAAAATAGTCCACTTGCAAGAATTAATGAAGTCAAATGATTAAATGTTGAATCCCATATTTCTTTGAAATGCAACATAAATTTCTCTACAATTTCAGAGAATCAAGTCCTCAGGAAGCTAGATGTTGATTTCACATATCAAATAAAACATCTCATCAACAGTATTATTATATCATTATCTGTGGATTAGTGCATTATTTGGCACCACTTCTTAGGGGACGGAGCTACACGAAGGAAAATTTTCTCAGACTAGCACGATTTTGTTAATCTCTGAACGGTGTATGTCTGACTTTCATTCACATAAAATGGGGCCTACACTCATTGAATTACATCTATTCTCCTCTCAGTATCTTCCATTACCTCTGGTTTTCCCCTCAAACAGGCAGCTTCTTTGATATAGTTGCTATGGAATCAACTTTTACAGAGAAATGCATGAACTTTTAGCAGTATCTATGCATCTATGGCATCAACTGGAAGAGAGGTCGCTCTATGAAGCGAGTGTGGAAGCAAAGCTCCTGCATAGAAATCGTTGGCTGTGACCATCTGCTCAGGACTATTAGATCCGCCAGTCTTATCTACATCTTGCACCATGTTAGCCATAGCTGAACACTTGTTATTCTCTGCTTCAGCAGGAAATAGCTTTCTGGTCGTTAAAAGCCTCAAGACCGGTTTATTGTTCCTTATCTTCAAGTGAGTTGTAACTGGTAGCTTTGTGACCCCAACACATTTCCTATGCTCTTCTGATTCTTCAGGGTCGGGAGATACGCTTGCGAGTTTTGGTGTTCCAACTAATTGCTGATCTCTAAGCTCCCTTAACTGCATTTGGTACTTTGCTTTGAGCCATCTTAGTTCTTGCCTAATTTCATTCTCATAGTCCAGGAAAACACAATCTAGTTCTTGATTAGAAAATGTGTCTTTTGAGTTGGGATTACTTTGATCATCCCCAATAGCACTTCTCTCATCCTCTTCAATTTTTGATTGGTTTGATGCTTCATGTGATTTGTCACAATGTATGTCTCTTAACTCCTCTGAAGTTGCTGGTTCCGGCTCATCTCGCTGAGCCCAGATATCAGTATAGTGAATACCAGTAGATTGACTAGAAGCAGCCGGAGGACCATCTGTAGTATAATTTTCAGACCCTTCAACTTGGTATGTGATCTCCTCGAAACGGCCATGAACGGCTGCACAGCCGTCTCTGGGACAATGAAGAAATTGTAGCTTCTTAGCTGATGGGCTGTTTGATGATACATAATCAAAGAAGGTGCCACGTGAAGCACAATAGAAGCAGAGACTTTCACTTGTACATTCTGGACTTTCCTGGGTTCTGGGTCCAGTTTTCCACTCCGGGACCAAGTTTGCTATTTCATTGTCTATCATGTCTGCTATTTTTGTTACATCTTGGTCAGTTATGTCCAGCTCAGCGACCATTTCATTTGCTACACTCAATGCTGTATCAGTCTCTATGTCGAATGGGAAGTAGATGTTTCGAATTCGACCTGTGATGATCAGGACAAAGGATAGTAAAATCACCAAAGGCTTAAAAACTTCAAGAATGCGGTAATAAAATGGAAATACCAACCTTCCTTATCTGCTATTCTAAGTCTCAGAAAAACGCCATCATCTTCTCTTCTCTTGCCTTTGATTGCAGTATCAACTTCAGCCAAATTATCATCCTCTTCACATTCAAAGAGATCAATTTCGCTCGTTAGCTCAGATTCTGGACCATAACCACTGAGATAATCAGTGTACTCGTGGATTGAGTTGTTACTGCTGTGAATTCCATTAATAGGCAGTCTAAATAAAGGGGTTGCTTCATAGCAATCTCCTTGATATCGAAGTGCTTTCATCTCAGACCCGTAATCATCAATTTGGAGAAAAGGGTCTTTCAGAAGTTCTTTAGCAGAAAGCCTAAGGGACACGGTTGCTAAGCATTTCTCCACAAATTGTCTAACCTCAGGATCCTTTACTTTGTAGAGAGCCTCCGGTTTCTTTCCCTGGAGGGAATATGTATGCATATGAATAAAAGACTTACCCAAAAAAAAAAAAAAAGGTATTCAAAAAAACAAATAAAGGTAAACAAAATAATTCTGGTTCTTACAGAGACGACTTTCTTGTAAATTTGAGCAGGATGGGTGCATTCACTATAAGGATATTCAAATGTCACCATCTCCAAGATGCACATTCCAAAAGAGTATATATCGACTAATTCATTATAATCCTCTTCATACACTTCCGGAGCCATAAACTCTGGTGTGCCTGAATTCAAAGAAGAAGGAAACAAATAGAAAGCCACAGAATCTTTAATAAGTGAGTTACGCAGATATAAAATAAAATAGTGGCACTTGAAACAATATACCCATATAGATAATAAAATCTATATCAATTCATTCTATCCCCAAATTATAGATAATACAGCTCTTCCGTCCATACAATACAAAGAGCCTATCTATCTCGTCTAGAGCAAGTCTCCCAAGATAGAGAACACAAGAAAATAACATTTGTAATTGATCACTTAGACAAAAATATTTCTACCTACCAACGCAACGAGCAGCGTTAGATTTGCGGAGAATTGCGGCAAGGCCAAGATCACCAATTTTAACTTCCCCTTGATTGCCATTGATGAAAATGTTGTCACATTTGAGGTCTCTGTGGATCACAGGAGGATCATGACTGTGAAGATAAAGAAGCCCTTCCAAAATCTGTCTGCACCAATGCTTCACAGCTCTTATATTAACTCTTTTGTGTTTTAACCTGTACCTGCTCATACAAAAAATGAAATTATTCAACATCAAGAGGTGTTAAAAGAAGACTAAGAAGGACCAGCGAATATAAATAGTGCTTGTGAAGAATATTAAGGCTTACTGTCTGAGAGTGCCAGAGGTGAACATCTCAGTGACGAAGTTAATATGCCTATTAGTAGTATCAACCCAGGAAGTATAGAACTTCATGATGTTTTTGTGTTTCAATGTCTTGAGAAGATGAATTTCACAGTATAACCTCTCGAGATCTTCAGGATTCTGCAGAAAATCGTAGAGCTTCACTTGATTCCATGCTACTTCTATCCCTTCATACTCATCGAATGCTCTGTAACTGCTCAAATGAATACACCCCCATGTTAACAAGAATCAAAATGAAAACTCCAAACAAGTTCACTTGTAACCAAAGCAGGTTCTGATTCGGGCGTGCTATAAACAAGAGAAAGATTAAGGATATAATTCGTACACTGTCTTTGAAGCCCCTTTGCCCAGAATTTCGTTATACTGCCAATATAAAGTTAAAAAACCAGAATCAAAATGGAGAAACAAAAGTATAAAAGAGCAAAGCAAGGGTGAATAAAAGGGAGGGTATTCAGTATATACTCTTCCATATCTTCCAGTTGGATCAATTTCCACGAACTCAGAGTCCTCTACCTCAAAACTTGCAGAACCATTCATGCCTCTTTTTATTCTTATCTGCTCTTCCCTCAGTCAGTTTTATGTGCAGAAGGACTTTAGCAACTGCCTTTCGTGTGAGCAAAAGAAAGAAGAAGAGAGTAGTTGCAGTCAATGTATATAGAGGAATTGAGAGGAACTTATGATAACTATACTTTTTGGGCTATCCGCCTATCCGTGAAGTGAACGAACACAGAAGCCGAGGAAGAAAGGCAGAGAGAGAGGGGGAGGGAGCGGGAGGGGGAGCCTAGGAAGGTCCATCAAAAGGACAAAGTTAATTTGCCAGCTAACCCAGAGACAACTAGGCAAAGATTTCACAGGGAGAATCTGCTAAAAGTCTAAAACTCGAAAATACACATAAATTAACGTATTACCTTTTTTTTTGTATGCAGTAAAATTCATTAGAAATTCACCTGCACAGTAGTTTTAATAACATGATGGTATGATTATGTAGGGTTAATAAACCATTATTTACTTATCGTACAATTGCATGACTTTTTTTTTTTCCCACCGGCGTGTTTGATGCAGCCCCTAATCTTCCACCACGCTAGCCAGACAAAAGCTGACGAAGCGGCCGTCTCTATCGCAAGCTTGCTGCTTTCCATCTCGTCACGAGCTGGAAAACGAAAATGAAACGCCCATGTCATGTAGGAACCAACGAAAGTTGTAGGCTTTTTGGTTTTATTAATGTAGAAGAGGTATTTTTTGTGGCATTAGGCACAAGATGGAATTTTGGGTGCCAATGGATTTTTGGCCAAGGCTGCCTTCTGCATCACGAAAATCTTATGAAACCTTTATGATGGGGAAACTGGTGGGTCTGGCTTACTCTGCTCCTCTTGACTAGTTTTTTCTCCTTCTTCTTCCTCATTTTTTTCTACACTTTCCCTCTTTAGTCTTTCCCTGTTGTGGCCGAGTGATGGCCAACCAAATCTGGAGTCAGGACCACTGCTACAGAGGTGGATATTACAGAAATGCAAGTGAGGCCGGATCTACTTGGTAGTTCCCATCTTGCCTTCCCCCAATGTCAGGAAAAAAAAAAACATGTCCAGTAAATTTTGTGCACTTATTATGTAGCACATTCGGTTATATTACGTCCATTTGACTATTTTTTAATACAAAAATTAATTTAACTTTCAATTTGATTCTTAATATAAGACCACAATTTACTTTATTTTTCACATTTATCTATTTTTTTAGGGTATTACACATGTTAAATGTTTCATCAAATATTAGTTCTAACTAATACACATGATAAGTAAGGATATTTTTGAAAAGATAATACATATTTATTACAAATACCTAACTTAACAAACTTTTTTAATTTACTCAAATTAGTTAACTAATTCTTATATTCAAGTCCAGAGGTAGCATACAAATACTTTGCATGATTTTTCAGATTTAATAATATATCATCTAAAATAATTCTAAAACTTGGGTTGTCATTTAAAATTAGATTTTGTAATTTAATTACCTAAATGTCCTCCATGTAATTTTTTTTTCTTAGATTAATATCATTGTCAATCTTTACGGTTCAATTGAATTTTAGTTGTAATCCATATGATTCTTATAGTTTCATAAGAATATACTGTGAGTTTAAATATAGGTGATCAAAATAAAAACTGGTTAAAAGTATAAAAATCACATATTTAACTAAGACCATATTGTAATAAAATTATAGGGATCAAAATCAGCAATTTGAAACTATTCAAACCAAGACCAAAATTTAATCAAATTATAGGAACTAACAATTGTATTGATCCTTTGTTCTTTTAAAACACAACATAGTCATTGGCCACCAGACCTCCGTAACAGGGGCGAAACCATCATTTGGGGACTGAAAATGGGATAAGCATGGGAAGGGAGAGGATGGAAAGTGGCCGTGGAAATGATGAATATGTACAAGCACATGCCCTTAACAAGGCATATGGTGCCTAACACGACGCCAAAGGACGGTGCCACACGAGGCCAAAAGGCAACAACCTTATGTTGCGTGCTTTAGGACTTATCACTTTACGCCACGTGCAAATCAAAATTTTTTATTACCGAAAAAATTAATTTTTTTTTGGGGGATCTGGATGATCAATGCATTAAAGCTTGACAATGTATTTAGGAAAATATTAGCATATAATATATATGTTGGGGTTATATAGGGATTCGAGGAATGAATATAATAGATGAAGATTGTTGCAGGACGGGGATAAGGTGTTGAGCAAGAAGTAATGGCGTGTGCTTATCCTGCTTCAACCTCGTACGGAAAGAAACTTGGGGCTCTTGTTGCGTGATTTCGAATTCCAAGAAGCAACGAAAGGCCCCCAAAAAATACCTACCTCTTCCTTTTCTCTTTTTTTTTTTAATTTTTTTTTTTAAAATTATGTCCACTTCTTATTATGTCCTGGCCATATGATTTTTTTTATCATTATGTGGAATATAAGAAATCTAGTTGCATTATTTATGAATTATAAAATAACACAATTTATTTTTTATTTTAAATTTTGGTATTTAACATGAAAAGGAGGAATGTCCGGTATAATCATCATGGAGGATGGGGGTGGAGAAAAAAAGAAAAGAAAAAGACGAGTTGGGTAGAATGATGAGGAATGAAAGGGAAAGCTATGAAGTGAGGTCAAGACGAGTAGAGGTGTTGATGATGATGAAAGTTGCGTTGCCTTTGGTGAGGGTTCTAGTACATTGAACGATACAGGAGCATTCACATAATTAATACTCTTATTTCCGGGGGGGGGGGAAACATTTACAAAAATATTTAATTATTAAATATTTAGATTATTGATGTGAAGTTTCGCAGTATATATCTGCGGCCATCGTGCCGGGGATGCATAGTATAATTAGAGGGTTAAAGAGACAATAGGAGCACCAAGACAGAAATTCACGTGAGATGCGAGCATGGCTCCAGACATACGAGGTCAGGACAAAAGACGAACCTAGAAAACTACGAGCTTCATCAAGGGTTTGGAGCTGTCTCATTGGGATCACTCCTCAACATAATCTGACACCAAACTTATCATATTCTTAACGAATCTCATAACAGACAAACCTAACAGCTGAATTACGAGGAACTCCTCTCTCAGCTTTCATATTATAATCTATACTGCTCCAGACCTCAAACTATGTTCTTGTACTTGTAAATCTTGTCTGGACAGGATAATTATTTATTTATTTAGAAGAACAAATAAACTGCCATTCAACTGTCCATGTTAATTTCTCCACGTAGGTGCGGATAAAGCCCATAGTTTGGACAGACCATCGAAGAAGGAAGCCCGCTTTTAACGTGTTTGGTTTTAGGCCCACTTTTATCCACTACGATAGGGTATTCTCCGCGACGTTTTGTTCTTCCCTTTTCCATCCCTCATATGATATTATATCAGACTTCTTAACTTTGAATTTTGTAAACAAAGTTAGGAATCACTTGTTATTAGTTCAGCCTTTGACAGGTACATGAAGAAACTTTGAATTTTATCATCAGGAAACACTTATTATTGGTTCAGCCTTTGAATCATACCACGCGACATTGCTCAGTCAGGGTCGTGTCACGCGTGTGCGCCATGACATGTTTCCAATTGAAATGAAAGTGAGCCTAGAGAGCCACGTGGCAGAGCTAAGAGGTTTTGTTTCTGACGAATTATCTTCATCTCACAATAATATTCAGAAGCCCAAATTAAATCAAGAACCACCTTGTTAACAATTTTAATTTTAATTTTTTGGATTAATAAGATTTTTGATCTATCAAGTTTGCTGTTATTTTCATTTCAGTTTTCAAAGTTTCTTTTCATCTAAAACATTATCCCTTATAATTTAACAAAAATTTGAATTATTTGACTCTTTAGAGACCAAAACTTATAATTTAAAATTTAAGAAGCTAAAATCAAAATTTATTTAAATTTGAGGGATCAAAAAGATTTTATTAAGGCTGATTCTTTTAACCAATAAGCTGTGATTTCTTGAATTAAATTCTCTATGTAATTTTCGCCCAAACTTATGAGATCTGCACGGTTGTGTCCGTGCTAATAACAGCAAATGTCGGATGTCTTTCTAATAAATGTCTCATAATAATATACCTTTTTTTTTTGTTTTGATACAAGCCTTTTTTTATTTTATACATATTAAATATAAAAAATTAAATACTCCCCAGTCCCTAGCGCTAACACAGGCTAATTATAAAAATTATTAGTAATTCAGTCAAATTTCTCTGGCTCCAAAAGTCGCATGTTGGTAAAAGAAAATGGGGTAAACATCGATAAAGACGCTGATTTGCTCTAAAATGCCGCTTGTCGCTGAATTCGATTCTACAACGAATTTCATATCAAATCAATTAACTGTACCTGGGACGTTAATCATCGCTCCAAATAAACATATAACGGTGGATTTTGTTTTGGGTTACTAGAAACAATGGGCTGTATGTAAAATAAACAAGTTTAGTCAAATTAACAAAAAAGGTTAGTCTCTGTCAAACGATGAAGTAGAGTTTGAATTCCCATTAAATTAAAGTTATTTTCAACAAGAAGGTAATTGAGCCTAAAAAACTGTTTTGTCAAACCAGCAAAAATAACGTATAATAAACAAGAATGTTCTAAGTTTACAGCAATAAGAGGAGAAATCAAATGCATGGTCAAATATTTGACCAATTTCCATTGAACTGTACGATTTTTTCAGTTTATCTTATATTTGATGGAAATCAACTTATTGAAACCCCGGATTATTTCATTTTAGAACGTGGAAAATTATTTTATTTAATGACAAATAACTACTCCTCCAGTCTTAAATTATACTAATATGTATAAGGATCTTATATTTAGAACCGGAAGAGTATAAAAGTTTGATCTCATTCCTTGCAACTTAGTAAAATAATATCTGAATGTCTGAATGCTTTTCATTAGACATATTATAAAAAAATTTGTTATCTACTACCTCCGGTTCTTAATATAAGAACTCGTTTGATTTTTATTTTGGTAGTAAATATAAGACTCCAGTCCACTTTGCTTTCCATATTTATCTGTTTTTTCTCAAAATAGTTTTTGTAATAATGGTAATTCTAACCAATACACTTGATTAGTAAAGATATTTTAAGAAAAATAACACTTATTTATTACAAACAACTAAATGAATTAATTTTTTTAATCTACTCAAATTAGTTAAATAGATCTTTATGTTAAGAATAAGAGGGAGTATTTTTATTAAACGGAAAGAAATCATATTTTATTTTAAAAAAAGAAAAGAAAAAAGGACCAAAGTCCAGCGCTAAATGGAGGGGAAATCCACCTAATGTGGTGCTGCCGCTATTTTCCGGGAGGCGCACTCAAATTTTCTATCGAAATTGAAAACAATCTGTTTCACTCTCAACGAAATTCCGAGGGAAGAGCAATGGAAGACGGTGAACAACCCACGATTCTGATCACTAACGATGACGGAATTGATGCACCTGGTTTGAGAGCTCTGGTTCAGGGTCTTGTCTCCACTAATCGTTTTAACGTTCAAGTCTGCGCCCCTGATAGGTACCCCTTATCCTCTCCCTCTTCGTCCGTCTTACTTGTTGACAAACTTGCATGATCAGTCTATGTAGTCGATCATCTTAATTTTCTTACTTGCTTGAGTATCGGGGCTAGTGATTTGTTTTTTGAACTATAATTGATGACAACCGAAAAGTTCGTCTGAGCAAAGAAAACACTCTCATGCTGATTCTGTGTCCGTAGTATGCAACTACCGAATCACCACGTGAACCTTTCCTGGGAGTCTGCGAGTTCGATTACTTTTTAACTTGAAATGGCCAGCCGTTTAGCTATGTTTTTTTGGGTGATTGTTGTTTGCATTGTTATTTTATGGGCATCATGTAGCCGCTCTGACGTTGACATGAATTTTCTGGGAGTAGTGTACTTTTGTGGTTCTATTTGTTTTAACTAAATCAATTTCAGGGAGAGGTCGGCTGTTAGTCACAGTATTACATGGCTTCACCCTATAGAAGCCAGGCCAGTAAACATTGATGGAGCCTCAGCGTATGCAGTTTCTGGTCAGTTTTGCTTTGAGTATTTTTAGGTACCTACATGATATATAATCGTTTATTGCAAAATGTCAATATTAAAATATTTTTGCAGGGACTCCGGCTGATTGTGCCTCTCTGGGAATTTCCAAAGCACTGTTTCCTACAGTAGCTGATCTGGTACCTTGGATGTAAATTACAATTTTGGTTGTGAAAAGTATGCCGCTAATTGGGTGGACTGTTTTCCTATTCTGCTGTCATCTTGGCAATTTCTCTTTATTAGAAAGGTTCCGCAATGAGAAGTCAGCAGCATAGCTTTTTGACTTGCTTTAAGAAACTTGAAAGGAGTTTATAATAGTTCTTGTGACGTTGGATTCTGTTACCCATTCACACAATTCTGTGCTATGAAAACAATATGCATGTATATGACTGACTAAAAGTTGTGCCACATGGTGAGCTAGTTGCTAATATATGTTCAATTTAATGGTCAGGTACTCAGTGGCATAAACATGGGTAGCAACTGCGGTTATCATGTGTATGTAGCTTTTTGTCTCTTCTTAATATAAAATACTGCAAGACTCTGCAACTATGTCTCTTCCGCTGCTAAGAGTATGCAAGTCATGATCAAACTAATTTGAAGATCAGTATATATTACAATTAAATGTCAATACTACTTTTCCATGGAAAATATAGGATTCTCTTAGAAAATAAGTTTCAACCTACACCTATTCTATGGTGATCTTAGAAACATGGACGTGCTGGCAACGGATGCAAATATTGGAGAGACCCTGTGAAAATACGATAGACTTTGTCTTTCTAAGCTATGAAGAGATAAACACAATGTATGTTTTCCATAAATGTGATATGAATCCAGTCAAAATCAACTAAGGCATTTCTTTTCATCATAGCTGCTTCAGTGGCTTTATGTGGTGTTTTTTTTTGCTCATTGCTGCAATAATTAGGTACTTTTTTTTGCAGTGTTTACTCGGGGACAGTTGCTGGTGCTAGAGAAGCCTTCTTCAATGATATACCTTCTATCTCCATTTCATATGATTGGTATCTTTTCTAACTTGTGTTTTAATGGAATTATTGAAGTTGGCATGATCTGACATAATATTGGGGTTGATAACTGAACAATTACTTTAAATCTATTTGACTGATGACTTTATAAACCATGTCAATCTTCTTTTCTATCTCCCACCACTGCTACTGCTTTTTGTTGCCTTTTTTGACCATTTGGAGGACTAACACCCAGGGTTAGGGGAAAGAGTAACATAAATGACTTTTCCCTTGCTGCTCAAGCATGTCTACCTATCATAAGTGCGGTACTAGTTGAGATCAAGAATCAAAGATTCCCACAAAGATGCTTTCTAAATGTAGACTTGCCAGCTAATATTGCTGATCATAAGGTACGGTGTGTCAGATGTGCAGCATTTTGCATGGTTAGTTTGTGGATAAATAGAGCACGCATCACCAAGAAACCTCGTGTTATAACTAAATGAACATTTTCTATATGTTTGCTCAGAATAGGAACAGACTTATAAAAATCTTGATTCACCTGTTGGTATGAGAATTCTGGCACAGACACGATCAGTATTAGTAGACTCAGTTTATAATTGAATGAACATATTGTATACGTTGCCTGTTTTCAATTTGCTTTCATGTGTACTTGTGCTTCTCTGTTCTCAATCCTATAAGATACCAATACATTACGTTCATCTCCTACTTACAAATAATTGCTTCGCCATGCAATTGGTTAATTATTATTCCTGGTTCTTACTTGTGCCTCATAAAAAGGGATACAGGCTAACAAAGCAGGGAAAAAGTTTTTTCAAGATGGGTTGGAGGCAAGTGACCTCAGGGACACATGGAGAAAGAATGTCATCTACGATGACCATGGATGTAGATACAGCATTACCTACAGAAGCTAAAACATCGTCCGTATCACCAGAACATCTCTTATTCAGGAGAGAAGTGGGTCCTTTTCTTTATTCTTCATTTTGTATTTTTCATGGTCCTCAGATGAAACCCTCCCATTGATAAATCCTACAAAAGTTGCATGACTTAATTTTATGCTTGAGTGGCCTATGCTTTGATCTATTCAAAACATAGGAGAGTTTGATTGTATAATTTTGTCTACTTATGAAGTAAATATGAAGTTATAGGCACAAAAGGTTCCCACGGGGGTGGGCCTTCTATAGCCTTCCCCCCCACCCCCACTAACTGGTGTAGAACTCTCAATTTTTGTAGGCAAAAGGTCCTCACCTTGACGATGGTGATACGGATCACAAATTTTTGCAGGAAGGATATGTGAGTTTTTTCTTCCTTCGTTAATTGAATTATTGAATGCAAAAACTCTTGCTAAGCAATTTTATTTTATTTTTAGATCACTGTTACTCCTCTTGCTGCTCTATCTCCAGCGGAGGCAGATTGTCATGCCTATCTAAAGGATTGGCTATCAAGTGTTCATGAACTCCCCTCAGCATCGGCTATATAATGCTGTAAGGCCCACATATTATCATGATTTGTAAAAGAGTTTTGACTGAGATAAATCACTAGCAATAACTTCATTTACACTCTTAGAGTCCTGGCTGATTAAGAGGCAAGAGTAATGGTGATGCTTCTTAAGATGAGTGTAATATTCAGTCTTGACCCCCCCCCCCAAACACAAACCAAAAAAAAAAAAAAAAACTTTCGTGTAATATGTTTTAGATGACAAGTACGGCGGAAATCTGAGTGCCTATCCTTTTTGCACATGTTCAAGGTTGTAGTTACTGCATAATTATTTGAACTCCCAACATGGCAACCTTAAATAGGCAGTTGCAGTTAATGCATAATTATTTAAACTCCCAAACTCCTCCCTCAACTCTATTTTTAAAATGAAAATTAAATGAAAGATTGTTGTGTGAGTACGTCAAAATATTTTATTCATTATTTTATTAGCATTATATGATCAGTAGTAATATGAACTTTATTCCAGTCTTTTCATCGATTTTGATTTGTGAATGCCTTTACCTGCAGACTACTTCAGTTTAAGGTGATTTCTACCTCAATCTGCTGCTAAAGAAATCACTCAAGTCCGGTGCGCAGCATCAATATTCCTTACAGTTTGGTTGCATCAGTAAGCATGCCATTATTTTCAACATTGTTGGAGCCATGAAAGACATGAAAGACATTTCTCTATAGCGTAATATATGATTGAATAAGGAAGCCTATTTTCTGTAAGCTAATAAGCTATCGCTCACTTTAAAACCATTTTGTTGACAGATTCCCATTGTCTTTCAATCCGGGAATTCCTACTTCTTACTGCATCTGTTGAAAATAAAGTAGTGTTTACCTGAAGATTGCGGTCTAATATGGCCTTCCTTCCCAGAGGGCATGTTTTGAAATCAAATCCTCAGATGGATGTTTCCCCAGTTTGAGATAACATAGCCGCGGCTTTTGATCGTACACATATCTAAGTGCATGTGCTTTTAGCTCATGGTGCTAAGCAATTCAGACAATATAAGGCTTCTCATTACTGGTGAATTAGCCTCGTTGTAATTTATTTTGGTGGAGCCATACTTCATATCGGGAATGCATGCCTTCTCCTTGTGTAAAAAGACATTTGCTATTTGGGTTAATGACTTATAAACAGTGTTTCAATTATTATTTACGAAATATGAAATAAGTATGTGAGAAACGTTTTGTCTAAACTTACATGACATGTGCTTATAAATAATTTCAAATATAATGACAAAGGGGGTCTTGGTATATGGGATATTTCAAGCGTTTGGAAACTTATGGAATAAACATACAACTCGCAAGTCTTATATCTTGTTTGCCTTAATTAATTATTAATAGTATATTATGATGAACTTTTTTGGATGCGTCAGGATCATTTTTCATATATACGCTTTCTGACCACGTCAAGAGTTAAAATACGCATATACACCAAACGCCACGAGGGGTAGCTTTTGCTGGCTGTATAAACCGTTGTTGCTGGTCTTACAATTGCTGAGGAAAACAAAAGTATCTTGAAACTGTGGTTTGGGCTTTGATATTCCAAGTGAGGAGAAAAATTGTGTAGGTTGCGCAGTCTATTCCGTAGTGGATTTTAAGTGTCAGTTTCAAAAGGTGAGAAATTAAAAGGAACAGCCACCTTCTCTACTGCTAAAAAATAGATAGCCTACCAATAGGAAGACCCATCGAGGGAAGGGAAAAACATCTCAAGTGCGTCTACGATATATTGATTGTTGATTGTGTAGATTGATAAATTTCAGAAACTCGAAGCGATTCAGAAGAAAGGGGGGAAAAAAAAGCATGCATCTCCTAGTACAGAGAGGAAAAAACTGTTCCATATGGGTGCTACGAGAGTTAAGAGGGCCAAAACACTAAATTATGGGCATGGACATAATAAATGATTATATGTAGATTATGGGCATGGACATAATAAATGATTATATGTATAAATTATTTATGTAAATTATGCGTCTCTTCTCATTCTTGTACCATGTGCATGGCCTTCATTTTTTGGATGGTAAAGGTGCATGTGATTCCACTAGTATTGACCAGAGGACATGAACATCTTCACAAGGGCAAGACCGAACATCTTCATACAAAATGTAAATCCCTCTTCCTGAAATGTTAAAGCAGCATCGTGAAACGTATAATTTGGCTGTTGGAATCCCACACAAACAAACACACACACACACACAGAGTAGAGAAATGGAGTGATCCTGGTGGAAATGAATGTACAGAAATTAAAGATTTACTAAATGTGGAAGAAATACAAGTGACGGAAGGAGATTTTCTGGGTTATGGTTAGCATGCAGAAGAGAAAACTCTCAGACTGTCACTATGGACAGTGTAGAACGTACTTTTGTTTTGAGTTGAATGCAGTCTGAGCCAGAGCTTCTTCAATGAAGAGATTAGAGGTTGCAGCCACCCCATTGTGTGGATGGTGCAGGTGAAACAATTAAGAGGGAAGGTAAGAGAGATGACGATGAAGAGAAATTCTGGGCATAGCTTAGAAAGAGGGTGAAGATTTTGTAACGTCACTATTCATATTTTGGGACGTTTTACATTCTCTTGCAGGCAAATGATGAAATTCTCATATATATCGCAGGTAAAATATCATTTTCAGATCCTTCCTTGCTGCTTCCTTGTAGAAGAAGAATCCCACTTTAGATATAGAATTCTTAAACCGCAAAAAAGAAGTCTCTCTTGTTATTAATAATATAATTTTACGAAGGTGTGGCTTATGTTTTCACCATCATTTGGCTTGGACATTAATGGTAAACAGACACATATGTTCAGAATTTTTCTCTGAATTCGTTTGAGCAAATAGGGAATCCTCCATCTGAAGCAAGAAGAATGGTTCTGTTGAAAACTCTCAAGCAAAGGTTTGTTTCTTGCTACCCTAGCTGTTCTAATTCCAGGAGTAACAATTTCTTCAAGTCTCAAATATGACAGGTCATGGCAATATTTCCCTTCACATGGATGACTTATCTGAGAGTTCTCTTCGAGTGCTATTTGATTTGAAGAAAATAAGAAAGATGAAAGCCGTTGTTATTAATTGTTAATTGTAATATCAGAACATTCAAAATAACAAAAAAAAAAACCCTATAAATTAAAAAGAACACACACTCACACATTCAAGACACATATGTCACGTTTAGTACAAAGCATTAAAAATAAGAGATAGGAATTGAGATTATGATTGAGAAAAACTATTAAAAAAGTATTTTGCATAACAAATTTCTTATTACGTAAAATTAGACAAATCTATGTATGTGGAATTGAGGAATACCATGGTAGAATGTAGTATTTTCCAATCCTAGCTCAATGAATTTGTCTAATTCCATGTAATAAGTAATTACTCATAGTGAATTCTTTTTAAATAATTTGTATTCCTAATCCTTATTTTTAATGTTTCGTACCAAATAAAACCATGCTTTCAAGACAACCTTACTTAACAGGAGTATCCTTGTATGAAATGAATAATCTGACCTATTCGTGTTGTGTTTGACACTGTGACCAGCTTTTTAAAGATTAGCCATTAATATCGTAGTTTTGCACGTGTCCATATTTAGTTTCTTAAATAGACCCAATATAATTTTAATTTAATTAGTTCTTTAAATAGACCCAATATATAATGTTCAATTTAGTTCATGGTTTCCTTTCCACAACAAACTTCGTTTTTGGTAATAAATGATAAGTATTCATAAGTTAATAAATAATTTCATTTTCCATTTCATTTTACAAGATAAAAAAATAGCAAATTGAAAAAAAAAAATAATAACTAAATAAATAAATCTGATGTTTAAAATGAAATGAACGCAGAGAATGCAGAGTGATGATGATGCTTTGGGGGCTAAAACAAAAACCGTACCGACCATATGATGAATGTTTGACCAATTAGTGTGTGTTTTATTTAATACTACATCTAATACTTAATATAAGAGTTAATTAATTAATATAAATAGATTAAAAATTAATTAAATTAATTTATTTATAATAAATTTGTATTGTTTTTTTCTAAATAATCTTACCAATCATGTCTATAATAGCTAAAATTATCATTTGATGAATGAGCAAGTACTATAGTGACTATCTTAAAAAAATTAGATAAATATAAAAGACAAAATGAACTGAAATCTTATAATTAGAATCAAATTAAATATCAAACTAACTTTTATATTAAAAATCAATATCAATTGTGTTCCAAATTCTGTGGTGGGCAAAAGTGTAATAATGTGTATAGATTTGTATTGTTGTTCAAGGCACTGAAGTGAAATGATGATAGAGATACAGTGGGGAAAAGAATGATTTGGTGGAGAGAGTAAAGAGGAGAGACACATGGCCATTATTTCTGAAAAGGAAGGCTAAATGACAAACACTAATGAAATTATTGAGGGGCATGGGCACTAATGAGGGCTGTTGGTGGAGGGTCCGGACTAAGTACATGGATCTTGGTGCGTAGGGGGGGGTCTGACCCATTGGATCAACCAGTCCATGACTTGCCCTCTGAATCCTGGTCACGCTCATATTACCTCCAAACTAAATAGAGTCTCCTCGCCCATAATTAGATTCCATTTGGTAGGAAGCATTAAAAATTAGGAATAGAAATTGTGATTGGCATTGAAAAAATCTATTAAAAGAGTATTTAGTATAAGAAATTGCTTGTTATATGGGATTAGCCAAACCTATATATGCGGGACTAAGGAATACCATGAAGAAAAGTGTATTTCCTA